TAGGTAGTAGCCTGGACCTGGGACTTCACAGCAATCGAGTGCGAGTGTGCAGGTTCCCACGTCCACTCCGTTTCTGTCCTGTAGCAAAGTTCGCTCGCCTCACTCGGACGATTGGCTCGCGTCGGGGACCGCGTAGGTCCATTGACGGGTCGTTTTAAACATGTGCCCACTTTTCGAACGGCGCCATCACGTTTCTCCTTCCTAGCGTGCCTTCCCACCTTCCATCTTTTCCCTCCTCCCGGCTTTTGCGGTGGCCGAGTTTTTCCAGAAGTTGAGGAGGCGGATCCACTTACCGGATTGGTGCGAGAACCGCGGGCAGCAAGGGAAGGGAAGGTGAGAGTGTCAGTGGTTGCAGCATCTCGCCTTTGCATCTTCACCAGCGCGTGTGGCCCGGGTCCATCGGTGGAGTCGCGCATGATTCACGTCGCCGATGCATCTCGTCTCCGTGACGTCGCGAGATCCTGCAGCACGCCGTGGGGTTCTTTAGTCCTGTGCCGGGTCATCTGGCGCGCTACGAGACGCGAAAACGCGTGTGATGAATCAGTGACGGCCAACGGTCCACGGACCAAACACACGATGGCCTCTCAGATGCCCTCGCCGCCTTCGTCGAGTGAGGGATACCTCGGATACGGTGCTGGGGGGCGTCGAGATACTTCCTCATACCGCGCACCTACTCTGACGACGAGGCCCGAAACAAGCACCATGGCACACCGACAAAGCAGAATGAGGGTCTTCAAGCTGGTGATGGGCCGCTCTGTATGCGGCCATGAAGCACAGTGGAGCTGGGGCTCACGCGTCTCTTCAGGCTGAGTGGCTGGCCAATGTTGACGTTCCTGCTTGGGCATCACCGGCGGCGTTGGAGGGGGTTTCCGGATGTTGGTTTCCCAGCCACCGTCTTTTTCGCCTTTTTCCCACTCTTCCCTTCTGGTTTGCCGCCCCCTCTTTGTTTCTCCCGATGTTGGAATTGACTTTGGTCCCGTCGGTCAAGGCGGCCGAGATAGGCGATGGGTGGCTTTCAGTGTTCCAGGGATGTGGCTGAGAAGTTTGGTCTGAGGGTACGAGCATGATCCCAACTTACAGGGAGAAGAGGTTGGCCGATTGCGCATTGTGTCTCTCGGGATCGGGAGAACAAACGGGGCGTGCGACTCTGATGAGCAGAAATTTTTCTACGGCATTTCTTAGCCAAGGCCGTTGGAGGGATCGATCGGATCGGGGAGGCATTGTCGTCGGCCTCCTGGATCTCTCAACTGTGGTTCAGTGGTTGACCAGATGATTTGGGAAGATTGGACGGTACGACTCTGGATGGGGGACTCGTCATGCTCTCTATCTTGGAGCCCAAAGGAGCTTGAGCCACTGGCCGTCTTTGTCGTTGATGGAGGGACGGGGTGCGCACCTCCCGCCCTGGCAGGTGTGGCTGCTCGTCGTGCTTCGCCTTGCCATGGCTTGCCTCGTTATCTGATTTGGCTACGATGGCACTGAGAGAACGGGCTGAGCATGACAGTCGATAGCATCATGTCCGAGGGATCTGATACGTACGGGGGTTCGTTCCATCCTGCCCGGGCCGGCTGAAGTAAGCCGCCGTCATCCCCATCTTCCCATCTTAGGTACCGCCGTTGCCCTGTAGCCATTGTCTAGACCCGTGTGATCACCCCACTGAGTACTGAGCAATAGGAGCACCGAGACGAGAAACAGTGGCTTGTTAGTGGATGCAGGAGGGCTGCACTGGGCTTTCGAAGGTCACTCTTGGGCTTTGGGTATCAATAACACCAGCGAGAGCCTATCGCAGCAGAGGGAGCGGCCGTCGATGCCCAACCTGTTGGAGCTGCCCGTCCAGTCTCGTCGTCTCGTCCAGTGGATGCAGCAGACAAGGAAGGGTAGGGCGCCAGGGCGGTCATGTTGTTCCCAAGGACCCTTGAAGCTCACCACTCACCACCACTCAGAGCCCATCTCACCTCTTATTTTTGTATCTTTCCTTCCGTTTTTGGTCATGACAATGGCTTCGCCCATCCAGGTACGAAGGTACGTCATCCTCAGCCTGTCCGGCGGTCGCCAGTGTCGGGCTCCTGGGAAGAGTGCACACCCAAGACATCGTACCCACCTACCTCTCCAAGTCCGGTCTGCCGGCGCTCCATCCAATCGTTTCCCTATCGGCGCCAACGGTGAACGTTCCGTCTCCTCTAACGGTCGCCTCCCCCCAGGGTCCGTATCCATCCGTCGAGCTCTCCGTCTCACGCGCATCTTCCCTGTTCCAGCCTCTGGTCAACTATGTACGTGCCGGACGGACCATGGCCCAAGCTGCAAACCCAACCCCAACCGTCTGTGACCGTGACCGCCATTCCATTTTCGCCCACCAAGCTCCCCCCCTCCGTCTCTCTTTTTTCCTAATTTTTTTCTTCTGGAAAATCTTTTTTTTAATTCCCTCTCGTCTCCATTGGCGGTTCCGGCTTGCGGCCGAGTCGTTTCTCTCGACTCCCTTGACAGACCCGCCCGCCGCCCGCCGCTCGCCTGTGTCTTCCGGCAAGATCCCCGTCCATCCAGACCCGGCGCATCGAGGTCAGGACCCAGAGGTCCAGAATCCAGAATCCCTTGTCATCCCCCTCACCACTGACCCCATTCGTCGGCCGAAGCCTGTCGTCTCCAGCGACCCTTGATTGACACACGCATACCCGGCCACGCTTCCCTCATCAGAGAAGCCACAGGACCGACAGAGCGTACAGAGAGTCCAGTCGGGGCGCAACGGCCGAGCGTGGGGTTGGGTTTCTCTCTGGCTCTGAGCAGTCAGTCTGTCTACCTGCCCCATCCACCTCTCATTTTTCCTTTGCTTACTGGACCTTACTCTTCTTCCACGCCTGCCTTTTGGCCGTTTCTATTCCCAAAGCCCCCCCAACACCATCCTCCAGGGCCCAGAGCGCTTCTTCGGCCTTCAGGTACCTTGCCCTAGTTTAGCACGCCGAACGGTACTTTAGCTTATCATGCTTGCCACCCCTTGGGTACCCGGCTCGAGAAGGAAAGACAAACAGGACACACGGGACGACGGCAGCGCAAGCCTATTGAGTTGATAGAGTCCGTGAGGAGAGTTCAAGGCGGTCTAAATCTAAAGCCAAACGGAACCCCTGCTCAATGCTCCTTTCCTCTGTTCGCGCCCCCTTGTCTTGTCCGTGTCTTGTTCCAAGGAATTATTCTACGGCGCCATCCGCCTGTTCTCTGGCTGTTCGCTCCTCATGCTATGCAACCCCCGTCCTCGCCCGCCATGTTTGGATCAAGCCATCATGGCGGAACTCTGGCGAGATTCCCAAGGGCACTCACCTCCCACCGACGAAGAGGGATCATGTACCATAGCAAAGACAAGCAGCATGTAGCAGACATGCACTGTGAAGGGCCCGAAAGCCAGGGAAGCAGGGAAAAGAGGAGACATCTCGTCTTGGCATCATGATCTCCGTCTGCCACTGCAATGTGTGACCAGTCCTCTACACGCCAAAAAGCGTGCTCTATTACTCGCCCATCTCGTCGGCTGCTCTCTCGTTGCTGACTGGGCTCGCTCACCACACACCCACGCCGTCCATCTGTCGGCCACCCTCCACAAACGAGTGACCACCCACCCACCAATGTGCATCGCATCCCACCCGCGACAGGCTGCCCTCTCTCGATCGGGAGAGACAGAGAGAGAGAGTGGGTGCGCTTCTTCTGCCTCTCCACTCAGCACTCCGTCCGTCTCTTCTTCTCCGTACCGTACCGTACTCCCAGTCATCCGTAACAAGCTCTGGCCGTCTCCCCCCCTCATGTGTCTCTCGCTCAAACTCTCGATTCTCCATCCCGGCTCAGTCGCGCGTTCGTCCCTCTTGTCGTTCCCCACTGACCTTTAACCCTGGACTGGGATCAAGACCTGGGCCAGCCTGACCTTCCACACTACCCACGACCTTACCTTACCTTACTGCTACCCTCCTCCTCCTCCTCCTCCTCCTCCCCATCCCATGTCCACCGTATTCTTCTCGAAGCCAAGCAAGTACCTGACCCCGGCCACCGTTTATGACCAAGTACCTCCTCCCGAGACTTGCGCAGAAGTGCCGCCTTTCCTGTTGAAAATACAAAATCATCCCACTTCCTCCTCCGGCTCTACCTTGCCTGCCCACCAAGAAAACGACATCGCACACCACACACAGCCGTACTCTTCTCAACTCACCACACATCCTGCGCCTGCCGTACATACGTATATACATACATACTTCCGACACCCCATCTTCGACGATTTCCCCGTCGTTGCAACACACAATTGTTTATTATTGTCCCATCATCCCTCTGCCACATACCTCCTTCTCACTCACTCACTCACACTCGCACGCACAACCCCTTCAGTCCTCATCGATTCACGTACATACATACTCGAGGCTTTCCCCGCCCTGTGTCTGACTGACCTCCTCGACTTACCACGAAGATCTGGAGTGCATCGCAGCACCGTACTACACGAAAAGAAGAACCGATCCCCAAGCCTGTAAGTGTCTTCTCCCCCTTCAGGTCGTTTGTTCTACCCTCGTTCTGCACGCACTGCCTTTTAAGCTTCCGACCACCCGCGCATCCCTCATCCCATCCCCACCAACCTCTCACTCATCCCGCTCGACCGCCTCCGCCCTCTGCTTTTTTTTTTCTTTCTTTCCCTGTCTACTTGCCCTCACTCCAGCCTGCGCATCTGCCTCCCCGTGGTGATTTCACAAAAAGCTCGCTTCTTGCCTCTCTGTGCAAGTTCCCGCTGCGTTTTTGCATGCATCATATTCATCACTATCATACACAATCAGCCCCAAGCGCAGTGCTCTCACCAACAAGTTTCTTGAGTGCGCAGCAGCGTCTCCACATCTCACTCAAGCCCAAAAATAAACCCTGGACGATCGTCTTCACCGCCGCCCTCGACTAACACGGCTGAAAAGATTTAGAAAAATAGGCACCATTGCCATCAGAGCACAACATCGCAGTCATCACTCGACGACTGCTAACCACACATACCAGAAATGGTCTCAACGTACCAGATGCCGGCTTACTACAGATCCACACCTTTGACTGTAGACACAACACAAGCGCAAAAGTACTACGAAGAGGAGGACCACAGCATCTTGGACGAAAGCATCTTGGACCACAGCGCACTCGACTCGGGTCTGGAAATGTCGCCTCCCATGGCTGGTAGCCGAAGGGAATCCTTCGCTGTTGGCGGCTCTCTCTTCTCGCCCAAGACGGAAGACTGGCAATCAGTCGACATGCAATCCGTGCCGTCCAACAACCCGTTCCTCGAGCAGCACAACAACAACAACCCTTTCATGCGCCTCGACCATGCTCAGCCCTCTCCTTTCGGCCACCAAGGCAACGCCTGGTCCTTGAGCAACACATCCGGCTCCTGCACTCCCCTGCAGCAGTTCGATGGCATGCCGGCCGAATACGACAACGGCACGCCCATGTTCCAAAGACCCGTCCAAGGCCAGACGCCCTTCACCAACCCTACCGGCCAGATCAACATGTTCGCGCCCATCGGCTCAGGGAACCAGTCCATTCCGACCTCGCCGCAAAAGGGCTGGCTCGGCCAGGCCGAGTCCATGGCCAAGAAGATGCGCCCTGGGAGCCCTACCATCCGCTCGCACAACGACATGAGGAGAGGTGACGGTATCCGGAAGAAGAACGCCCGCTTCGACATCCCTGCCGAGCGCAACCTCAGCAACATCGATCAACTCATCGCCCAGTCCACCGATGAGCAGGAGATCAAGGAGTTGAAGCAGCAAAAGCGACTGTTGAGGAATCGACAGGCAGCGTGAGTACATATTCTCGTGGCTTGAGATCCCCCGTGACTGACAAACAGTATAGCCTTGACTCTCGCCAAAGAAAGAAGCAGCACACTGAGCGCTTGGAGGATGAGAAGAAGCAGTTCACCGCCGTCCTCACCGACATGGAGGAGGAGATGGCCGACATGAGGAAGCAGATGGAGCAGCTGTTGAGGGAGAAGCAGTTCAACCAGGAGTACATTGAGTCGCTCACGATGGAGAAGGAGGAGATGATCCGCTCTCACACGATCGAGACGGGCGAGCTCCGCAAGAAGGTCAGCGTCCTCACCGACCACGTCCAGCGTCTCGAGAACGCAGCCATGACCGCCCCCGCCAACAACGCCTTCGTCTCCAACTACGACGACATGGACGGCATGACCATGCCCGGCACCTGGGACAACGTCAGCTTCCTCGGCGAGTACCCCATGGAGCAGGAAGTCAAGCAAGAGCTTCAGGTCGTCCCGGCCAAGAAGGCCGACACCTCCTTCCCTGCCGAATCCGAGAAGTCCTCGTCGCAGGGCGGCATCCTCTTCATGCTCTTCCTCGTCGGTGCCTTTGTGCTGTCGAGCCGGTCCACCCCCTCCATCCCACGGGTGTCGGAAGATGTCCGCGCTGAAGCCGCCACGCTCCTCGAGAACGTCTTCAAGGACGCCGGCATCAACGAGGCATCCAACACCATGAACGCCGTCGCTCCTCAGCCTTCTGGCGGTTCGTGGGTGGACAACTCCGCCGTGTCCATGGGCGACACGTCCATGGGCGGCGTCGCACCGTCGATGCTCGGCCAACTCGGTGACTCACTCACCCAGCCCACCGATGAGCAGACCAACGAGCAGCTCTTTGGCCTCTCGGCTGCCCAGTACAACGGCGTCAACGCCCAGGACTTCCTCAATAACGCCCCCGAGCGTTCCACAAGCCAAGGACGCAAGAACCTCGCCGACGCCCTCGCGGCGATGCGAAACACAAAACAGTCCGCGGCCGAAGTCTACACTAGATCTCTCCTTTGGGATCAAATCCCCAGCGAAGTCGTCAGGAACTTTGCCAAAATGGTGTCGGAAAGCAACAGCGCCAAAGTGGGCGCTAACGAATAACGAAGACAAAAGACAAACGACCCCATGATCATCACGTTCAACGAATCTCAACTCCCTAGCACCAAAAAAAAAAAAACCGACAAAGTTACCCTTTTTTCTGACATTATCTTTTCTTCTTTTCGGCCGAATCTCGTCATACACTTCTACCGCTCCCGCGGAACAAAACCCCCTCTCCCCAGACATTGTTGCTCACGCACCAAACAAAACCTCTTTTCACCGGCCATGATCGAAGCTCTTCGGACATATTCTTCACCCATCCTTTTTTGTGCTTTCCAATTTTTTGTTTGTTGCTTTTCGGGCATGTCCCATATTTCCTCTCGGTATCTAGCAAGCGAGCGAGCATTCTTGGAATTCTGGTCTGATATCACTGTGTTTCTTCACATATCTAGTTTGGTATCTACTGCTTTTTCAAGGCGAGGCGGGGGTCGCGCGTGGGTCGACCGGCCGGGGGCAAGGGAACACGGGACGGCCAAGCTTTTCCGATGCTTGTACAATGGGAAACTAGGGGGCCAGAATGGGTTTAGGAATGGGATAGGAGGGGGGTTGATGGGCGGATCTTGGGTTCATCGGAGGAGAGCAGGTCTCACAAACTATGAGGGACGTCATCTCACAAGGAGGGAGAGAAGGCAAAGGTGTTTGGATGGGACTGTGATTTTGTTTCCTTTTCAATGTCTTGTTTCTTTTGTTTTGTGTTTTCTTTTGTGCAAAGAAGGACAGCAGCAGCAGCAAGCAGAGCGCGCGCACAGAGTTGCAGATTGTTTTTTATTTTGGTTTTTTGGACGAGAAACGAGAGAGCGTCTCGCGACGAAACGTGGAAACGGAAATGAGTCGAAACGAACCTCATGAATCAATGACAGTCAAACGAAACGAAATATCATCACTGCTCTTCGAAAGCGCTTATTTGTCCCCCCCCGTCATCATTGTTTAATCTTGTCCGCCATCTTTTTTTTTTTGTGTTGCTCGGCCGTCTCCCGCGACATAGCATCACACGTACAAACCGACCAAACAGCCAGCACAGCGAGGATAAAAATAAACATTTTGGGTGCTCGGGTGACCGAGCAGGCAGCCCGTCGTTGCTTCGATCTCTTCTATTAGTGACCTCGATAGGAGGGTCTTTTTTTCTATTTGTGTAGTTACTTTTGCAATGCCAAAAGATAATACCATGAAACTTGTTCCCCGCCATAATTGGGTTTCCATATAACTTGTGAGAACACAAGTCGTAGCGTGACATTGTGACTTATCACGATGGGGAGCAGATGACACTGCGTTTTCCCTGGTCGTCGCCGCCGCCCCGCGAACAAGTCTAAAAACTCGCGGCGTCGCATCTCCTGTGCCCCATCATGCGTCGCTCCAACCCGCGAGGAGCGCCGCGGGAGACCGGGGGGGGGGGGGGGGGCGGTTTTGCAGGTGAGCAGAGGCTGAGGACACTTTCCTAGGCAGCTGGACCTGGTGAGCCGGGTAGAATGGCGACGGCCGCGTCAAGGTGATGGGATGTGGTCATCTTTCGTCTAGGACGGCATGCCATTGGGGGGGCCAAACGACACACTGGGATGCGGGGGGGTAGACATCCAAAAACCTGGCCGACGGCGGGCGGATTTTTACGGATATGGCACGGCGGCGGGAGGGACGAAAATGTGAACGGACGGGGGGGAAAGAGATCTATCGAGATCCATTGGCGTGTGCTGCGGTTTCTGCGTGATAAGATGGGCAATTGGACGTATTAGCATGATCGGTCCCGGTTTCCGAGGGGGGAAGAGGGTGGGATGTGCATGGCGTGAACGGGGGGGAGAGTATGGGTGTGGGTGTGACCGGGCATTCCCCCATGTTCAGATCGAAAAGGGCAACCTGATTTTTGACCAGTGAGGCGCGAGAGAAGTGGGTGAGTGACCTGCGCTCTCCGGGAATAGGTAGCGAGAGATTTTGTTTGGGTGGGAGGGGGGAGGATTCTCCTAGAGGTCACTCGGGGTGAGGTTACCTTGGTCTGAGGAGCATCAGGAGGGGGGGTAGGAGGCGACGTTGGAGCGGGAGCAAAGGGGACGGCGAGGGCACCGAGGCCCGCGTCCTGAGTCTGAGTGGTTGAATAGCCATTGTTGCGTTTTCCGAGGCCGGGGATTGGTCGATAATTAAGGGTGTTGTGATGACCTTTTCTGGATTCGGGGCGGCGCGTGAGATGGCGCGGCGCGCGAGAGGTAGGCTGAGCCATCCAAAGATGGTGGCATGCGGGTACGAGAGACGGACTCTGGATTCGGGGGGACTTGGAAAGGATGAAGGCTCCTGGGATGGGCGGGGTGAGCATCTAGGGGGTTTGGGGGGCTCGGAGGCGAGCTCCAGACAATGGAGCTGACGATAGAATGGGATTGTTCGGGGCTTTGGAGCTTCAAGCGCGGGAGCTTGGGCTAGGTATGTCCATTGTGCGTAGCGTCGTCTTTGTCGCTTTTGCGGGTGAGGAAGATGGACGTCAAGCCACACTTGTACACGCACGCTAAGGAGGGATGGCCGGGCGGAGCGGAGGATGGCGATGGATTGGGACGGTGGTGTGCCAAGAGCAGTCTCGTTCCCCCCCAAATCTAGAGTCGAGAGACGCAGATGACGGGTGAGCTCATTCGGTTTCGTGAGATCGCTGCCCGAGATGGGCAGGTGAGACAGGGCGATATGGAAATGAGTGGACAGCAGTTTTTCGAGATATCATTGACCTTTTGTCGGGTATTTTCGACGGGTGAGATACTTGAGATAACCTTGCGCTGAGATGGGATTGGGAAGGCAAGACGACAGGCAGACATACACACACACACACACACACTCTCTCTCTCTCTCTCTCTCTCTCTCTCTCTCTCTCTCTCTCTCTCTCTGTGTGTGTGTGTGTGTGTGTGTGTGTTGCTCTCAGGGTAGAAGGGGCAGGCAGAGAAAAAGAGAAGAGGTGTGACTCATCGCATGGCCTTCATTGGGGGTTCGTGCTGCGTCGAAAAACGAGGACCGTCGTGATGGCCTGCGTGTCTTAGACACTCGAGAGGCCGCATGCTTGGGCTCGCGCTCACGGGAGCGAGGGCGATGCTGCGCGGTGATGGCATGTCGAAGCATGGGCATGACATGTTTTCTCTTCTTTTTCCCCCGGATCCCTCTGGTCCCGTCGCTCGCCAGTCTTGGTTTGCATGCCGCCGTTGCATGTTGCAGTTCAAATCCAGAAACCCAGGTGTAAGTCATTCGAGGATCGTATGTATGTGTAATACATGACAGGAAGCAAGTCATCCTAGCGTCCTCACCCCGGCTCCTCTTCACCAAGCAGCAGAACCGGCCTGCGAACAGGGAGCACGCCAACGGCAACCTAGGCAAGGTTGAGCTCTGCGGCGAAAATGCGGTGAAGTAAATCCTTCCGCGGCGTCGCGGTTCTGCATCCTGGGGATCCCATCCTCGAGCGTTAGTGACGCGCGCTTATGCCGTCGGTGAAGAGACGGCCTGGTGGCAAAAGGGGCCCGAACCACTCGCCCTCGCTCACCCTACGCACTACCCGCTTCCGTTCACCTTGTAGTCCAAACTGTCCTAATGCCAAGGTGTGGGCAGGTGAGCAGTCATGATGCAAAGCTACAACGCGGACATTCTGCAAAGTTCGGATGTCGTTCGTCTCTCTTGCCGGAAAAACCGCCCGCGATCAAGACCGATGAAGCGGGGATCGGCCCTAAGGTGAGGCCAAGGTGAGTGTTAGTGCTAGCCTACAACAAGCACCCGAAGAGCGAGAGGGCTAGAGCTGATGACGTTGCATCCGTTCATTGGGCATCCGTGTGCTTTAGCTCTCGAGAGACGCTCCTAAACCTGCTTGGAATGTTCCTAGCCATGCAAACTCCTGCGTCGCGATGATTGCAGTTCCCCGTCTGCTGAACAGACGAACGCCTGCTCCGTGGTGATTCGACGCGGAGGGAGCACCGGTATCAGGTCAAGTATGCAAATCATACACACACGCGCGCGCGCGCCGCCAGTCCGCCACGCCGGCGAGTTCGCGAGCTCGCCGGGTTTCCTGAGATCTGGTTCCCCGGAAGGATTCTCTCCATCTTGCGACTAAAGCACGTCCTACTGCATCTCTAAGGAAACCGCCCATGTGAAGCCTCGCACATTGGCGGATTACGTACAGCGGTCATGACGACCATCTCTCGCGCCTTCGGCCTCAGCTTGGACTCAGTCCAACACCGCCGTTTCGGGACCCGCGCGACGGATCGGCGAGGGAAGTCGCGCAGGAAACGGTGAGGGAAGGTGGACGTGAAACGGTAAGACGGGCTGTTCTCCTGGCTGTTCTCCCCCAGGAAGAACGTAGCTAGCTTCCGCCTTTCCCACATGAAGCCACTCGCATGACTTTCACGTTGTCACCAGGCGTGGAGAGCCGTCAAGAATGCAGGACGATGCATGTCTCATCGAGCGCTGTCTCACCGAGCACATTCCCCCTCGGTGTAGCCCCAAACTTTGCAACCCGTTAGAGACGCTGCGATTCCTCTTGTGCAGCAGGCCAAACGCCCACCATGGACGCCCTCGTCCAGCTGTGCCCCTGAGCTCGCGGAAACTTGCAGGTCGTGAGAAGGGCGGAGACTCTTGCTCGCGCGCAAAGGCCATGCCGTGAATCGCAGGTTTGTAGGAGTCGCGTGTGTGCCAATAAAAACTTATCGTGCAGCAGCTTCTAACCCCCTGTTCTCTTCTGTATCCTTTTTAGGGGACGATGGAACGGTGGTCGCAGGACGACAATGTGCCGGAGGGTACCCTATCTCGGGCCGGCCGAGAACAGACGCCGGGCGTTCCAAGGGGGGCCGCCCGGGTACCGATGATTGCCTATTCCGTCTCCGCCATCGGCCGGGTCAATCGGGACAAGACCGGGAAAGTGCAAATCTCAACTTGTATTATGCTTTTGTGATATCCGACCTAGCGATGTGTTGGGTATGTTTAGACGGCAAATGTCAAAAAGAGCCCCTTTCGGCCCTCACGAAAACTCCTCGGTGTAAGCAGTAAATCCACCAGCAACCACTCTACCCAGACAAGCCGTGTGGCTCAGCCTGCACAGTCAGCTCAGCGCGGCTGGGTTCCCAGACAAAAGAGGGCCCGTACCGATCCGCGACAGCTGCCTGCGTCCCCCTCTTCACTTCCCTCCAGCTCCCCACACCTGCGAGACCTGCAGACCCGTCGGTCGGCCCACGGGTGCACAGCATAGGCTGAAGAACCCCGCGCCGCGCATGGGTATAGGATATCAGTTGTCCATTCGCTGCTGTACGTTCGCGCCACCCGAATTGCGATCACCGTGCTCCCCATGCCATCATTCGGGCGTTGCTCATAGGAGGAGGAAGGGGGGGGCAAGCGACAAATAGACTGCTCTTTCGCGTTGTTGTACCGTTTCCAACCACTGCAACACTGTTCAGCGCGATTCAGGGGCGACGGCCAGGAGGGCATACCCGCCGTGCCGTGTGACGATCCTGGGCGTCGGTGGCACCGCGGCAGGAAGAAAGGGAATCGCCGACGGGAGCCGACGGGACTGCACGGGACTGCCGTCCGTACGCACCCGTTTCGAGTATGCGACGCCGTGTCACCGTCGGTTCGGCCGTCTGACGCACGCGCAGCGCCCTCTGGTTACTTCCACCTTTGCTGCCTACTATTTCTTCCCTTTGCCGGCATCCGGGTCGTACTTCTCCTTCCAGATCCTGTTGGGTTGTCTTCGTTAGTCTCAGTGTCACACAGGGTATTGTTTGATCACAATGGGGCAAGGTTATGTGCAATGGCCTTGGGGAACAAAGGACAAGAAAGAGCAGGCAAGGGGCCGCAATGCACCACTTGGAAAGCCCCATCGAGACTCGGGGTGTCTGCACTTGAGGGCTGCGGCCCAACGCAAAAAAGCTTGCTGCAGCAGGTAATTGCGTGCAGCTCCGGACGCTCACTGTCGCCCAAGAGGATGAAAGCAGGGCGAGCTGCCGCAACAGGGGGCGGGAGACCTCGCCAGCCTATCAATGCCACAGCGCAAAAGTCATCCGCGACAGGAGCTGCAGCTGGCTCCCCCCTCGGTGGTGCATATACCGGATCCGACCCCGGGGAAACCCAAAGATGCCAGTGGGATAAAGGGCCAGGCTCGACTTACCAGGAGTTGCCTAGTGTTTTGTTGCCGTTCTTCTCGGCCAACCGGTAGTAACGGGCTGCTGCGAACTGGACATGTTGTCAGCCTCATGTGATGAAATCAAGCATGCGCCGTGCGCGGGTGTCGAGTGCGGCCGCTTTTCACGGCCGCTGTGTTGATGCCCAACCCAACCAAATAACTTTGCTGACGACCCAAACTGGTCTCCAAACAGGAATCCGCGCACATCCCATGACACACGCACTTGCTGATGCAAGCCACAAGTATTCTGGGGCTGTTGAGGCTGATGCTGTTCTCCTCCAGGGGCAAAGTCCCAGGTCTTGGTTTGCCGACTCCGACATGCTCGGCATCGCAAAGCAACGAGTGATATGTGATGAAACGTACCTTGTCCTTCTTGCATCCGAAGCCCTCGAGATAGCACCAGGCGACTTCATTCATGGCGTCTGAGAAGAGCAAGGCTGGTTAGCGTACCAAAATATTCCTGTTGGGCCTCAATGCACAGGAACGCATCATCGGGGCATACTCACCAGTGTCTCCGAGGTTCGCCGCTGTCTCATAATACTGCCACGGGACGTTAGTTCCAGCCGCTCAGGCATTACTACGACTTCGTATACGTTTGTTCGCTCTCCTAGGTTCTGTGGACGGTGCAACTCACCTGCTTGGCCGCGATTGGGTCCTTCTCGGTGCCCCAGCCGTGTCTGAAGGAGTTCGCCAGCTCGAAGATGGACAGGACGAGCTCGCCCTTAGCAGCACCACCCTTCGTTAGCCCGGCCTTCAAAGCCACTTGCTCAACGGTTGCTGCATTCGATGCCGCTGCGGAGAGGAACTTGATAGCCCCTTCTGGATCAGGCTCGCAGCCCCAGCCGTGCCTGTGAACAGTCCCTAGTCAGTATTCGCGTCATAGAGACCAGAGCGTCTAGCCATCGTGGCACCTGTCAAGAGCCGCCAAAGCCTCCGATGCAGTGTGATCGCCCTCGTCCGGCGAGCCGCGACGCTCGCGCACAAGACCATCTCGTAGGTGCGGAGAGGCACGATCAACGTTGCCGCGCAGGGTCCAGACCAGTCCAAGCAAGGGACTTACCTCAGAGCAAGGCCGTATAGAAACTGGCTGAGGGTGTTATTCGCCCCTTTCGGATCAGCCAGACGGGCAAACATGGCCGTCGAGTTCTCGAAATCCCCTGCCTCGTGCAGCCGGATGGCCTCCTGGATGTTCTCGTCGATGGCCGGAGACGATACCGCCGCGCTCAGAGACCGTCCCCTCGTCGTGCTCCCAGAGTCCTTATCACGCGAAGGAGTCGCAGGTCTGCTCTTGTTCGCCGACGCCAGGATCGTCGCGCGCTTCTCCCATTCCACCTCCTGCTCGCCCTCGGCCGTGGTTATGATGTCGGGTAGGTTCTGCGGCACGTTGTCCGACGAAGCCGGCGAGCGGCTAAGGTGCAGCCGTTCCGACAGCCGTCTGCCATCTTTCCTGTTAGGCGACGAGCTCGCTTGCGAAGAAGCGGACGCGCTGCGCGATCGGTTACCGAAAAAGACGTCGAGGCTGCGCCGGGGCTTCTGGCCGCCGACGCTGTCGTTGGGGTTCAGGAACTGCTCCTTCGCATCGCCCGTGGGATAGCTCGGGGGGTGGATGACCTCCTGTGTGTTGGTGTCTGATCGAATGAATTTGAATTCGGGGGCCGCCAGCCTGTCTACGGCATCCTGGCTGCTGGTGTCGCCATTGTCGAGGTGGTCCTTTTTCTTGAGTATGTCGCGTAAGCCCATGATGACGTCTGACGATTAGTGCTGTCCTGACGGACTGGTATTAGAACTTGAGCACAGGACTGAATGAAGACACGAGCAAGCACAGAAAAGGTATATCTGGTCGAAGAAAAGTAAATATCAAGTCTCCATGAAGAAGAACAGCTTGGTTATGTTGGGTTCAGCTTCGTCACGGTTGTTGCTATATTCGGCTTCGGGAAGAACAGCTGGGTGCAGTGGCGGCCGACAAGGGGCTGAGTAGACGGCGGCGGTGCACTTCAACGACGCGAACCCTCCATAAAGGTAAGGCAGCCCTCGGAGGATCAATCCACGATGGCCATCAAATGACGGGGCTCCCGTTAGCGCCTCGTCAGCGTCTAAGCCCGAGAACAAAGGGCTCTCAGTCACCACCAAAAGTACGTGTGTGGCGCTGGTCCCCGAATCAATGGTGGGCCATTCGAGTAACAAGAGGGGGTCTTTTGAGATGCTGGTGTGTCAGCGCAAGCAAAATGTCATCAGACGGGTAGCTGGATTCAGGAGGTTACAGGGGGTGAAAACTTTGGATGAAGGTTGGCGGGGTAAATTTCAAAATGTAAAATTTAATTGATCTAATTGAGACACCCTGGAGCACTCGGGGGTCGGCCCGCACGCGGAAATGATGCTTGGCCGAGGTCAAAATTTGGCTGCACCGTCATGGCAGCTTCCTGGATGGAGGTTTCCCAATTTTACCACATAATTAAGGGTTGGTCGCATGTATACATATCTTGTCGGTATATTGATTGTCACGGGTCAGGAAGTGTTTGTTCCAATAGTTTCTTTTGTCTCTATCCTTTTCTATAATGCTTCTGTTTCTGTTTCGTCTTCTTCTTCTTCATCTTCTTCTGCTTCTTCCTCTTCAAGCGTGGTATCAATACCCGCGATCATCCTCTTCTTCCTCTTCTTCTTCTTCTCCATGGGTATCGCTTGTGGTTCTCTTCTCAGCCGTTCCCGTAACCTGAAATACGCCCACTGCAAGGGAGCCTCGCGGCCTCCCTGGTCTGGACTCCCTCATGGAGGGGATAGCAAACATGTCAGTAAAGAAGAGAAACCGGAACGGCCTTCTCCATATGTGGCACGAGATCACGATCAGAAAGAGATAAAGTCCTTCTGGACCTTGAAGTCAGTATCATCACCAGCGCCGTCGGTGATAAACTCCTCGACCTCGTCCGAGTCCACGTCGTCGCTGTCGACGGGCTCATCATCGCTCGACAGGTCCTCTGATTCGTCCTCGTCTGTGCGCTTCCGAAGGACGCTTGCCCTCTCGCGGTGAAGAAGCTTACAGCCCTTGTTTTTACACTTGCCCGTATTGCTGAAGTCGGGGCACTCAAAGACATGCCGCTCTTCGCACTCGTCCCCCTTGTCGCAGTAGCCGTACATGCCGAACGAACGGCAGACCAGGGCACCTGGAGACACACTAGAGTGAGCATAGGGGCAGTTGGGATTCGCACAGTTGCCCTTGATGAAGTGAACGCATGTCGGGGTGCGTTGGGGCGTCAAGTCATGGGAAAGATCACAAGACTCCCCATTGGCGCAGTTCCCTTGTGCAACAGCTCCCGGCAGACGGCCACTCTTGAAGCATCGTGAATGTATCGACAGGCCGGTCCCTTGGCGCATGACCCTACATAAAATCGCCGTGGTTAGTGGTGTCCAGTACTTATCATACCCACTTAAGCAATAATCGTCAAGTTTGTTTGAGCGGATAATGGGTGAGCGGCCGGATTGAGATTGTGAATGAAATACCAGTCAGCGAAAACATGCTGCAAGGCACGTCGACCTTTTTTACGCCAGTTTGGCTGAGGAAGTAACTGAAGTTAGCGGCTGTCGATCAAAGTATGGATGATCATACCGTTGAGCTTTGAGCACACCGGCCCGGTATAGATTGCCGGTCTTGCTTCGATGGAACTTGACACCTCCGACAAAAGCGACTTTGGGCGTCGCGCTGACGGGATGGAGATCTCCTAAGAGGTTGTGAGTGTACTCTGTCAGAAAGGAGAAACGTGGCAACGCACCCGACACCTTGATGAGCTTGCTCCCGCTGTGGGCGACGCGGAAACGAATGCCATGGATCTCGACCTCGTGGTTGCCTGTAGCTGTGGGATTAGTAGGAGTGGGCGGCACTCTGGCTTGGCCTCCGTAACGATGGAAGTGGTTGGCAAGCTGCGACTGCTCGCGCACATCCTGCTGGCGATTCTTCTGCTGTCGTGATGCCTCGATGGCCTTGACATGCGCTTCGTTGTTCTTCTCGTAGACGGCCGAGTTGATCAGCGACCTCTGGCCGCGGGTGTTCTTGGAGATCCAAGCGCCGGATGAATTAGCTGGGCCAGATGCCTCGGGGGTGGGCGAGTCGGATGGCGGTGTTTGCGTTCCACCGTTGTTAAGTACCAAGGATCGATGGCGAAACCCCGAGGGGCCTCGGGTAGAGGGGTACGGCTCGACGCGATGCTTGTGGGGGAAGCCGCCGTGTCGGTGAGTGTTGTCTATATCGTGTAAGCGCCGAGTTGCACCCTGGAGAATAGTTGTACACATACTTCGGCTGTAGGAGGCCTGGGTACTTGGGACTGATTGTACGCCAGCCTGCTGAGCCTTGTGAAGATTGATCTTGCCTGTTTGCCACCAAATTAGAACCCACGCAGTTTTCACTGTTTGTTAGTGATGGAGTATTACCCGCAAGTTGACCGATCCTAGCCAACAATTCCTGTTCTTCCTGAGAGGGCATTTCGTTTGTTTGAGCGTCGCGCAGTGTTTTCGGACCAAATGTGTTGGGTTTGGCGAAAGGGATATTGCTGTTGCGATCGCAGGTGGTGTGTGAATGAAGAGTAGAAGATGAGATCACCGCGCCTGTAGTGGGAAGGAGACGCTTTGGCTTTGCCCTTGATCGGGGGGCCAGTGGAGACAGTCTGCTGTGACCCACTTTACAATGTTGAAGACCCACCATCCAATCCCAACTGAGAATGGCTTCTGCTGCAAGGCTGAGAGAGAATGTGAGGGAAGGAGCTCACTTCGTCCGCGTCTTCTCCCTTTGAATTTGGTGAAAATCCGACCAAGCCACTTTCCCCCCATCAATCCTCAAGAATACCAAGCGTTGACGTTCGGTACACATACCGTCCATCTTATAGTATCGCACTCCTAGGTACTCAGGGAACCTTCACAACCCAAAGACCTCTTTAAAAACCTTTGTCAAACGACAAGACCTTATTTGACAGTTCAAGACCCGACTCGACCTTTGACGACGAACCCGGACCACCCCGATCACCCGATTCGTCAACACGCTGTTCGAGAGCCAATAAGATAACCATGGCATCGTGGGATCTTTTAGATGACAAGGAGGAGCAGGAACTGCACAAGACGCGACTGGTTAACATTGAGGAGAAGCCCTTCAAGCGAATTACGAAGAGACTTGTATCCATCACCACAATCGCAAACTCTCAATTGAAACAGCAACCTACTCCGCCACCCGAGGGCGCGAACGGCGAGAAGGAAGACAACGTCGAGACGAAACAGGAGGCTGCCACCAAGACGCTTCGAGAGATCGATCAGATCAAAGACGACCTCACCCTCGACTTCGCCGCCTTCGACAGCAGCATCGCCCGCCTGCAGTTCCTCCTCGACGCCAACGTTCGCGAGCGCGAGCGCTACAAAGCCGACCAGCAGCGCATTCTCGAAGAATGCCAAAACGTTCGGGGCAACAACGCGCGGCTGCGCGAGCAGCTTGAGGGAGCCAAGGCCACGCTTGCCCAACGCAAGGAGTACGATAAGCTCGCCAACGCGCTCATGGCTAAGGGCCTGCGCCCGCGTGGGGAGCAGGAGTCGAACCTGAAGAAGCTCGAGGAAGAGATTCGCGACCTGGAGAAGGAGAGCGAGACGTATGCCGTCACCTGGCGCGAGCGCCGCGACCAGTTCAGTAAGATCATGGACGAGGGCATGCTGCTGCGCAGACAGATCCGCGACGAGAAGGAGGAAGTCGAGAGACGCGAGGGCATGAACGAGGACGGCGAGGAGGACGGCGAGGCTTCGAGAGGTGGACAGACGCCCAGGCACGTCTCGAGCGGCAACGTCACGCCGCACCCGGACAGCGGCGCGGTGCCGAGACCGACTTCGGCGCTGGATGGCCAGTCGGAGGAGCAGGGAGATGGTCTCAAGCCGCGACCGGGTGGCCCGGGCAGTTTCTCGCGGTCAGGCAGTGCTGTCCCGAGTCAGAACGGCACACCTCGCCCCCAAGACGACGATGACGAGATTGAAGAGGGAGAGGACGTTGAGATGGATGATCAACAGGACACTCAAATCACTTCAGGAGGCGACACGCCTCACATCACGGTGGATGCTCCTGATAGCATGGAGGTTGACAACTAGACATGGGGCGCACAACAGTCCGGAGAGACTCATACATAGTTCAACTGAGATACCCATTAAAGCAGGCTGTCAAAAAACTTGCTCATGACGCTTCCTGCCACTGAACACAACGCAATCCCTAGACCTGAGTTTTTCTAAATTTGATACACGACAGAAAACAAAACAAGAATCACGCTCATCAAGCCGAGCCAGTGTCGGTCACGTAGGTCTTCTCCTCCTTGCCCTTGGCGAGCGCCTGCTTCGCCGTCTCGAGCTCCTCGGGCGATGCGCCGCCGCTCTCGGCGAGGGCGATCTGCTCCTCGAGCTTGACGGTCGCGTCCTCGACGCGGGTTCTCAGGGCGGGGAAGACCTTTTGCGTCTCCTCCACGGCGAGTTTCTGGGGTGGGCTCGTTAGCATCTCTTCCGTCCGAAGAAAACATGGCAGACGCTCGGTGTCTTGAGACGGGGCGGTCTGAAGTGAGGGGTAGCAACATACCAGCTGTCTGAGCATGTACTCCCGGTTTCCGTCCTCGTCGGGCTTGCCCTCCGTGATCTCCGCCTCAAGTGTGGCGACCTTGGCCTTCTGCTGGATGAGCTCCTTCTCATAGGAGATCTCCTCCTTGAGGAGTCGGGTGACCGAGAGGGTCGCGACGGTAAGTTGGGAAGGGGGCGCCATGATGGTGTGTCTTTTGGTTTTTCTTTAGAGTTTTGGTGGGGTCTGGATTTTTTCTTTAACAAAGATGGGAGGTGGTGGTTTGCTGTGAGAAGTGTCCGATGGTTAGAAAGTTTCGCTAGGGGGACCGCTTGAGAATGAGTCTTCGTTGGAGGTCGAGGTAGGCTCCGAGATTACCTGTATGCTTCCCTGGATTCTTTCCTGCTTTTGTTTACACGGGATCCCGGTCGTTCTCTGCTGCTTGGCTGGCTACGTCAAAGGTGTGCAGGCTGGTGCCTTGGAAGCCACATTACGGTGGGGTGGTTTTCACGGCGGGGTGCACCCCGGCAACCTTGCCTCAGCTCAGAGCTGTTCTGAACTCTGCCGCCTTTGTGCAACTTCAGAGGAACATCACATACTCTCCAGTGACTAAGGCCAGTAAAACGTTGATTTTGAGTTGTTTCACTTCTGAGAGGCAGCCATTTCAACCTCTCACTGGTGGCGGAAGCCTTGGTACCTACGCGGCCCCAGCAACCCGGAGAACACCGGTCGAACCGTGGCCAGAGCTGAGTCCCCTCTGATGCCTTGGTTTTCAGAAGCACAGTAGGTGGTTTGGGATGATTATGTTGAAGCTGCTGGCAGAGCATTCGACAATGGTTGAGGTTGCTTTGTCGCAGTCGGTCACGTCTTGAATGACCTGTTTTCTGATTACGCGTTGACGGCCTGAGATCAAGGTTCCAACGGATAGCTTGGTGCGTTTGGAGGTATTTGTCTTTGCATCGCCCACGGAGTCGATTTATTTTGATACTAGGCTTAACATTGTGATCCAACCATCCTGGAGGGATTTGGCACCTTGGAAGATCAGAGAATGAGCGTAACATCAAGAAGTAGCTTATGAGACAACAACAGAGTGGTCATCGGCCATTCTTCGAATGGGCTAGTGTTAGTCTTGCACCAACCGATAATGGAGCGAACCTGGCGGCGGGCTGCAGACGGATCGAAATGCAACCATCCGAAGGGCCAGGCATCGCTTACGATTCCTGCTTTGATAAACTTAGTTGCTTTTTGATAAACTTAGTTTGGACCTCCGCTCCAGATTTCTGCTAACCAAAGGGTTCATAATGACTACCAATGTGAGAAACTCGAGTCCTGTCAACCCGCACTTGTATACTGCTATGATACATCATAACCATGGATGTGCTCGAATCGCCCGGTGATTTGGTCGTTAGGTGCAGCACTGATAGTCGATACAGCCCACGCCGTGACTATTAACTCTATCAAATGATTCGGCATAGTGACGAGATGGTATTGTTCCAGCTGCGTTCTCTAGCTGAGGTGGTTTGGACCAACTCAACACTCGACTGGCCACACTTCCCGGGTTTGACGACTTTCAACCCGGTTTTTCAACCGTGTGTAACACCCAAAGGAGAAGACAATCATCAGTATCGGGATACTACCAGATATGGCCTCCAGTAAAAACCTATTGGGAGAATCAAACCCTCGGAAATACGTACCCAGTAGGAGACGACTCGGCACTTTCATGGGCTGTTTGGATGGGGAAACGGCTATATACCATGGCTATTCAAACGAACCTAGCTGGGAAATTAGATTTTGACAATCTGCATGGTTCCTGAGCTATTCGAAAAACCATGGTGCGAACCGTGGCACCCCCCTCCATTACAAAACGTCGAAATACTGCCCTGACATCGCAACATCTTCGAGCACAGGAGCGGCGCATGTATCGCACACCAATCTCAACTGATACGGAACACACATCGAGTTACTTCTCCACAACCATCGATCCCGCAACTCTTGGAAAGCAAACCAAAAACAGACAAAACACAAAAAGTCAAGCGGCCCGAAGCGTGAGACATTCTAGCTCGCAACGGCCTCGACCCCCCTCTTGGCCGCCGACTCGATCAGCTCAGCCGTCTCCGCAACATGGGACAGAAATGGCGAGTGCGCCGACTTCCTCCGCAGCTTGACCGCCGCGGGCCCCAGCAGCCGCTGCATCTGCTCCTGCGCGAAGAAGGGCACCGCCCCGTCGTTCTCGCAGCCGACGTACATGCACTCCACGTCGTGCCAGGGCTCGTACGTCACCGTCTCCTCGAATGACGCGGTCGTCTGGTGCTTAAGGAGGCCGATGGCCCTCGCCCGGGCCTCGGGGGCGACGTCTCCGTAAAAGGCCTCCGTGGGGGTCACCACGTGCATGCGGCCGTCCTGGTGGCAGAAGAGTCAGCACTTGACGATGCGGCACTGGCCCTTTGGGTTTTCGCGTCTTGGGGAAGGAAGGGTGTCCGAGGAAAGCTGACCTCAACTTTTGCAAACGCCGGATACTTGTTGCCCGTCAAGCTCAGGATGGACTGCCCCTTGGGCCCGACAAAGGCAGCGAGGTACATGAATAAGATGACGCCTCCGGCCTTCTCCTCCTCGGCCCGCTTCTTGTAGCCGTAGCCGTTGACGGCCTCCGCGCCGGCAAGGCCGCCGTAGGAATGGGCAACGATGACAATCTGCTTGCCATGGCCGGCGAGCTCCTCGAGGACGGCCCGAACGGCGGCGGCGTCGTCGTACAGGCCTTTGGTAGGCGGCTCGGCGCCAACGGACGGGTAGGCCACGCCCCTAGTCTCGTACCCCCTCTGTTGGAGCTCGTCGCGGATGCTTTGATAGTGCTCTGGCGAGTGCCAAGCCCCGCCGGCGAAGACCACAACAGGTTTGGTCGACATTGTTGATGTAAGCTGCGGCGGAGAACGAGAGCTTGTCTTCTCTTCCAGTGGAGCCTGGATCGAGCGCTTCTCAGGAACTGGATTCGACTTGGGAATCCTTCCACCCGCCTCCTGTTTATGTATCCGTTCGTCTAGTTCTTTGGTAGGCGGCGGAGGGGTCAAATCGGGAATACAGTCATCTTCAGCAATAAGCGCTTAACTTACCTGAGGTGTTGAAGGATCCGGCTCGGACTGCTGGCGAATCATCCCAAGCCAAGACCTGGGAAACGGTTGGGGATCTGATCGCACACAAGTATGGGTTAGTGACTTTTGCCAGTTAGAACTGATATCATCCTTACGAAACTAGGATTGTTTGGCATTGGAGACATGTGATCATTATTGGGTTGGCTCAAAGGAACGCCTTGGCTCCATCAATTGACTGGCAGAATCGGACTCGATGCGGTTACCCCAAGTTTTTCCTTTGACCAAGTAAAAGGCCATATCGAGTTTGGCTTTGTCGGATTTAATATCCACCATCGAAGACCATTACCAAGTTTGTGACAAAGCAGGCTTACCAAGTTCGTTATAAATCTCATTGTGGCATCAAATCAGGCATAGTGAATGGCAGGAGGATATGATAAGTTGAAAGCATTATGATTTATATACTACTTAGAAGTGCCACGCGCGGCCTCGTTGCATGAAATTTGCCCATATCCCCGGTGTCCCACCGTCAAGAGTATATTTGTGCACCTTATAATAAGCCCTCAATCATATATCTATAGTGACTGTGTGGTTTGTCCCTCACAACTGCGAAGGGCTTCCTATGTCTATAAGAGGGTCCAAAGAGAAGAAGAAGAAGAAGAAGAAGAGTATGATATCGCTTATGAAAATCAGAAGAGAGGTATATAAACACCAAGAGCCCAAGTCTATGGAAGCGAAATTATGCATTTGAAATAGAAAGAAAAGTCTAGACACCAGGAGTCTTGAACCCCGTGACCTTGGGCCAGTCGCCCAGGCGGGCGGGGTCACCACCGATGCGTACGTAGACACCGACGGCGGGGATCCCACCATCGAGGACGAAGAACTGGTACCAACCCGGAGGGGCAACACCAGCTCTAGGTGGCGCGGTGACAGTGCATGAAGTAGCACCGCAGCTCACAGCCGGGAAGATAGTGCGGGCTCCCATCGAGTTACCGTGGGTCGAGGTCACAGCACCGAGGAGAGAGACCTCGATCTTGCCGTTCACGGGTGCATGACCAAGCTGGAAGGAGTATGTACCGCCGTACGCCCAGTCAGTCTGGGTAAGGGTGAAGGTAGGGCGCGTCTTCTTGCCGGTCAGATAGGGAGGGTTGAAGACCTCGACGCGGTACTCCTGCGGGTGGACTCCATCTTCAGGGTCGGATCCAGTGACGAGGACACGGCCGTCGAGAAGGGTGATGGACTCGGAGTGGTAGAGACGGGCGATGGTGGTGTTGGCCATGACCGTGATACGCTGACCAATGGGCTTCTTAGGGTCGTACAAGAGGGCGTTGAGGTTGGGGTTCGTGGCGAGACCGAAACCGGCAACACCTTGCTGAGCACCGTTGTTGATCAGGTATGTGCCATCAGGAAGAGCAGCCATGCAGGAGATGACACGGGCTGAAGGCATACGCTCGAGCACCCACTTGGGGTTGGAACCCTCGGGCTCGATCGAAACGCAGTTGTCCAAGGCGAAGCCAGGGCCCTCGGTAGAACCACCACAGATAAGAACACCAAGAGGATCGGTGTAAGGGGCATGCTGGGGAAGAAGAACGCCAGTGCCCTCAAGCGGGTAGGTACGGCCAGCCAAGGGGTTGTTGACGGAACCAGGGATATTGGGAAGCACCGTCTTGGTGTTGAACGTGGTCTTGTCCAGGATTCTGGCCTCATTCCAGTAAGCGACGAAAATGTCCTCACTGGGAAGCACGGCAACGAAGGGGTACAGGTTGTTGGGATCGGTGCGAGCGAGCCAGTCCATGGTGAGAGGCGCCGAACCGGTGAAAGGCAAAACCTCGATGGTAGGCACAGCCCGACCGTTAGAACCCTCCTCACCTCCAATGACGAAGATGGAGCCGTTGGCCATGATCATGGCAGAGGGGTACCAACGGCCATCCTGCATTCGGAGGTTCTCGACATCCTCTTGCCAATCATTGGTGCCGGGGGTACCGGGCTTGCCATCAGGCCAGTATAGACGGACGCCATAGGTGGAATCACCGGACCAGCCACCAAGGTTGAGCTGACGTCCCGCCTTGTCGGGAAGAGTGATGCCAGCAGAGCAGAAGACGTCAGTCTTGACGTGCATCGGTCTCCAAGCCTGGTTGATATCCGGGACGAGGGACAGATCCAGCTCGTAGGCACCAGTAGAGTTGGGCGGTCCAGTGCCGAACTTCTCGAGGAAGGACACCTTGCCAGTAATGGACTCCATGGTCATCAGGGGGATGCAAACACCGCCGATGAGAAGCTCGTAGGATCCAGCTGTAGTTGCGTCCGTACCGAAATCCCACGAGTAGAGGGGCTTGGTGCCAGTCCAAAAGTACGTGGAGATACGAGCGCCACCACCGCAGATGGAGCTTTGGTTTCCGGGGCAGACAATGTTGCACTGTGTTTCATCGACGAAGTTGACTTTCGGGGTGGCCATGGCGATGTTGGCTGGATCACCGCAGTAGCACTCCTCGCCATATTCCAGACCAGCGGCGGAGTAACCAAACGAGGAGCACCTGTCCAGGCACGTGTTGGCGGTGTTGACGCCCGGGAAGAGGACCTGCCATTTGAGAGGTCGCGTTGTGCCCTCATATGAGAGGCAGCCTTGGTAGGTCCAACTGCCATTGAAACCACTCTTTTGGGGCACGGGAGGCTGATAGGTCTGGGGGGTACCCTTGGACATGATGATCATGCGGTTGGGACCACCACACATCTCGGCCGGCTTGCCTCCACAAGGAGTGTTGCAGGTCGTAGCGTCCGTAGCAAGAGCACCGCCGTAGTAGATGGCATTGCCACAGAAACACTGGGTGTGATACTCGGCACCGGCAACCGTATAACCTGCGGCAGAGCATGCCTGGGCGCAGGAAGCAAGCGTCATGGCAGGGTCGTCTGGAAGTTGGTTGGGAAGAATGCGGCCGTTCAGGTTGTCAACCCAGCAGCCTTGGTTCGTCCAGCCAGTAGGCAAGCCGGTCGCGACGGGGGCTGCAGACGTGGTAGCGGCACCAGTCGCAGATCCAGTGACGGAAGATGAGGAAGGCTGGGTGGAATCCCCAATGGTGTAGACGGACAGGCGGTTGCCATCTCCGCAGTACTGCAATTGGTTGCCCATGCACTTCATGCCGCACTGGCTGGCGGGGGCAGGGACAGAGCCGGCAGTGAACGAGTTTCCGCACCAACACTCGCGAGAGTATTCAACACCGAAATAGGTGTTGCCAGTGCAGAAATCCGCACACTTCTCCAGCGTCATGTCATCGGATGCAAAGGTCTTCGCGTTGAGAGCACGGGCGTTGGTAGCTTCGGTCTGGCATCCGTACCACTTCCACACGCCAACAGTCGCTGGCTGGCTGAGGACAGTAGGTGTAGGGGCCGCAGACGACGAGCTCACGACGGAGCTGCTGGCAACGACGGAACTGCTTGGAGAGACGGCAGCAGCGCTGGAAGAGACAGCAGCAGCACTGGAAGAGACAGCAGCAGCACTGGAAGAGACGGCAGCAGCACTGGAAGAGACAGCAGCAGCACTGGAAGAGACAGCAGCCGCGCTGCTAGAGGTCGAAGCGAGCGTGGGGGCCGGGGTGGAGGTGGAGGTGGGCAGAGGCAGGAACTTGTGTTGGAAGTCATAGACGTTCAAACGGTTGGGACCGCCGCAGTACTCGGACGAGTTGCCATTGCAAAGCATGTTGCAGCCATCGACGGCGGGAGCACCGCCGTTAGCAAAGCTGTTCCCGCAGTCTACTACACGTTAGATGCTTGCGGCGAGACTTGTTACATTGTGGTGTCGACTTACAGCACTCTCCAGAGTATTCAACACCGGCCAGGATGAAGTTGGCGCCGGCACAAGCGGCGGTGCACTTGGCGACGGTCATCTGGCTGCCAGGGATGCTGCCGACACCGTAGGTGAGGGTGCGGCCCCCGTTACCCTCTCTACGATGGTGTAAGCTTTCCAGTCCAGGATTACATAGTATCTATCGGGGTTCGTGGACTTACGCGTAGCATCCAATGGAGCTCCAGTCACCGACTCCGGGGTTCACCGAGGGGCCAACGATCAGGGAAGTCTTGTACAACGACAATCGGTTGGGGCCACCGCAGGGCTCAGTGGCATTCCCGCTGCACGGAGTCGTGCAGTCGGCCTCGTTGGCGAGAACACCGCCCTTAGCCAGGGCATTTCCGCAGTAGCATTCGTTGTAATACTCGGTGCCGGCGTAAGAGTAACCCTTGTTGTAGCAGTAGTCTGTACAGGCCGCGTTGGTCATCTGGCCATTGGCCGTGGCGCTATCACTGATTGTGCGGCCAACATCGCTATTCGTCTGTTAGCAACTGCCTCTTTTCTACGTAGTCTTGCCGTGAGGAGAGGGGGACTCGTACACATAGCAGCCCTGGTAGGTATAACCGTGGGTGAGGTTCGCGGGAGGGGCCGCACGCTTGTAGATGGTGGGGGGAGTAGCTGCGGCGTTGACGAGAGCCGAGGCGGAAAGAAAAGCGAAAGACAACTGTGTGGCCCTCATGGTGACAAAATGTGTGCCAAGAGGCAGAAACCAACACAAGATGATGGTTGTAAAGAATGTGGAGAAGTGGTGGGGAGTGAAGAGAGGAGAAAAGTCATGATGGACCCGGGAACGACGAAGGTATATATGAATTTCGATTCAATGCGCAGGCAATTTCAAAGTGACGGCCGGACAGGTCGATTCAGAGGAGCCCTAGAGGGACGGGTACGCGATAGACCAGACTAGGCTCCGGTCAGCTCCTCCCACTTGGGAGAGAGGTGATCTCCCCCCTCGTAGACCAGGGGTTAGCGTAAAGGCTCAACGGAAGAACGGCCAGGAACGGAACTAGAGGGGTGCCACGCTCGCATGAAGCTCTAGCCTGGAAAGGGACCAGCAGGGCTAACCGGGAGTGCTAGATGGGCTGCGTGGGCTGCACTCGCAGTATCTAGCGTGAGAACCTGGCTGCGTGGGGCCGGGAGCTGACCTCTGGTTGTCGTGGCTGTCGGCATGGAGCGAGAAGAGAAAGGATGTGGATGGGAAAGGCGACAAGACGTTGGCCGATGGGGTGAGTCGGCGTGTTTGAGCCGTGGATGACACTCGGGGAAAGAGGCGAGAAAACAATGAAAAAGCGTGGGCGCTAGCCATGAATAGCGTCTAGTCCCTTTGTGCCCGAGCCTTATCCAAGGCACCGTCACCCTCCGCCACCCATTCTAGTCGTCCCGTTGTTCGCCATCGCCGTGGCCATATCTAGCCGTGGCAGACGATATTGGCTCGTCTTGCCCCATCTCGTCCAAGCGCTTCGAGGTGGGAGACCAAGACGCGTGGAGGCATTGGATGAGGGGAGCACAAGGGGCCCGACTGGAAGGGCCGGAGGCTTGGAACTAAGAGGCCATCGCCTGGATAGACGAAGAGAGGGAAAAAAAATTAACGCCGGGCTCCTAGTGCAGCTCTTGGCCAAGATGACAACCTCGAGGATGTGGAGATTGGCACAGGCTGTAGGGAGTGGGAAAGGTGCGTGCGCATCCACGTCTGCCGCTTCGATTCGTCTGAAGCCTAGAGTTGACGAGAGTTTCCTGTCTTGAGTTTTCTCCACGATGCGCTCTGGGATCAGGGTCTAGCGCCAAAAGGGGGTGCATGGGTGGGGTCTGGCCGTGCAGGGGCCATCACGAGAGGTACGTATCTATTTCTCCATGGGGTTAGCCGGCTTATCTTGCTGGGCGACAGGGCACCAGGGGTCGTTGGTCTTTTGGTTGCTGCCATTCTTAGGTTAAGGTAAGGTAGCTAAGGTAGCACAGAGTTCCGGGTCGTTTAGCAGACGGCAGACGGCAAGTGATAGCGGAACCGGGCAGGCAATGGATTGTTTGGGACTGCATTGTCGGGCGCCCTGAGAGCCAAGTATCGTTGCACACCTGAAAGCTGCAAGAGTACCTGACAGAGGCGTGTGCTGTTGGTCCAGGAAGACCATGTAGCTGGCTACAAGGCCAACTCATCATTGTAACCCACAGAACCCAATCTTCCTTGACTTTGCAATTTCATCTCCGGGACATCGGCCAGACTCTAAAACCCTCTCTCTCAACATACGTCGTCTAGTTTTGGGCGCGTCAAAGAACGCGAGACGAGCAGGTACCAACAGAGGCTTCTCATCTCGACCAGCACCGAGTATCCAGGTAACGACGGCTCGTGATAGGCCTTGATCTACGACGCCCCCAGAATATGTGCCTTATGCAGGAGAGTCGACCGCATCCCGTTACTTCCAAACAGGGAAGAGCATCGTGATGGATAACTGGGGCGTCTCTTTGAAGCATCTTAAACTTCACTGGCTGAGGCAAGTGGCTGAGGCTGACCCGGTCCCGTCCCGCCCTTTGCCTTCCGCGTCTCGTCTGACCACCCATTGGCGGAGGCTCTGAGGGCGTCGCGAACTCTCTGGGGTAGGTGGTGTGAATGCTGAAGTCACCGAGAGATCCAGCCATTGACATTGCTGTGTCAAGCTGCAAGCCTCTCGATAGCCATGCAGGTGGAGAGCAGCGTCGCATGGCCCCATCCATCATCGCTCGAGTCCCCTTGCAGGGCTCCTGGAGAAGAAGGTGTCAATATTGCTGACATACCTCTAGCATTTCCAATATTCCAAGCTTGCCTACGGCGCCTGTGAGGTCAGCTGGGCAACGTGGTGTTGCCAGTATTCAGCTGCGTCTCTCTCCAACAGCATCATGCATGCGTACTTGCCGTATTGCCTAGTGATTGAGCCTCGATCAGTACGAGGCAGTGTCCTGATCTGGATTCAACCGCTCCGAGACAGCCACCTGGAGAAAACTGGTGATCCCCAGGCTCGGGCGGTTCATGGCGTCCGACATTGGCGTCAGTGGACGAGCTGTACGCACAAAGAGTGAACAGTTGCCGCCATCGTACCAGCTCCTTGGAAACCCGGCTCTTTGCCAAGACATGTCAAGAGATTCGGACGCTTTTGGGTTAATCGGTGCGGCTGCTCCACCACGAGGCGAGCAGCCGTGGACTGGCTGACATACGAGACGCGAAGCATAATGGGATGGCTCTAATAAGCGAGGCCCGTTGGACCATTTCGAGACCGGTTAGAGAATGGCTAGTGCTCTTTGTCGGGTTCTGCCACCAGAATCCTGATACAAGACATAGCCTTTGTAGAAGGGACGAGTCAGAACCGGTTGACTTTCTTTCTTACTTTCGGCCAACATCTCGCAGCGGTGCAGTTGGATTTCAGGGTTTATTGCAACTCCACCTTGGAGGGACGTACCGCAGCTACCCTTGCTAATCCAGATTGGGTTAGGTGGAGAACGTGGCTTGATGGCACAGGGGGTAGGACAAGGGCAAAAGGGGGGGCAGAGGGAAGGGAACGTGAGCAGCCATGGTACGAGCCTCTTCCGTTGAACCCGCAGAATCTGCGCCCTCTTCTTGCCATCACGTACAACACCTTACGTGACTTGGCTCACACAGCTACTTTGCAGTCTGCACCTTACCCTACCGATGCTCTGCCTTCTCTCAGAGACGAAGCAGAAGCAGTCGGCGTCGGGACGCACGCGCATACGATCAGTGCGCTGTCCCAGTTCTCTGGGAGACGCGCCGTTGGCAGACTTCGTCATCAGCCAGTCTGGACCGCGTTCCCAGCGTCGCGGTAACGACTATCACCAGTACCGACAGGAAATAGGCCCCCATCGATGGACCATCTTGGCACATTCAAGGCTTCGCAGCAATCCTTAGTCAGCCCTTTCGGTAGACAAAATACCAGCCAGCGTTGTACCGCAGCACCCCAGTCAGCCTTAGGGATTATCATTGGATCGCCGTCACCGCCAACAGCTTGTGCAACGCAGTGCGAAGACGCATCCTCGTCGTCATCGAGGCAGAGGTACCGACCGGGCCCTCTGCGGATGCCCAGAAACAGCCCGAACCTCCTCGTGTCCCTCCTCCTCCTCGGCAAGCGACCCCAACGTCAGCTCTAGCTGGAATTGCAATTCTCGATCTGGTCTGCCCACCACTGCATGGATACTCCACTTGAATGCTGCAGTCGACGAGGCCTGGTTCGTATTTGACCATTATTCGGCCGGGACAACCCTCTTCTTTCCGCCTCTCTCCGCTCCCCCTTGATGTGAGGACGGCGCCTACCACGGTGCGCCGACAGAGCTGGGAGTCATGGATAGGCCAACTATTGGTGCATGCTGACCACCCTCCGAGGGTCCAGCACATGGATGACCCTCGCCGAGATAACCTTATCGCTCACGAACCCGGCAACAACTGCTTGATAGTGCTCTGATCCCCGAATAGAACAGCAAGGATCCAGGCGCTGCTGCTCGCCTGCGGTCACGAGCTCTCGAGCTGGTGCACCAAAGACAAAGACAGCCAGCCCATTCTGCATGCGTTGCAAATCAGGCAGCGGCGGTGTAGCGAAGCCACAATGTGGATCACGATGGCCACCAAAGTCCTTCATCGGGTGTCAAACATCGGCCGCTGGCGACGCAACTGCCCAGTTGTCTAAAACACCAAACAACTCTAATCGACCCCACTAGCTATCCGCCGGGTTCAATAGCGCAACCAAAGGAGCAACTTGGAGCGAATGGCCAAGGCCAGCCTCAAAAAGCCACATGCCACCTCCTGCTCCTGTGCCTTTCTCTCCTTGTCTCCTTTCCAACATTGCCAATGCGCCTCTTGCCCCTCTTCTGGACATTTCGACCATTTTTTTCCTCTTTCTTTCTCTCTCGTCAGCGAACCCCAAGTCGTTTCCTGCCTGTTCCTGGGGTTGCAATCTGATGTGTTGACTTGGTCAACCAATGCCGGGCCGGTCTTCTGTCAGATATGCATGCACCAAGTGCCCTCGCAGCAGCAGTCATGCATGCAATGGCAAGTCGGGTTCTCGTATTAGGAAAGCACACCCATCAGGGGGAAGCACCTAATTGGTTTACCAGAAAATAGTAGGTTGGAGTACTGGCCCGACTTACACGGATCCGCAAAACCGTACGAGGTGGTGGTTGTTGGGTACTTTTCCAGCATCCGGGCGGCCGAGATCAGAGCCGCTCTCAGTTTGAGCAGCGCAAAGAGGCAAAGCAGAACATTCAACCTGCATCCACACTTGTATGTCCCCCGTCGTCATTGTCCTCGCGGTTTGGAGGAATTGATCCGCAAGAGATATGGGGACCCCGGCTTTCTGTCTCTTCACTAAAACACCATTGTTGAGCCTCTTCAGCTGATGATCAACGACCGGCATTGTAATTCCAGACCGCATCTCCAGAAGCCTGGGATTCACACGGCACTTGTCCGCGCAGAAGCTCAACTGGTCGTCGCGTCCCAGTCCTTTGGAAAGAAGCTGATGGCGTTACAGTGGTCAGCGCCACCCTTGACGGTTCGGACTAAGCGCTTGCGAAGCCGCTTTCACATCCTGAGCTTTATGAGTGATTATTTCCGCCCGCCGGCCTGCAGCTTCGATTCCCCTTTTAAGACGGACCTGCTTGCTGGCGCTGACACGCCCGATCCTAGCGACTACCCGCCAGCCCTCAAGGCCACGAGAGCCACCCCTCTGTGGCTCAGCCTCGGTCCAAATTGAAACTAGCGTTGGATGTGAGACCGCCATATTCGATACCGTCGGCCTTCTTACATTTGGCTCGCTCGGAACCCCGCTATGCCAAGCCATACGTTATCTCACGATCAAACCAGTGTGCAATGGTTATCACTGCTCCTGAAGGGATTCGCAGACCCCTGTACGGTCCCTCTCAGCTTTCTTCGGAGACCCCTGACTAGCGGGCATATCCGTAAGGTCATGGGCTAGATTCGCTGGCACGGCTAGCCAAAGACAATAGTGTCTTCCCTTCCTTACTTCCCCGCGCAGCTCAACTCTTCAGTCTTTTGGTCTTGATGCTTCGCCTCTTCAGGCAGCAAAGCGGCCATTATCCAATGATATGGGGGATAATGTGAGCAGGAGCAATGAGGATGACTATAGGAAACAGGCATTTTGACAGCCGCCTAGACCCCTTGGCGAGCCATCAGCCGATTCTCATCCGTACTATCCAATTTTCGCACAGACTGGAAAAATTTGCACACCAAAAATACGGCGCCATCCGTGTGCTCTAGTCTTCATCTAAATGGAGACTCATTTGCGAGCGGGCTTCCGCTGCCCGGGCGCTTGTTGAAGCCGAGATCTCGCCCTTGCTCGCCCACCCTTCAGTGCGCAAGCCGGCGATAATCTGACCACGGACCCTCACCGGCGTCTTGATGGCTGCAATGCTCATTTCCACAATTCCATCTCATCAAGTCCTTTTGACATTGTCTATTGGTTGAGCTGCGGTCCATATCACATGCCCCCTTCTGTGCGTATTAGGCAGTATGCAACCCTTGCTGTGCCCGTGCTGCTGTGGCAAGGTTTGCCAAGCAGTCGAATAGTGATACCAAGCTTTGTGGCATCAGTTAAGGAGTTCACGATAACTTCAGGCGCACGAGAACCCCCCATGTACAGCGGCTGGGCGCTGCGCAAGGAGAAGTATCTGGCATGCGCCACGAGAATGAAGATACGAGAAGCTTGGCATTTGTAGACCTTAAAGAGCGTGTGATGCCCTCGCCGGTTCAGGACCAACCTGTTGTAACTCGGACAGGTGAATCACATGCGACCAGTGTGTTGCAGACTTGTACAACGAGAGACATTCCGAATGTGGCAATCGCACGAAACATTTGACCACGACGGCTGTTGGATTTCCGCCTAGGGCTGAGAGACCGAGACAGAGACGGGTACTGCGGTAGAGGGCTTGGACCAGGGGGTTGACTGACCTTTTCGAACCTCCAGACCAGATCGACAAGACGGAGATATGTCAGCCACAACCACCAGGGACGCGTATTTCGTCGGCCAGCTCCATCGCCACTCACGAACAGATATCCCGCCTGCCCTCGAGGTCGACATCCCGTCCCGCTTGGACCAGTCAGGGAGGGGAGCACAACCCGGCTGGACTATGCCGATCGACCAGGTCGACTTACACGGCCACCTGCGACGTTGACAAGAGGCCCAACGACGCGCCGCTCCGCGCTGAAGTTTGTTTTCCGATCGGCATAACCAAAGGGACCCCGCGTTCTATTGTCCGCAGTCCGGCGCAGCTTACCCGACACGCGGGCAGAACGCGTTGTCTCGAGCTTTCTTTGTTTCTCCAACAATAACCGTCCACTCGAGGGCGCCAGGACCTGTGAGGCAAGAGTATGGCGGCGCCGATCTCTATTTAAAGACCAATGCCGTCTTACTGAACCCCGCCAGCCCTTGCATCTGCGGCATGCAAGGGATCTGGTGGCGGTGATTCGATGCTGTGAGACATACTCTTTGCTTCTTGGAGGCGGAGGCCCTTGCATGTGTTAAGCGGTGCCGAACACGGCTGCCCATTGGACCTCGGGGATTCTGCTCCAGGGTACGGCGATCTTGTGCCAAGACGTGATGCCGGGCCTCTGAGAACTCGAGTTGCCTGCGAACTCGACCTCTATTGACGGTCTCCGCGTTGGCAACGGAAGGTGCGGTCAGACTAGTGTAAAGGTGTAGTCTCCGGAGACCAAAGACATCGCCTTCCGACTCTCATCTTTCAACATTAAATTCTCGGCCCCGCCATCGTTGCGAGTGTTCCCAAGCTCCCGGGGTCGCGGATCGAGACTATGTCTCTCCCTTGACTCGAATCGCAACTCTGTGATCCAGACATCACGGCCGTTTGGTAAGAAGCAACGCCGCGCGTCGTTACAGAGACACGGCCGGCGCAACGGCGGTCTGGTGTCGCTACTGACTTTACCGGCGACTGGGGACGGCCCCGCAACGCTGTTTTGACGTCCTCTCAGTCTGCGACGTAACCGTTGGTCCTTGTTTGGTGTGAAATCTACACACATGTATGATTCTCGCCAAATTGCACCGTAATACTGTGAGGCGGATCTCCCGTTGGAGTTGCATCAGCTGGTAGACGTTTCGCAATGTCGGTTCATTTGCTTGATTGATGTCACACGCCGTCCAGGGCTCAACATCTTCTAGGTCGTGTTTGTACACGTGTTGGTACCTGACAGCTGGACCTGTCTGTGAATATTCGAACGTTCTCAATAGAGCTATAAACTCATTTGAGCCCGAAGACTGTGCTCCTGACGTTATCTTTGCAGCCTAATCTGACCCTGCAACGAGTGGAGACTCTTGTGCTTGCTTCCAAATGGCACATTAATACGACAAGTGATCCCTACATCCTCAGTGAGACCCATGGTCCATGATACCGCGATACTGGGTCTGTGTTGTAATCTCAACAGCCCAATCCCGAATTCAAGCTGGAGGAGCTCGTATCCAACCATATTGGCTAATGACACCCTCTAATACTTACGTCTTCTGTTTTGGTAGCAAAGCGCGTATGCCAGCTATTCAGGGTTTAAAGGAATGTTCTTAAAGGGTCTTGTCTATCTTTACATCCACAGATGTACAGGCATTGGGAGTAAAACAGGATACCGTGAGAGCTACTATAAATTGAATGAGAGAATGAGTAATTTTGAAGCTACTTGTAGGTTCGGCTGGAGAGGAGGCCAGGGTGTCGGCAAAGGGCGGGTCACGAGTCCAGGTTATGCATCTGAACGGCCCCTGAAGCATATCTCGGGAAGATCTGTATCTTGCCCTGAACAGTGTGCGCAGTCTCTTGCTGCCAATCACTCTAGCATCTTCAACAGACATCTACTGGGCATGAACTATGTGGCCTCGGTATGCGGCTTGAGGAACGAGGACTCACCTGTCCAGTTGCTAATATAACCATGCTATCATGGTCCCAAGCAGACCCTACATCTGCGAAGATACCAAAACACATCCTTCTATAGAGGGGATAAACTACGTATTATCCATATTTTATCGCTGAGTAACCTTTGAGCATTAATAAGGTTGCTAATACAAAGATGCTGCCAATGCATCTTTGATATTATGGTGGTTCTGAAATCGGAATCCTACTTCGTAGACATACAGGAGCAGATATCATTTTTATGATTCTTTCGCCTAGCATAATACGTCACTCTGGTTGATAAAAATATCTTTATATATCCCAGGATCTGTCTCGTAGTGAGTATGGCATGCCTGTTTTGATTGTGAATATGCGTGTACATCATCTCATCGGTCAACAACAACCGATTCAATGCAGATACACAACCGAGGCCTATTCAAATGCTTTAGAAATCTGGTGATTGTGACCATCTAGAGCATGCCCTGTAGTTCTGGGCCCACAGTCCGTCGTCTCAGCGTACGCGATTTTGTTACATACCGAATATGGGTTGCAGGCTGCGTTGTTTGCTGACAAGTAGGCTGCGCCGGTTTCGTACAGCAACACAATGCCATCGAGATCTCACAAGCTGCAAGATCAAAGTCCACGGCCCCGGATGGTCCCATGCAGCAACCTGTGACAGCCCCCTTGGTGTCTGGCATGCGAGCGGTTGTTCAGACAGATCAAAATGGCGCCCAACGAAGACCTTTCTTAAGAGGAACCTTCAATGGAGCAACGATAAGACCAAACACAGTCCTCCTTCTGAAATCCCAGAGAAGTCGTGATCATGAGATGCTTCACCATCAGATTATCCAACCTTGGAAACAACAACACACATGATATCGATGTGAGTTTAAATTTCCTTTCGCCCAACTCTCAGCATCCTCAGGCATGCTTCGATAACCGTACTGTATGTAGCCCACTCTGTCATTGATCAAGTCGACGGGGGCTTGCGTTCCTGACAAGCCATCTATCCAATACTTCCAAAGCGTCAACTCACAGCAGAAGGCGCACATTATCAGATGTCTACAAAACGTCCAAGTAACTAATTAGCCATTGTTTCTTCCTGGCCAACCGCTCCACTTTGCTTCAACCGCTACCAGATCTCAACCCCTTTCAACGAGCTCTTCAAAAGGTCACACACAGCCAAAGAATTAATAAGAAGATTGACGGGGCTGTCTCAAAAGTAAAAACAATTGCGCCGAGGGGGAATCGAACCCCCGGCTCCCCGACGCTGCTGAATGGCAACGGAGAATTTTACCACTAAACCATCGGCGCTTGTTGATGCAACATCTACACAATCTGGGACTCATATTTCGCTGTGCACCTCGCTGCTTGATCTCGTTCGCCTGGAACACCCAACGAGAGTTTTCAAACTTCAGGAGGCTAAGCGAAGAGCAATCCGGACACATCACCCCCGTTGTTTAGCCGTTTTCGTGTGTTGACGACCCAGTGCCCACGAACTGCTCGTCGATGTCCTGGTGCTTGACAATGGAGAAAAGCCACATGCAGGAGGACAGGGTGACTGACACACCCACTGAGGCCAATTCGCAACAACCCCCGCCTTTTTCTTTGCGACGAGACAGATTCAGCAAGGCGGTTGGGAACTCTTGATTGATGCGTGGAAATGCCCGTTTGCGTCCTAGAGAGGGTTGAGACCATGCACAAAAGGCACAAAAGGTGACTGTGCCAATGCAGCTAGCTGTTGAGTCAACTGGATCCTGAGGTGTAATAGGCGGCAACATGAGCTTGCGGGTATGATTGGTGGTGACTCATAGTGAGTGGCCTCTGCACTGCTCAGTGCGCCCCCGTGCTTGTTTTGTCAGCCTTACAGCGGGCAATCGCCACACCTGGTGCCGAAGAGACCTTTTTTCCAAAATTTTGGCGGGTCCACCCGTCCGAACGATTAAGTCCGGGCCGTCATCAAACGCCTCCCAAGGGAACTGCACTCGGTTTCCATCTTAACCAAGGGATCTTCTTAAAAGTCGCCTCCTCCCGGTCTGGGAACCTAGCAAAAGGGACAAATCTCAACTCACTCTCTTCCTTTGACGTTCGCTTTTCTTTGCGAGGGCGTAAGGCCATTTGATACTTTTTTTCTTTGCCGCCTAATCTGGCAGCACCCGTACGAAGACGCTGTATTTCAAAAAGCGCAAACACGATCTCATCAACTCATCACCACATCGTCATTGCAACGAGCGATTCAGTCATGTCTGAAGGTGGAACGGCGCAGACTCAGACGCAGACGCAGACTCAAGCGAGTTCGTCGGGCAGAGGAGGCTCCCAGTCTGGCCGGAGAGGCAGATCAGGACGAGGAAGAGGCGAGGCAGGAAACGCCCGTGGTGGTCGGCGGGGTGGCGGCAGGAATGCTGCCACCCAGCCTCAGAACCAAGCTGAGCCAGCACCAGCTTCCGAAGCCGCGCCGGGAAACGCACCAGAGGCGCCGTCGTCCAGTTCAGGGAGAAGGGGCAGAGGCCGTGGTGGCGGCGGTGGTAGAGGCGGCCGACGCGGTGGTGCCGTCCGTGGCGGGACTGTTCCCGGAACCCAGCGGACGTTCGGCGGTAGTTTGACGACCAATGTCAATACGGACGCATCAGAGGAGCCTGGTCTGAGTGCAGATGCTCCTGATTTCATTCCTGGGCAGCCCCTTGTCCAAAGAGGGTTTGTTCACGTTCTCCCACCACCCACACTCACAGAGACTGACCAAACTTTAGCAAGCAAGCCTCGAAGCCGAAGAAGCCTCAGTATCCGTTGGCTCCAAAGTCTACAGCCGCAGACTTGCCCACGCGGATTCATGAGGACATCAGCAACGGACAGTATGAGTGCGTCATCTGCTCGAGCGAAGTCCTACGGCCATCTCGGGTATGGTCGTGCGGACTGTGCTGGACGGTATTGCATTTGACATGCGTCAAGAAGTGGTTTACGAGCCAGCTGAAGAAGGACGACGACACGCGATCCTGGCGCTGCCCGGGTTGCAACTCTAGCTTGACCGAAGAGCCCTCGTCTTACCATTGCTGGTGTGGCAAGGACATCAGCCCTCGAAACGTCCCTGGATTACCTCCCCATTCTTGCGGACAGACTTGCTCGAAGCCCAGAGCGACATGCCCGCATCCATGCTCTCTTGAATGCCACGCCGGCCCGTGCCCGCCTTGTACCTTGATGGGGCCGACGCAGTCGTGTTTCTGCGGCAAGCATGAGGTGACGAAGCGGTGCAGCGAGACAGATTACGGTAACGGATGGAGCTGCAAGGAGATCTGTGGAGACTTGTTGCCATGCGGCGAGCACTTCTGCTCTACCCCATGCCATCCCGGCTTGTGCGGCAACTGCGAAGTCCCTGTGCAGGCGAGATGCTACTGCGGCAAGGAGCACAAGGAAATCTCTTGCGACAGCCGAGGCGATCTTCAGATGTCTTTCAACTACGGGCAAGTCTCCAGCTCCGACTCTGAAGACATCTCCGAGGGCAGCTGGTTCGACGGGTCTTTTGATTGTGGCGCGACCTGTAGAAGGAAGTACGATTGCGGCCTTCATGAGTGCGAAAAGGCATGCCACCCTCAGGACGAGGTACCGGCACATTGTCCATCGGCCCCCGACGTTGTTCTGAACTGTCCTTGCGGCAAGACGCCTTTGGACGAGCTTCTCGACCAGCCGAGACAATCTTGTGAGGACAAGATCCCTCACTGCAAGAAGACTTGCGACAAGACCCTGGCGTGCGGCCACAAATGCACCGACACATGCCACACCGGCCCTTGCAGCCCTTGCTTCCAGAAGGCAGATATCTCCTGTCGATGCGGTCGGACCGTGAGCTCCTCCCTGTGTCACCAGGGCGAGATCGCCACGCCCATGTGCATGAGAGTCTGCCAGGCCCAGCTCAACTGCGGCCGTCACAAGTGCGGTGAGCACTGCTGCCCCGGAGAGAAGAAGGCCATCGAGAGACAGGCCGCCAGAAAGAAGCACAGGCAGCAGCAGGCCCCTGATGAGGTGGAGGCTGAACACATCTGCCTCCGTGTATGTGGAAGGACGTTGAAGTGCGGAACCCATCAGTGCTCTCAGATCTGCCACGCTGGGCCATGCCCAAGCTGTCTTGAGGCCGTCTTCGAGGAGATCAGCTGCGCGTGCGGCAGAACCGTTCTGCAGCCTCCCCAGCCTTGCGGAACTCGGCCCCCAGAGTGTCGCTTCGATTGCAGGAGAGCACCGCCTTGCGGCCACCCCACGGTCAAGCACAACTGCCATCCCGACGACGTCCCTTGCCCCAAATGTCCCTTCCTCGTGGAAAAGGCCTGTATCTGCGGCAAGCAGAGGATGAAGAACCGGCCGTGCTGGTTGGAGGAGGTTCGCTGCGGTCTCCCTTGCGGCAAGAAGCTCAAGTGCGGGTAAGTCGTCTAGACATAACACACAAAACCGACACATACTGACCAGACACTAGCACCCATACCTGCAGAAAGGAGTGCCATCGCCCAGGCGAGTGCGAAGATGCCGATATTCCCGGCTCTCACTGCGCGCAGTCCTGCGGCAAGACGCGCAAGTCCTGCGAGCACTCGTGCCAGGACGCCTGCCACGCCCCCTATCCATGCAAGGAAGACCGCCCCTGCCAGAGCAAGACCTTCATCACCTGCGATTGCCAGCACCGCAAGAAGGAGGTCAAATGCCTCGCGACGAAGATTAACCCGACGCCAGAACGCGACACCCTCAAGTGCGATGATGAGTGTCTTCGCCTCCAGCGCAACCAGCGCCTCGCTGCCGCCCTCAACGTCGACCCGGACCACACGGACGACCACATCCCCTACTCGGACACGACCCTCAAGCTCTTCCGCGAGCTGTCTTCCACCTGGGCCCAGAACCAGGAGCGCGAATTCCGAGTCTTCGCCTCGGAGCCCTCGGAGAAGCGTCTTCGCTTTAAGCCCATGCCCTCCTTCCAGCGCGCCTTCCTGCACGCCCTCGCCGAGGACTTTGGCTTCGACTCGGAGAGCCAGGACCCAGAGCCGCACCGCCACGTCTCCATCTTTAAGACGCCGCGCTTCGTCTCGGCGCCCAAGAAGACGCTGGCGCAGTGCGTCAAGATCCGCAACGACGCCGCCAAATCCGCCGCCTCGGCTGCCGCCGCATCCTCGTCGGCGGCCTCTGCCTCGGCGCTGGAGCCCTTCAACGGCCTCCTGCTCGCGGCGCCGCGCTTCGGTCTGACGATCGACGAGGTCGAGTCCGCCCTCGCCAGCCATTTGAAGGCCCACAACACCCTCTCCTTCACAACCTCCTTCCTCCCCTCCGAGGAGATCCTCATCCGCGCCGTCCCCGTCACATCCTGGGGCACGACGCCCTCGGCCGTCGAGTCTGCCCTCGCCTCCCTGAAGCCCCTCGTCGCGCGGACCGTGACGAAGGAAGGCATCGCCGCCGCCGTGACCATGGTCCACGCCGACGCGAGCCTCAACGTGCTCCGCCGCGAGGGTACGTCCTCGGCGGACGGCGGTAGCGGCGGGTGGAATGCCGTCGTCGGTCGCGCCGCGGCGCAGCGCAGGACCCTTGCGCCCAAGCCTGCCGCGGATGCGCGCCCCGCCAGCGGCTTCGTCAGCTTTTCGAGGCTGGCGAGGAAGAAGATGGTCGAGGACTCTGTCGCGGACGACTGGGAAGCCGCCGCCGACAGCGACGAGTGAGGCGAAGGCGATGGCATTCGACCAAGGAAGTTATTTTCCCAGGAGAACGAACAGGGAGATGCCCGGGCCGCGACGCCCTGCATCTCCACACCCACCTCTTGATGAAGCAGGTGACGATAGGAAAGGAGGTAGAGGACCACATCCTGCTGGGCACGAAGTGCAAATGGGATCACATGCACGCGAAGTGTGTCGCCCAGCAAATAACTGGTGTGAGGAGGCCAAAGAGCCACGGGAATAACTGCATTGTCAAGGGGACCAAACAGCATTACCATGTAGATGAATACCAAAAAAAAACCAAAAAAAAAACCAACCCATGAATGATCGTTGTCCACTGCCTCACGCATTGAACCCAGTGCAGTATAACAACATTCCACTCGCACCGTCCTTCGCGAACCTCCGCCCCGTGCGCATCTCCATCCCCGCTCCACATCAACCTCGCCCGCCCCGGTACGCCTTCCCCTCTTACAGTCTCCTCCCCCCGTGAACCCGGCGACGTCTCGCCCACGCAGAGGTTGCAAGATGCACGCATCCGCGCCCTCTGCCACGTCAGAACGCGATCACGGGGGGGCCCGCGAGGCGGGAACCCTGCCTGGCCCAAGGTTACCCAGCCTTCCCCGAAGCGTCCACCTCGTGGGGCAAGGTTCAGCCCTGTTGTCGACGATGACGATACATCATGGATGCCCGTCTGCCAACCTCGCCTACGGGGCCCGCGCCCCATGACCTTTCCGTATCCTCGCTCGTCCACGGCCGAAAGAACCTGACAAAGGATGAAACGGTCGAAGCGAATCCTCGAGCGTTGTTCGTCTGCGTTGCGGCCGGTGGTGGGCTCAGGCGTGTTCTGCGATGGGAAGGATACGTGTGGTCCGGCATCCCCTGTCTTGGCCCGGCTTGCTCAAGTGTATCGTACCCCCCCGAGCCGTCAACACAGAGGCTTTGCCTGAATTCACGGACATCACTGTCAGACGGATCTGTTGGTTGTACTCATTGCTTCATTATATTTATACTGCGTATACAATGTGTTGTCACATCCCGGTCCGTCAAAGGAGCGGGGGGTATCATTCTTAAGGTCAAAAAGGGTGGTGGTAGGCCGGAGGAGAGCGCCCATCATCGTACCGTTTCCCGTCCCATGCCTCTCTTCCCCTACCACGCCGCCGCAGTTCTCAACAGCCCGTCTTCAGTCGCCCGGAGGCGGGCTCCGACAGTGGAACCGCCTGGACACGGCAGTAAAGACGGATTCTCGGTCCGCCTCATCCTCTAGTACCTGGGCCACGTGCCTCTCAAACCGTGCTTCGGCTTGCAGAGACTCTTCCTAGAGGCGCTGCTTCTCCTCCTTGCTCGTCACGCCGGTAACGTTCCCGAGGAAGTCCGAGATCGCCTCGAAGTAGCCTTCCTCCAGTACGCTCGAGTTATGGTCGCCTGCAGGCAGGGGTTTCCAAATTTTTGTGGGCGCAGCAGACAGTTCGTAAAGTTGGCGCATGTGACGGGGTCTAAGACAGGTGTTAGTCTCGATAGGGCAACAACTGAGACACGCAAGTAGCGGTTTGTAGAGAGAAACCATATCAGACTCTTGTCGTAAGTTCAAATCAAGCACCCCGAAGGGCTCATATTTTGTGGGTGGTGACTTTAGATCATCATATGGGTGGTGGCGAACAGGGTAAATAGGGGGGGTGCGCTGCACTTACGGTACAATCTCGTCCTGTAACCCCGAGAGAAACAGGATCGGTACGGACGTGATGCTGGGGATGAGCGACTCGCTCGGCCACACCTGATGGCATAGAAGCGTCAAGTACTTGGCGGGCGGTATAACGGAAGGGATGAGCTTGCGCATGGAGAGAAAGGTGTTCTCCAAGATTAATCCAGCGATATCCCCGTCTTTTTGGTTCTTAGCGACCAGCTTGATGCTGACGGCGCCGCCTAAGCTTTGCCCGTAGACAATCAGCTTATGGTTGCTGGTCTCTGCGCGAGAGCGTAGGTAGTCGAGGGCGGTTTGCGCGTCTAGGAAGAGGCCGGATTCGTCAGGCTCTCCGGTCGATAAGCCGTAGCCGCGATACTCGAGCATGAAAACGTTGCACCCGATAAAGTTTATGAGCATGCGGGCAATCGGCAAACGGTGGCCAATATTGCCGGCATTGCCGTGGAACATCAGAATGGTGACATTGGAGTTGTTCCCACCACGCGGACCCCGGATGTAGAATGCAGACAGTTTCTCACCATCGTTTGTGGGTATGACCAGTTCTTCAAAATCCTTGATGCCGTACTGCGAAGGTCTTGGGACGTCGGTTCGAGAGTTTGGGGGCATATGCGAAGGGTAGATGAGAGCCCTGTAGTGGCGCACAGTCCAGTTAGTTTTGTGGGGGCGGGCAACGGCGGTGCGGTCACCTGGACTCGGGGAACGACCTACTTTTGCTTGAAGTAGAGGAGGGTGGTCAAGACAGCTGCGATGCCCTAGGTAGCACAGAAATTGTTAGCCCGGGACACTAATGAAGGCGGTTGAGCCACGACCTCGGGCAAGCGCCCAAGAGGAGGGGTAGCAGACAGGCAGATTAAAGTATCGGTGTGAGAGGATGGGCAGTCCGTAGGAGGATGCGGGAATGGCCATACCGTCGAGGCTATGGCTGGTAGCCGCATGTACGCGCCAACAGTACTGAGCATAGAGGCCCCTTGCTCGAGGTAACTGTTGGAAGACGACGACGGAGAGTTGGGAGCAGACATCGCGAAGAGAAAAGCAAGTCTCTAGGCCGGGGTTGGAGGGAAGAGGCGGAGGAACGATTATATTTCGACGTGGTTGTTGGACCGCCCTCAAGGGGAATGGAGACTTGTTTGATGGGGAAAGCAAGGCAAGGCCCGAAGCGAAGAAAGCGGTGCAGAATTCAGGAGAGAGCGGAGCCTCGCACGCGGAGACGGTGGGGCAACGAGGCCGGTGCTAGCTGGTGGCAGGTACCTCGGGGTGCAGATTGGGTCGAGGCGGGTACCGCGGCGGTGTTAGGCCCGGGTGAGCGTCGGCATGAGGTGATTACGGACCTGGGCCTAGGGACCTGGTAATAGCACACCTGACTGGTGCCCTTTTTGGCCAACGATTGATGTCGGCAAAACGAACAGAGAGGAAGAACGAACGAACGAACAGGGTTAGGCATGGAGCACAGTTATCTGTTGGCAATGACCCTGCAGGCTGACAACCAGAAGTGCCGGATCGGAACGAACCCGAGGAACCAGGAATGATACTACTCTTGAGTTGCGGCTTGAGCTACGCCCAGCATTGACAGACGTTCCGTGCGAGATGCCGTGCTTTGGTTTGCGGCCAATCGTGAGAGTTCCTACTGGCCCTAGAACCCAACTTTGATGGGAGCATCAACGGCAGAAGATGGACGGCGGTGGTGTGGTTTATGGTGTGCAAGGCCGCATGATGCAGGTCAGGAGGCAGCGAGCGATGTTGAGACGGGATTCTAGCAGCCGTGCGGCCGGGATGGCCGATGGCGGTCTGTAATGTAATGTGGGTTGCGGCGTGCGCTCCAGATGGTATCCTCCTGTCTGCCGCGTCGAGTCGAGTCGTGGGATGTCGGAAAATGCCAGCAAGTTACGCGAGTCTCCCCGAGGCTTGTCGATGCGGCAGGTGGCCTGAGATGGTGGTTGGCCGCACAGGACTGCTTCGGAGCTCAACAGATGGCGCTCCGGGTGGCGGAGAAGGTGATCAACGTGAGCGGTGGAAGGCGAGCAGACCGGCAAAGAGACGAGGTCGATGCGATCGGCAATGAAATGTGGAGGATGAAGCCGGACAAACGAAACGAGACGATGGGTGTACACGATTGCCTCCGCTGTAGAACTGTGCCTTGCAAAATCACTTTTGCAACAAATGGGACCGCATCAACGGCAGCCAAGCATGAATGGAAAGAAGGGCCCCCGAGCTTATGGGGCAGGCATGAGCCCGCTGCGACGCGGATAGACGCGTTGGCGGTTGAGTGTAGTTTCATTACGCTTGTTTGCAAAACGCGACTCGCATGAAGCAATAAACAGCCCTCTATCACGACGGCGAGAATGCCGTCGGTGGCTCATCGACGAGCATTTGCATTACAAAGGCCATGCTGGCTGATACTACATTCGAGGCATGAAACCCAAGACATTGGATGACACTGGGAAAAGCACCGGGTGTCTTTTTTGTCTCTTTCAGCTGTGAATATCGTTTGCTGGTTCCTCTTCCCCCGAGGTTGGCGACGGACAAGTGCCAATGTCACTCACTCGTGCCAAATGGATGGCGCCGCATGACAGGGAAGGAAGCAGTAAGGCGTGAGACCTGGTTGGGGGGGGGGGGGGGAGCTCCTTCCCTCTTCCCTACCCACCTCACCACAGCATGGCCCCTCCACTGCCAGTTGCTGATTTCGGGCCCTGAGGTAACGCCGTGGGCTGACCGAGCGGGAACCCGTGATTGGGTAACCCCGGGCACGATAGGGGGAAGTAACAACGGAAAGCCGGAGCTCCCATTCAAGTTGTGAGTCGATGACATTCGAGACATTTTGATGGCTGAGACGTACGGCTTCTAAAATGACCTTTGACGGGAACCACAATCCGCCGCCCAACGCCCGCCGTCATCTCGCCCACACCAGCGGAGACGTTCATTCCAGTCGCCGTCTTTGAGCCCCCGCCCCGCGCTTCCCAAGCTACCCAAAACAAGACAAGACAACAAAAGACACCTTTAACTGCCTTCCATCCAAGGCCAGGTACCACCGCCAGCAAGGGACTCGATGGTGTCGTCTTGGCCCGGTCAGAGGTTTGAGTTGATGCTGAGCCTTTGCTTGGCGTCTCTCCGGTGGGCTTCACCAACCTCGAGGTCCGACCAAGTGTCAAACTCTCTAGTCACCAGCGAATAGAATGCTGTGATTTGCAACGGCAGCAACGTTTGGCTCCGGTCTTCCATTCGCTACCACATGTCATCATCTTGCCTGCAGAGCAAACATGCTTCGCAGGCTCTGCAAGTCATTTCAACATACACGTATCAGCCCACCCCTTCTCCAATACCATCACACGATCCAATTCCTTGCTTCTTTCTGTTCGTCCCCGACGCTGGGGGCCAGCCGCCAGGGCAAAGGGAGGGTGTGCGCAGGAGACCGGACGCCGACGCAGAGCACGAGCAAAAAAAAACTAAAAGCAACGACGAAGGATCCGTGGATCCCCAGCAAGCTACTGCACCTTTTCTTCAGCCAGCAGGTAAGGCATAACCAGCAAAGCCACAGACCCCCTCCAAGAAATGGAATGGTAGGAATCAGGAACAGCTCCCCCGGTCTATTCTGGTTCATTCTCCATGCACAGCAAAGTCAGGCCCAACAGCTGCTGCTCATATACCGCCAGTTGTTGGATCGCTCGTCAACTTAGACGCGCGCTTTGGAGGGGTGTGGCAGCGGCGCTGAAGAGTGCGCATGTTGGCGATGCCCTGCGGATGGGGGCCATCATGCAACCCGCTAATCAACGTGCCGGAAAGCGATGTGACGGGCCCCCGAAGCTGGAACGCAGGCAAGGTAGAGAGGCCCAACACGGCGGCAGCAGCCGTTCCACGCCTCTGGGACCGTCGTCGTCAGCTGCCGTGATTCGCGGCGACATTCACGACGGATAGGGGCAGAGACGGGGACAAGTCGTTTGGTCACGTCCGGTCCCCCAGTATGGCCTGGCCTAGCCTGGTCTTGCATAACCCTACCCGCTCTTCAGGAGAGTTAGAAGAGTCAGGATGTGCAAGGCCGAAGGCATCGGCACCAAGCACCTGTTTTTAGAAGCAGAGTCGGAAGCTTTCGACCCCCAGAACAGAAGCAGGAGAATCCCTCGCCGTCTTCTTCGTCCTACCCCTTGACTCTCCCCGTTGGGTCAAGCAAGGGGGGCTCTCGTCTCTTTCCTGTGAAACCGCGGCGGAACGGGAACGGGAAGATGAAAGACAGGCCATCTCGGTCGACCTGTCGCCCCGAGATCGTGGACCCCATCGGGTTGGTCCCTATGTTCCCATATTGGCAATGTCGTAGTTCATACGAGGCCGCGCACCCTCCTGACTATGATGCAGATTACGGACACAGACCGAGCGAACGGTGATGCATACTGTACGGTTACGGGAGGGCAGGGCGGTCAAAGTGCCTGCGTTGGTTCAGGGCAGCAGCAACAGCAGCCGCCAAAGCAGTTGGGTTTTCGTCGCTAGCTAGCGGACAGCATGGAGGCATGCGGCGCCGGGACGAACCTACAGCTCTAGCTCTGCATCGTCTCCGTTCCCATTTCCACCTCGCTTCGCCTTATGAAGAAACAGGCGAAGCGCGGGGGCGGTCCGCAACTGCAGAATGGCTAACACAGGTGAATCGCAGCGTGGGTTTGGGGTCTTGGGTTGGGGGCAGCGCCGACGAGAGAGATGGTTACCAACCGTATCGCATTGTCCCAAGGGACGTACGTCTCCATGTCGCCCACTGTCCGTCTTCTCGCCGGAGACTAGAGTGAGGCGGACGGGATGCAACCACCCCCACCGTTCTCGCTCTGCATAGAACGATTGGCTGACACGAAATTGAGCACCTGGTAGCCTTTCAACCAATCAAACTGGCGCACTGACTGGCTTTTGGATTCATTGGGCCACTCGCGACCATCGAATGCTGCTGAATGACCTTGGTTCCCCTAGGATACCGCTTGTCAACGGATAGTTGGGGGTGTGGGTCTAAGAGCAGCATGTCAAGCTGCCCAACCTAACTGAGATGCACTCCAGTTTCCAGGTCCCCACGCGGAAGAAAACAGAGGTGAGAACGGAAGGGGGACGAGCAGGAAGAGAAGAAGAAAAGAAAAAAAAGAAGAAAAAAATTCGCTGCGAAAAGTTTCGGCCGATTCCACTTTGTTTGCATAGAATTTGCAGTGCAGCTTTTCCTTCACCTCAACCACTACTGCTCACCTCTTTAATTTTTTTCTCCCCCCTCCCCTTCCCATTGCTGTCTGTAAACTTTGAATCCAGCAGCTCGGCACACGCAAAAGCTCATCGGTTCGGACGAGATAGCGCGAGCGTAATCTCATCGTTTAGTCCAATAATCCTCGAATCCTCAGCACGGCCGACCGCCTCTTGGATAGCCTTGGACCACGCGCCATTGCCCCTCGATTTCGACACGCCGCCACCAGCTCCTCCAGTTCGCATCCTCACCTGCCCGCACCGCGCCCACGCTTGCGTTCAGACACAGCCCAGCTCAAGACCTCTCCCGGCTCGAACTCCAGCAAAGAGATCCAGGAATTTCCGGTCTTATTAGTCGCTCCTCTGCGCGCTCTGCTCTTCCTTGCTCTGCTGCAACATTCTGCAGTGCCGGTCACAATCCTCTTGCCCGTCTAGGACAACCAGTAATTGTGCCGCGTTCCTGCCTCGTTGCCGCCCTCAGTAGCTTCCCCAGCCAGGCCCGCGCGCTCTCTTGTCTTTTTTTCCAACACAAACCTGAAGCGCGAAACACCACTTCTCACCCCTCCATCTTTATCCCTCCTCCCCCCCTGTCACAGACGCCCCCTTGGACCCCTCCAAATAAGGGATTCCAACATTGGAGATCAACGGCACGCCTCCGTATTTGCGACGCGAAACCAACACGAGGAGAAGCCCCTGATATCTCAAAGCTGAACGACACTTTGGGGTCCTTGTTCTGTGCCCCCGATTGAGCAGAGAGTTCCTCCTCGCCGTCCTCATCCCCCAGTCGTTTTGGTTGCTTTTACCGCTCCCACACTGCGACCTCTGTCGCTCCCACTTTATCCCATCCAGCTCTTACTCACTCTATTCTCCTACCACCTCAAGGCTGTGTCCATCGAGCCTGCTAGTTTCTCGCACCAGTCCGGCCCAGTCAGGCGACGCTCTGTATCTGCGTTCCGTCAATCCGCATACCGACACATACATCAACGGCAGAAACGCTCACGCTCTTCGCCTCCCCCAATTATCGTCGTCGCCCTCCCTTTTCACTTCCGTTAAATACCGCGGCCCAGTCAGAATCCGTTCTCTGCCCAACGTCCGCGCCCAATAAGGTCTCATCGTAAGGACAACACATCATCATACAGCGTCGCTCCCTTCACCATGGTGTCCTTCTCTTGTGAGGTAAGCCGTCGCCCTCTCTTTTGTGCCGCTCTCGCCCACCCCCCGTCCCCCCCATAACCCAGGGTCCCCTTTTCTTCTTCTCTGTACCTCCCCCCCGTCTGCAGCCCCCCCGAAGATCCCCATGTCGTCTTGTTATAAACTACAAGGCCTGACATCACATCCTCACACCATACCATACACCTCCCACACATTGCAAGACATCACGGACACACCCACACCCCTCCAGCAACAGAAACAAACCCCCCTCCCACTTCCCCTTGGATGCCGTCTTTAATAGCCAGTGTCTCGTCCCGTCCCTCCCTCGCCTCCTAGACCATACCATACACCCCTCTTCAAACACGCAGAGTCCAATAATCTCTTGCACCATTTCCTGCGCAACATAACTGACTTGTCTCCCTCTGCCACAGTCGTGTGGTGATGTCTTGACCAAGAAGAAGCTCGATCCCCACAGGAACCGTTGTCGAGGCGCTACCTTTACCTGCATCGATTGTATGGTATACTTTCCTGGCACTGAATACCGCTCCCACACTGTAAGTTGCATCAGTTCCCCTAACCGGTTGGCTATACTGGCCGCCCATGGAGCTCGTCTTGTGCTAACTCGATGACAGAGCTGTATGAGCGAGGCCCAGAAGTACCAAGGTGCTCTCTACAAGGACAAGAGCAACAACCACAACAACAAGAAAAACAAGACGAACAACAACCAGCCTCAGCCCGCCCCCGTTCACCAATACGACGCCATGGCTCAACACGCCTACGTCGAAGATGTTCCCGACGCCGAGTTCGAGTCTTTCCCCTACGAAGCCAGCGACAACGGCAACTCGCCCGCCGAGCTCCTCCCCGAGGCCCCAACACCCCCTTCGGCGAACGAGGGCAACGTCAACGTCTTCGACTTCCTCGATGCGTCCGCAACGCCCAATGCGTCTACTCTGGGCGCGAAGCAGATGAATGAGGAAACGCAGCTGGTACGCTACGAATATGAGGCCGAGGCCTACTTGGATGACGAGGGTGCCATGGTTGACGAGGACCGCCGCGCTCTCGTACAATACGGTACCGGGCCGATCCCCATGGGCTACGAGACCCCTGCCCCGAAGCACGAGCGTAGAAGGAAAGACGGCAGCGAGAAGAAGGACAAGAAGCGCAAGCGCCTCCATGTCGATACCGACCAGATGATGATTGACGCCCCTCCCACCTTGGCCCACTCAGGCCTGACCGGTGGTCTCAAGACCATGATGCGCCCCGTCTTCCCCCCTTCGCCCGACTACTCCGGTGGCGACGTCGCCGACCCGGGCCCCACCAGCCCACTCAAGAAGACCAAGAGCTCGAAGCACAAGAAGGAGGGCGGCATCGGTAACAACCTCCTAGGCCTGCTGAGCATGAACAGCACCAAGACCAAGACCAAGACCAAGAAGCGCAAGGTCTCGTCCTCCACCAAGAAGCACTCCCACCACCACCGGTCAGACGGCGAGAAGGCCCCCAAGCTGATCGAGTACCGCCCGGGCTCCCGCGATAGCAAGAAGGGCGAGGACGGTGACGACGAGGGACAGATGGTTGTCTACCGCCCCCGCGCCGACCTCTTCCTGTCCTTCATCAACAAGGGCCCCGAGAGTGAGCGCGGCTGCAGCATGAACAAGGCCCTTAAGCGCTTCCACCGTGAGCGCTCCTCGTCCGAGGACAGCCTCGGCAAGCTCTCGGAGGAGAAGGAGCTCTGGCGGTCGCTGCGCATGAGACGCAACGACCGTGGTGAGATTGTCCTTTTCACGGCCTGAGTCCCGTTGTATACACAAATCCGCGTGGTTTTGGGTATAGCTCGGCGATGAGGCAGTCATTCCCAGGTCGGACGGAGTCAACGGGTGTCTAAACTCATAAAGGATACGGAGTTTGAGCGTTTTTGCTTGATTTTTCTTCTTCTTTTTCATATTCCCACGCTGATGCTTGAAACGCACTTTGGCACATGATACCTACAAGATGGACGAAAGCCATCGAAAGCCTGGAAGGAAACGGGCCGAGAGAGAATCGGCGGCGTTTGGCCGTGGAGGTCGGGTTACTTTGAGTTGATGGATCTTTTTTAAACTTATTCTTCCCATTCTCGATGCCGACTTTGTCGCTCATCCATGACCACATGCTCCTCACCAGTCTTTGAGCTTTCATCGAGCCATATGGGCGTGGCTTGGAACGACGAGATGGAGTCGACTTTCTTTTGATCTTCTCTGTACTGAGTAGGAGCGCTCGACCGATACCTTGCTTCGCGTTGCATTTTCCGCTAGAACTCGGCTGGGAGCAAGAAGGATAATGGCGGGGGGAGGATGAAGAGAGAAAGAGTGTTGCATCTCTGTTCTATGGTATATATGTTTGTTCGTCTCTGACTCTGTACAAAACCGATACGCAAATGCTCTTTGTCGTTGATGAAAGAAACTCCCGATCCTGCGTCCCGCAGGCGATAGAAACTCCTCTGGTATACAAATGCCACAAACCCCACTCCTCCATACTTGCTTAGAAACGACTGAAAATTGCGAGATGTGATGTACTACATCTTTTGCTAAGCCAAGGTAGTAGTACAAGATGCCCAACCGTGGTGTGCGAAGCAGCCGCGACTGCCAGCCCGTTACGCAACCCGCAACGGCAGGATGTGCTGCACCATGGCCTCCCTTCTGCAGAGCGGACACTCGGGCTTCTCGCGCACCCAGTCCCCGATGCACGTCCAGCAGAAGACGTGGCCGCACTGCGTCGCCGACGGGTCCTTGAGCTCCTCCAGGCACAGCGTGCACTTCCGCTGCGCGGAGCCCGCGATGTAGGCCATGACCTTTTCGTCCTCGAGGTCGAACCTCGCGCCGGCGGCCTCGGCGAGGACGGGGGTGTGCGTCACGGCGGCGATGTCGACCTTGCTGGTCCCCGCGCCGGCGGGCGCCGCCTCCGAGGCGAGTAGGACGGAGGTGTTGGCGGCGTAGGCGTTTGCGTCGAGGGAGACGTCGACGTGGTGAGCCGGGCCGGCGCGTTCGCGGGCGGCGCGGGCGGCGGAGGCCTGGGCCGAGAGGTCGGAGATGGTGGAGCGGATGTGCAGGTAGGACTGGACGGCGAGCTGGGCGACGAGCAGGACGCCGAGGACCTCGTAGCCCGCGCGGTCCGGGGTGTCGGGGACGCGGCGGGTGAAGACGTAGCGCAGGCCGAGGACGCGCTTGGCGAGCTCGTAGTAGGTGCCGGTGAAGTAGAAGACGGCGAGGGTGGCGGCGTGGAGGGGCGCAGCGGAGGTGAGGGAGGGCAGGTTCGCGAGGAGGTACTCGGCCAGGATCTTGCGCGTGGCCGAGGCGCTACCGGGTTTCTTCGTCGTCGTCGCGGAGAGGGTGCGCTCGAGGGAGGAGCGCAGGCGGGCGCGGACGGAGGGGAGGAGGCGGCCGAGGAGGTAGGGGAGGAGGACCGAGGTCGCGATGTAGGAGGCGCGGCGGGGCAGCGTCGGGAGGGCGCCCGCGGGGTCGTCGGACCCCGGGTCGGTGCCGACGTGGAGCTGGACGAGGTCGCAGTACTCCTCGCCTAGGGTGCGGTTCCCGGGAGGGTGGTGAGGCCGAGGTAGAGCGTGTCGGCGAGGAGGCGGTGGAGGGGCGTGGAGGCGTGGGCGGAGCGGGCGCCGAGGAGGAGGCGGTGGAGGGAGGTTAGGGTGTTGGAGAGGTGGCCTTTGTAGTACGCATCCTTTTGGTGGGCGCGGATGATGTCCGGGGCGGAGGCGTAGGGGTACGGCGAGGAGGGGAGGGTCGGGTGTTGCGAAGAGGATGAGGGGGTTGTGATGGCGATGGTGATGATTCCGAGGTCATTTTGGAGGGTTGCGCGTGCGCATTGCGCGCTGGGCGACGGTTGTTGGGGGTACGCGGGAGGGGTTCAGATGCCTAGCTGTTCGATTGATGGTTTGCGCATGGGGAAATTCGAGAACGGGAGTAGTATCGTGTTTCGTTGTCGAGAAGGGTCGTGGCGTCGTGATATCGTGAATGGGAGAGGGTGCAATGTTGGAGTTTTGGTGGTTGGAGGCTTTGAGCCGAGGCGCTTTGCAGGGTGCTGGTGCCAGTGCCGGGGCAGTTTGGGGAGCTCGGCCGGCAAATGTCAGCATGTGTGCTGGCCTGGCGCCGAAGTGCTGGGGTCCATGGTGGGGGGGTGGGCAGGGGTTGTGACGATAACGTATCACGGCACCTAGGAAAGCTATCCGTTGCCGTTCTACATGTTGTCACTCTTTGCAAGGGACGCCGTCTTAGATAAACGTTGTCAATTCTATAATACCACTCATATTTTTGAATTATAATGTGTGTAATTGTTGAGCCCAGGTCGTAAGAATCTACGAATTCCAACTGAGCATTTACAGATGAGCGGAGTTAGAGGCTGCTGCACAATCGGCTGGAAACACTAACATCCGATAGCGCACGAGGGGCTAACACGCTTGCTGGGTTTTCCCACTTGGAGCTCACGTCTCAACCTCCCACCCATCCGAGACTTCTCCGAGTTGCAGGAAGAACGTGTCCGACTATCTGGAGGCAACTTTTGAGAAACAAGTCTTTGACAGACGACCAAGTGCTGCAGTCCCACGGAAACTCTTGAGCTCGTCCGATTTTTTTGGATGAGTCATCTGTTCGTCCCAACGACTGAATCTTATCTTGACTACATGCGAGGGGCATCCAGATCCGCTTCCTGACTCTCACTGTGAGCTGCGACCAAAAGTCCCTCGTCCCACTGCTTTCAACGAAACTGGTCTAACTCGTCGCCAGAGTTGGATAAATCCGTTTTGCAGCATGGGGCATCTCGTTACGGTAGCGACTTGCTCGCTGAACCAGTGGGCCTTGGACGTGAGTCTCTGCAACTCTTGAGCGTCAGAAAATCCTCAAGTCCATTGAGGTATGTGGGAAGCGAATGCTAACCAAGGCTTGGCGTAGTGGGAAGGCAATGCTGCCCGCATTGTCGAGAGTATTCAAAAGGCAAAGGCAGCTGGTGCGCGACTACGCGTCGGACCTGTGAGTGATTCCCAAGTCCTCTTACCTGAGAGCTGCAATGGTGTTGTAATGAGATCTGATTACAGACCCTTCAACTCAGATATTCGTGCCTGTAAAGTTATCAACCCCGCTGACCCCCAACGTAGGAGCTGGAAATCTGCGGCTATGGATGTCTGGACCACCTCCTCGAGCAGGACCTCTACCTGCACTGCTTCGAGATGCTGCGCCGGATCCTGCTTGATGAGACCTGCCACGGCATCCTGCTCGACATCGGCATGCCGGTGCAGCACCGCAACCAGCGCTTCAACTGCCGCATCCTCTGCCTTGACGGAAAGATCCTCATGATCCGCCCCAAGATGTGGCTCGCCAACGACGGCAACTACCGCGAGATGCGCCACTTCACCCCCTGGATGCACCCGCGGCAGACCGAGCAGTACCATCTGCCCCGCATCCTGCAGGAGATCCAGGGCGCGACGCACGTCGTCTTTGGCGATGCTGTGGTGTCGACGCCTGACACGTGCTTCGGCGCGGAGACTTGTGTAGGTTGCAGAGGACTGTGGTGGCCCTGTTGTTTGAGTGCTAATCCGTGAACAGGAGGAGCTATTCACCCCGAACGCGCCGCACATTGCCATGAGCCTTGACGGCGTGGAGATCATCACCAATTCGAGCGGCTCGCACTTCACCCTACAGAAGCTTGACACTCGTCTGCAGCTCATCATGGAGGCCACCCGCAAGTGCGGAGGCGTCTATCTCTACGCCAACCAGCAGGGCTGCGACGGCGACAGACTCTACTACGACGGCTCTGCCATGATTCTCGTCAACGGAGACGTCGTGGCCCAGGGCTCGCAGTTCAGTTTGAACGATGTCGAGGTCATCACCGCCACCGTCGATCTGGAGGAGGTCAGGGCCTACCGGTCAGCCATTTCTCGTGGTCTTCAGGCTGCGCGTTCCGACGCCAAGTACGAGAGGATCCAGACTGCTTTTGAGCTAAGCAATGAGGACGAGGATGCCGATGTTATGATCACACCCTCGCCCCCTATCAGGCCGAAGTACTACTCGGTCGAGGAAGAGATTGCTCTGTGTGCTGGCTGCTATCTCTGGGATGTAAGAGACACGACTAGCCTCTCTATATTGCTTAGCTGACTCCAGTCACTTCACTAGTACCTCCGAAGGTCAGGCACTGCGGGCTTCTTGGTGCCCCTGAGCGGAGGAATCGACTCCTGCGCCACTGCCAGTATGCTTATTCCACGCAACTGACCCCAGTCGGAAAACCGCTAACAGGCCAAAGCAATCGTCTTCTCCATGTGCCGCATCGTCATGAAGGCCGTCGAGGAGGGCAACGCCCAGGTGATTGAGGACGTGAAGCGCCTCGCCAAGTACGACGGCGAGGGTGTCCTGCCCAAGACGCCGCAGGCCTTGTGCAACCAGATCTTCTCGACCATCTACATGGGCATGAAGACGCAGAGCTCGGCCGAGACGCGCCAGCGCGCAAAGGACCTCGCCGAAGCCATCGGCAGCTACCACATCAACCTCGACATCGACGACGTCTACAACGCGCAGAAGAGCCTCGCCGTCAGCGCCCTCAACTTTGAGCCTAGGTTCAAGGTCGAGGGCGGCACGCAGCAGGAGAACCTGACGTTGCAGTGCATCCAGGCGCGTATCCGCATGGTCACGGCGTATGAGTTTGGGCAACTTCTCCCTACGGCCCGTGGCAGACCCGGCGGCGGCGGTCTGCTTGTCTTGGGTAGTGCGAACGTCGGAGAGGTGAGTTGGCCGCCTTTGTTTGCTGTTGTACCATCACTGACTTGCGCAGTCCCTTCGAGGATATTTTACCAAGTGAGGAACTTCACGATCAACGAGTATTGTGATGGCAAAAGCTAACCTGGGCGCAGATATGATTGCTCCAGTAAGTCTTCACACTGGAAGACGCATAGACGCTGTCACCTACCTCTTCTGGGACAAAGGAGATATCAGCACAGCGAATCCTTACCATCGGAGAAGATTGTACAAATTTCACGGATCAAGCTAATATGCTCTAGGTGCGGACATAAACCCGATCGGCTCCATCGACAAGGCCGACCTCAAGCGTTTCATCGCCTGGGCCGAGAAGGACTTTAACATTCCTTGCCTCCATGACTTCCTGACCGCAGTTCCGACCGCCGAGCTTGTACGTTGCCTTTCTGCCTTCACCCCACTTACACGCAATGTCTCGTGTTCACGTTACGCATCCATGACTTCGTGGAGTGTAAGTCCACTGACGTTATCGTGTACAGGAGCCCATCTCGGAGACCTACGTCCAAAGTGACGAAGTGGACATGGGCATGACCTACCAGGAGCTGACCATCATGGGCCGCCTCCGCAAAGTCAACAAGCTGGGTCCGTACGGTATGTTCCAGCGTCTCGTCCACGATTGGAGCGCGGACCGCAAGCGCGGCCCCGAGGATGACGCTCCGGCGTATGAGCCCAGCCAGACTGCAGAGAAGGTCAAGAAGTTCTTCCACTTCTACGCCATCAACAGTGAGTCTTTAGACGTGCAACTCGCGCTGCGGCGGAGAACTAACTAAGGGATAGGACACAAGATGACGACGCTCACGCCGGCTCTTCACTGCAACGACTACTGTATACCGCTTTGCCCCTCATCTTCCAATCCTCAGTATCCCGGCTAACCATAGCAACAGCACCTGATGACAATAGATTCGACCTCCGCCCGTTCTTGTACCCCCCATTCTGGAAGAGCTGGAGTTTCAAGAAGATTGATGCGGAACTCGCAAAGATTGAGAAGCGAAGGGCGAAGACCAGTGCATAGAACCCCCGCCTTTCTTGGCGGCCGTACGGACCCAAAAGAGGAGTGGGACGTCAAAGGAAGTTATAGAAATAGACAACGTCGGGCTTTGCAGACGGTGCTGGTTTCCGGCCCTCCGACTTGCATCTGTTCTTGATGACTGACTAGAACGCGCGTTACGTGAGTTCCCGAGTCGTTGCAGTAGAGCTGTAAATGGAGTTGCCAAGCCGACACTTCCTTATCCCACATCCCGTTTCCCTAGCTCCGCTTCGGGAACATACACGACCCGCCCCAACCCCACCATTCCTGTTTGCAAGAGCCAGCTTGGCACAGAAGCTTGCTCCGCCATCACTCTGACGATCACCGGGCACAATTCTTCTTGAAACAGAAAGAGCCAATCGGGGGGTTGACGATGGTCAACTTCTCGAGGTGGGGGTGATTCCCGGGAGGCGGTGGACGTTGTCGCATACGCGATTTGGCTCTCTACGTGATATGTTAGTCCAGGGACCATCCCGCGGTATGCCGGTCATGGTGTAAGGAGATGAGCTTATTGGCTCAAGTCATTGCCAGGTGGTCAAAGGGCTACGTTGATTCTGAGGGCGGCAACGATGTACACTGACAAGGACATGGTGATCTGCAGTGGACGACAGCGTTTCTCGATGTGGCGGTGTTCATCCGGCCCATGGTTCAAGCCTACCCGAGAGGAGATGACGAACATCTAGGATGAACGGAGAAGACGGTTTCAATTACGATGATGAATTATGATTAGCTCCTTGCGATGAAGACACAGGACTTGTCTTCGGGAAGGAGTGTTCGGAAAAGGGAGAGGCCTCGCTTTCAAGAATGGACATATAAGAGACGTTGAGTCGGCCTCAATGGAAGAGTAGAAACTCACCACCAAGCTTGAGTAAGCTTCTCTTTCACAATCCCAACACTTACTTTCAAGACCACTCTTTGTAAAGGACATCATGCACGCCTCCGTCCTCCTCGTCCTTACCTCAGCCTTGCTGGGCACCGCTCACCCGGGTCACCATGAGGAGACTCACCCCAACCTCCTCGCCGCGCGCCACTCTCACCACGGCCTTGCCCGCCGTGGGCTCGAGGCTTGCAAGAACACCAAGCTCTACCGCGACCTCCAGGCGCGCGCTATGGTTCGCCGCGCCGACACCATCGACTACCACCGCGCTCTCCGCAAGCACAAGCGCGCCATCGACAGCGTCGGCACCGGCCACAACCAAACATTTTCCCACGCCGGCATCGACATCTCCACGCCGTCCGCCGACATCTTCGGGTCCAACCACACCTGTATCCTCGACCCGGAGGGTGAGATCGGGCCCTTCTGGGTCAAGGGCGAGCACATCCGCTCCGACCTGCGCGACGACGAGCCCGGTGTTGAGGTAGTGCTCGAGGGGCAGTTCATCGATGTCGAGACGTGTGAGCCCATCACGGATCTGTACTGGGACCTGTGGAACTGCAACGCTACCGGCGTCTACTCTGGAGTCCAGGATTCATCCAACGGCAACGGAGATGATGCGTCGAACTTGAACAAGACCTTCCTCCGTGGTGTCCAAAAGACGGACGCCGACGGTGTCGTGCAGTTCCAGACCATCTTCCCCGGCCACTACGCCGGCAGGACTACCCACCACCACGTGGTAAGCACCCCCCCCCTTATTTGAACTTCAACGCCAGAGCACACATCCTAACGGCCGCCTAGGTCGCCTTCCTCGACGCCACCGTCCAGCCCAACAACACGCTTCTCTCCACCCACGCCGCGCACATCGGCCAGCTCTTCTGGGACCAGGACCTCGTGCAGGCCGTCGAGGCGCTGTATCCGTACAACACCAACACGGTCGAGCAGACGCTCAACGCCGACGACCACGTCATCGCGGTCGAGCTCGGCAGCAACGCCGACTCGGACCCCTTCTTCCAGTACGCCTACCTCGGCGACGCGGTCGAGGACGGCCTGTTCGGCTGGATCACCATCGGCATCAACCGCACCGCCACGTACAGCACCAGCTACAGCTTCGAGCTCACCGAGGCCGGCGGCGTCGCTGTGGAGAACGCTGGCGGTGCTCTTCCTGGATCTGCCCCTCCTTCTCCGTCTACCGCTGCGGCTTAGAAATATGCGCAAGAAGGTTGAGATGGTAGGAGACAAGGGTTAAGCAAGATCAGGGTGGAGTTGGTTGACTTGTGCTCATGAGTGTCTGATGTCGTTGCCTTTATGCCACTCACGGGTCAAATGTTGATCTCTGTGGAAGAAGGGTCAACTATGGGTGCCTCATGAGCACAGGGTGCGCACTTCTTGGCGGCTGAATCTAAGGGGTTGCTGTCATGTTGCTTTTAACTGGAGAAACCACCGCACCGACATGTCGGTTGGTTACCAAGAATGCGATAAACTTAAATCACCCTCACAAATATAATGAATTACTGGTCATGAGTTATCGTAGCTTACAGGGGAAAACGCATAGTTGAGACAGAGCCAAGATTCACCAACCTTCGTAGGACACGGGTCACCATTTGAACAGACGATGATTTCGGCTCCTTCCGTTTTCGCTTATGACTTGTCACGATTGATATTATTGTTTTCGGTCTCATTAGCTTGAGACTTCTCGAGGGCCCATATGTAATACCACAATGGGGAAAAGAGGCAACTGCTCCGTGGACTCGCATATGCATGTTGGTCTGCTCCGTTGGAACTTGGTTCCCCTTTTTCAAGCCAAGAAAGAGGGGTATTTTCCTTGATTGACGTTCTCTGTCACAAAAGTATCAAAAACCCCGGTTCTAAATAAGTCCTCATGTTTACGGGCTTTGTTGTCTATCATTCAGCTTCAGGGTTGAATCGTGCTGGGTCGAAGACGCTCCGCGGCATCGAGGCAATAAACCCACAACTCAGCCAACACGATCGCTAACACGTCCAGCCCTTTCGAAGCCACGTGCCTGATCGTCGAATTTCAGAAACCATGGATCAGGTCGACCACGAGGTTGTTCTTATCCCTGGAGACGAGGTATTTACTCAAAAGTCCCATTTGACGCCCAACATGGCGATTAATCTGGGTTTTCCTGTGCAGGTCTTGGACAACGACGCCTCTGAGCTCGAGGTGAGCCCCTCTCAACTCTCCATACGGCTCCGAATCGCCTTTTGTTGTCTTGTTCATCCCGTAACATGATTGCAGAGCACCGCTTCATCAAGTACCAGCATTAGCAGCTCCATCCTGAACTATCGTCTCGAGAACGGCAGAACCTACCACAAGTATAAGGATGGCAGTAAGTAGTACTTGTCACTTTATCCCTTCTTTATGTATAAATCGGGAGAATGGCAGAGTATGTGGACACGCTGACATTGATAAAGAATACATCCTCCCCAACGATGAAAGGGAAAGCGACAGACTGGGTGCGTCATTCTTGACCAAATTGCAAGCCGCCTTCAGCGGCTTTCATAGTGTCGAGCTAAGTTCTGAGAGCTAGATCTGCAACACGAGATCATAACATACACTCTCGATGGTGAACTTGGTCTGGCCCCGCCCTGCCACAAGACTGCCAAAGTCGGACGAGTCCTCGACGTCGGCACTGGCACTGGTATCTGGGCCATTGACTTCGGCGATCTGCATCCCGAGGCCGAGGTAGGCTTCCATCTGGAAAGCAAACTCATAAGATGATCTGTCGCTCACTACATGTGTTCTAGGTTCTCGGCGTAGACCTCTCTCCTCCCCAGCAGGAGTTGTAAGGAGACCTGTCTCAAACGGCCCGATGATTAGCATTCAGGAAAAACTCTGACCTTAATCTGCTGCTAGCGTCCCTCCAAACGTCAAATTCGAGATTGACGATGTAGAAGAGGAGTGGTTGCACTCAGAGCCGTTTGAGTACATCCACAGCAGGTTCATGACCGGAAGCATAATGAACTGGAAGGAATACATCAGGCGCTGCTATGAGTATGGGCTTGCCAATCTCATCTTTGCACACTTATCTGAACGTAGAAACAGCAACCTCGCTCCTGGCGGATATCTTGAGCTCGTAGAAAACCAAGCCACGGCCAACTCAGACGATGGCACATTCCCCAAGGACTGTGCGATGGCCAAGTATATCGAGGGTATTCAGACGGCTTCGGAGAAGCTTGGCCGTGCATTCATCGACGTTCCAAAGCTCAAAAACATCATGGAGGAGGCAGGCTTCGTCGATGTCGAGCTTCGGAAGTACAAGTGGCCGATGAACACATGGCCGAAGGAAGAAAGGTAACATATTACAGTTACTTGTCCTTACAGGGTTACTAGATATCGCTTTGTTTTCTTGCTGATGGATGGTTAGGTACAAGACGCTCGGCCTCTGGTGCCTGGAGAACTTCAACAGCGCCCTCGAGGCCGTGTGCATGGCGCTCTTCACACGAGTGCTCAACTGGTCCCTTGACGAGGTCAACATATTTCTCATCGATGTCCGTAAGGATTTGAAAAACCAAAGCTATCACGCCTACTTCAATGTGTAAGTATATCTCTCTAGTTGGCCAATTGGTTTGTGGTTTGATGCTGATGCGGGTGGTCCAGTTACTGCCTCATCGGTCGTAAGCCCGAAAAGAAGGACAAATCAGTTGCTGCCCAATCATAGTGTGCTCGAAAACTGTTTTAGAATCATATCAGCGACCCATGAAAGGGAACATGTCGGAGCATAAGGCAGACACTATAGTAAAAACCAGCATCGTATCAGTGGGGATTCTCTTCACGACTACTTAGTGTAAACTAGGTTAAATCACTAGATGAATCAATTTATCCCTACTACTCGTATCATAGCCGAGCATGCTTGAATATCTCGGTTCAAGTGGTAGCTACATTGACAAGCATCTATTCGACTGGTCAGAAGACTGTGCGTGTTGTCGAAACAGCGTCTCTCGCCGTCACTAACAAGAAGCAGCGAAGGGTTTGAACCAGGCGAGATAGGTCGCATAGCAACCCCTAATCATCACTGAGATCTTCTTTATTAATGTTGAATGACGCCATTGGCTTGAGCCGCAATAGATCTGGTACTTTGTTGAGGGCTCTAAAGTGGAAATATCCTGGGTGTCCAGGGTCTCCTTGATTTTGGTTGATACCAATGAGCTTATTGAATAAGACCTACTGCAACTCTGGGTCCAAGAGAAGCTCAAGCTTATACTATGGGAACTCTATAGACCACTGGTTGGTGTATTGATGCAACTAGTAGATGGTAGCATGATCACTCTGAGTAGCTTGTCACTGCGTGATGGCCCCTTGTGATATGAGCGGGATGTGGCGGGGCAACCGTTCAGAAGAGGAAGGAGAGCGATGAAAGTTTTCAAGCAAGACTGAGGCCAAGAACTGCTGATGTATGTGTAAGTAACATGGGTTATGGGGAAAGTAGGTGATGGTTTTGACTTCTCCCGCATTCATTCTGAGCTATCACATTCAATAAAATATTCTGCCTACTCTCATTGGCCTGTAAAAGTCAAAATGTCCACAATGTAGCGCTGCATTAGGGAGAAGAGGAAATTTGGCCGTTGGCTCGCATATGCATGTTGGTTTGCTTCGTCGGTTCTTTTCTTTAGCCAGCAAAGAGAGACCGCCGCTGTGGCAGCCGATTTATTATTTCCTTAAAAACAGTGGTCTCCTGTAAATCTTTCCAGCTCTTCTTTCAGACACATCGTCTTCGTTTGCGATTAAATCAAAGCTCACAGTCGGTCTGAAGTTTGAGAGCGGCATCCTGCGAAAGCACACGCCTACAACTAATACAACTAAGCCGCTGAAGAACCAACTCACCCTTGCTCGGTTGCATTCCACCCGAATAATAAAGCAGCTATGGCCGATGTCGACCACGAGGTCGTGATCGCCGCCGATTATTTGGTATGCCGAGAGCTTATAGTTTGAACTTAAGGCAGCACCTCTGACGGCTGGCAGGAGTCTGATGACAACCAATCGGAAACTCAGGTAAATCATGCTCCGTTCTTAAAGAGTCTCTCATTGCTCGGCCTTGATAGGTATCAAGGAACAATTGCATCAACAACTCCTCAAGTGGTTGTGGTTCACATCTGACGTTAGTTCAGAGCACTGCTTCCTCGACCACTAGTCTCAGTAGCTCCATCCTCCAACACCGACTCGAAAACGGAAGAACCTACCACCGATACAAAGACGGAAGTGAGTTGGGCTCTGATCATTTGGCTTTAACATCCGAAACAGTACGTTTGTTTTGCTAATAAGTCTGTGTAATCCAGAGTATTATGCTCCCAACGACGAAACAGAAAGCGAAAGGCTAGGTCAGTTGCCCCTTCCAGGATGGCCAGATGGATATCTTGGAGAGATATCAATTTCTTTTGGCCCTTTTTTCTTCTTTTACTTTCGGGCTAAGTAAAAGGTGTAGACTTTCAACACGACATCTTCGTCTACACTGTTGATGACAGACTTGGCCTGGCCCCGCCATGCAATGAGGACGCCAAGGTTGGCCGGGTTCTCGACGTTGGAACCGGTACCGGCAGTTGGGCCATTGACTTTGGTGACCTACACCCCGAGGCTGAGGTGAGTTTTTAAAGGCGTTTCCAATGATGCTAAGAGTAGTTTATCTAACCCCGTGTTCAGGTCATAGGCGTTGACCTCTCGCCTGTCCGAGCAGATTTGTACGAAAAACCATCCCTGGCAGTTGACCGCAGCTTGAATGAGCTTACTGACAACTTACCTTGACTACAGCGTGCCTCCTAACGTGCGATTTGAGGTTGACGATGTTGATGAAGAGTGGACATACTCGCTTCCATTCGAATATATCCACAGCCGCTTCATGACGGCAAGCATTGGCAACTGGAAAGAGTATATCAAGAAATGTTTTGAGTTAGTCTTCTGCGTCGAGGTATATCCCGTATTTGGCTTATGAGTCTGACATGCGACAGCAACCTCACTCCCGGTGGATATCTTGAGCTCCAGGACGCTGATATCATGCCACGATCTGACGATAACCTCCTGCCCAAAGACGCCCCTATCATTCAGTTCGCCAATCTGCTCAAAGAGGTCTCTGCAAAGCTTGGCCGCGAGTATGTTGAGGTGGCGTCGCTAAAGAACGTGATGATTGAGGCTGGTTTCATTGACGTCGAGATGCGGATGTACAAGTGGCCTCATAATGAATGGCCGAAAGATTCGAGGTACAACAGCGCCCCGTTTGATCTGCTCTCTTATCATCATTTATCCCGGCCGGACGTGTCTCGTACTAAAGTAAGATGACAGGTATAAAAAGCTCGGATTCTGGACCCAGGAGAACTTCGGCTCTGCCCTCGAGGCCATCTGCATGGCGCCGCTTACTCGTGTTCTTGGATGGACCCGTGACGAGGTCAACATCTTCCTCATTGACGTTCGCAAGGATCTGAAGAACAAGAGTTACCATGCCTACTGTCCTGTGTAAGCGTCAGCCTATTCGCGGTGGCCATGTTGCAGACTTTGCTGACACTGATATACCAGCTACTGTATCGTCGGGCGCAAGCCCGAGAAGTAAGACACCCCAGCTCCCACTGTCCATGCCGGCAATTCAAGTATACCGGCAATGTTTTGCATTGGAGAAAGCCAGAAATGAACGTAATCTTTCAATCTTGCGAAATGGGTGTGTAGCAAATAGCTTCATGTGCAAACTGGCCGATCTTGTTATGGGTCGTTCACCGCCCTAAAACAATGTACTTTTCTTTCCCATCATCGCTGTGTGTCCGAATATACTCGTATCAAGAACAACATCGCGTAATGGTGTCATTCTACAGCCAAGACTTCGGCTGGCATAAAGCAACAAATTTGAAAGTACCGACCTTGATGTCACGTAGCAAAAGGCTAAGACAGGTGGAAAAGCGCCGGTGGATCTGAAACAGAAGTGATTTTGGCAAGCTCAAGTATCGTTTGCTTAGTCTGTGTATGCTGTCGTGGTGAGCTTAAAATGCAGTGAGACTTGGGGGGGGGCGAAAAGCACGTAGCCGCATTCAGAAATTTGAACTCCATGTGCCGATTAGCTCGTGGTAATCAAGATCCAAGATGCCGAGCTACCACGTGCCGGTGTAACGCGATCTACTGTTCTTCAAGTGCTTTCGGGGGAAGAACAAGCCTGTTCTCTATTTCAAGGGATCATGGATGAGAAGAGAGAAGTCAACCAATGATCGTGATGTGACACCAGGATCAATAAACCGTATCAAGGTCGCCAAGCAATTGAGTTTCCACGCCGAAAACTGCGCGGCAGTGGAACCGTTGAGACAATTCAAAGTCATTGCAGGCGAGAACAGACACATGGATCGAGGACATGCATTCAGATGGGGGCTGAGGCGGCACGATGTTGGGCGAGGAGCGCGCCTAGTGCCATAAAGCCGCAGCACGCATGTTTCGACGGCAGGCAGCCGTTTTCGTCCTTGCCAGGCTTGCAAGGCAGTGAAGACGACACCCCGACAAAGACAGAAAAGATCGTTGCTGGTTTGGCGGAACGGGTTTAGTCCAGCAAGCTTAAAAGGGGAAGAAGTCATTTCAAGCATCCGTAAAAGAGGATCAGAAAAGAAGCCTAAAACAAATATTGGATTGGGAGATGAAATGCCCCAAAACCCCCGGATCGTCTAACCCAGTCGCCCCGCTCCGGGTACGGATGCCTAAAAATGCACTGGAGTTGGACCGTCCCAGCGTGCTGTCCCCGCCAATCTAGGTAACCCCCCGGTGCTTCTCCACTTTTCCGTGCGGCGCAAGGAACCCGGCGAGGCTCACCACCGGCACTGCCACTTCCTGCTTCCCCACAAGAAACCTGCCAACCTGCACACTTCACCGACCGCCGTTTCTAAACATAGACATCGGGAGCCGGGGCAGGACGGAAACACGGCCACAACAGCGTTGGAGCAGGTTGCCGACTAATTGGGAAACCATGCAAAGGCCGGAAGCAAAAACGAAACACGTTTGATGGAAACATATAATCATAGTAGCCTCGCTCTCTTAAAAGATCTCTATGGGACTCTACAGTGTTACCACCTTGCCTATCGTCTCTTGGTGTTTCTGGGGGTTGTTGAGTACCGTTTTATTCTGATACCCATCCCAATGTACAAGTCTGTTCATATTACACCTTGATATATATCAACTACTATATCGTATACTCTGGCAATCGAAAAACAATCGCCAACATGAGCTCATCGCTCTGCACGCTGTCGACATGCGACCTCTCTGAGAGCCCGTATGGCTTCCGCCCCACGCTGACGGCCAGCGCCCTCTTTGCAACCATCTCGGCAATCTGCCTCGTCATCAACGGCGCCGTCGCCGCCCGGTCGACCCAACGACATGCCACCACTCCGTTTTCTGTCATCATCACTCTTGCCTGTTTGCTCGAGATTCTTGGCTGGGTTGACCGCATGGCTGGCTGGAGTGATCCCTGGGCCGTGTATCCCTTTATGCAGAGCAAGGCGCTTCTTACAATCGCGCCAGTGTTCGTTACTTCAAGGTACGCTTCTATACGCAATGAGCGTTTGCTGAGCATGTCCGCGTCCAATACTAAGACCGGTACAGTATCTACGTCTGCCTCGCACCGATGGTGCGGATAGTTGGTACAGAACACTCGTTCATCAAGCCTGAGCTCTACACCGTCATTCTCCTCCCTCTAGACGGCCTCGCCCTGCTCCTTCAGATCATTGGTCTCGCTGTTGGTTTCCAAAACGTCCCGTACACCCTCACCTCTAAGGGCTCTTACAACCCTAACGCCGCCGGCGCCAACATCATACTGGCCGGTCTGGTCATCCAACTCGCAACTCTGGTTGCGACAGGCCTCTTCCTCGCCTCAGTGCTCATCCGCGCCGCCCGCTCCTATCGCCAATACGGCTACACGACCTTCCACCGCGACGTCGGTTACGTGCCCCTTACGGGCCGCTTCCGCATCTTCGCCGGCGCTGTACCTTCCGCCATGGTAGTCCTCTTCGGACGAATGTGCTTCCGGATCGCGGAGTACGCTGAGGGCTGGAGAGGTCCCCTCGCGACGAGCGGCGAGGGGTTGTTCATCGGGCTAGAGGGGTTTCTTGTGGGGTATGCATTGTTGGCTATCGTGGGGTGTCACCCGGCGCTGTTTCTAAAGGACGGGAAGATGGTTTCGAGGATCGAAGCGGAGCCGTTTGTTGGCATTGACAGTGTCGGGAGTGTTGGGCAGAGAGGAGAGCATGAGAGGGACTTGGAGGAGCTGAGCAAAGTGTACCAGAGGCACCACGAGGAGGAGCAGAGGCTGTCGAGGTTTGACCGCGTTTGAAATATGATACCCCCTGAATTAGCGTACTGTAATGCATCAGTTGCATGCAACTCTTCCAGACTTCATCTTAGGACCTAACTATTTCCTGCGTATTACCCGAGTAAGTTTTTGGGTCGGTCTGTTATTGGCTTTTGATAATTTCAGGGCACGTAACGTGATAATGGGTGCTTACCATCAATACGCTTGGTTTTAGGATAGCAGAATCAGAACCAGTCAGTCCCGAGCCAATTTATGTCGATGCAAATCATCTCCTAGTCTTGCTCTAGCCGTCTGCTCGCCTCCAAGACGACGAAAAGGGCAGCGGACTTGCTGCCTCCAAAAGACTAAGATTAAGCCTTACCTATTGGTTAAGCAACATTTCCAATGATTCAGAAATGCGCGGGTAGTTCGACGTGCCGCCTTCTTGTTCTTTATCTTCCTGGTCCTGATCCTCACTATTGTCCTCAGATAAAAATGAGATAGAGGAGCCGGTCCGAGAAGAGCCAATCATTCTCCTGGTAGGATCAGGCAACCCGAAGGGTAGGCCCGACTGATAAGGTGACATTCTCGAGGCGTTGCTCCCTTCATCGACTGGGAGTTTTTCAGGCACATCGAGTCCCTGCTTCGTCATCTCGGCTTCGATGTATTCCACCAAGCCCGGGGTATCCCTCCAGCGCGCAAGCACGAGGGCCGACTTTCCTTCATAGTTATTCTCGGCCAAATCCGCGCCTTTGTCGATCAAGCTCTTAATTGTATCAAACGAGGCCTGCTCGTCCCATGCATCACACTCGAGCGCCTCATGAAGAGCACGGTGGAGTCCTACCTCGGCTTTCCGGGACGGTTGTGTAGACACGATATCCGACTCGAGTTCCAAGCAACGAAGGAACATCCTCTTCCTCTGTTCAAACTCGACACTACCGCTGTCCACATAACGCATTTGAGAGACGGTTTTATACACCAAGTCTCCCTCGACCTTGGCTCCCCTTTCGAGCAACCAACAAAAACCGTCATAGTCGCCGCTGTCAACGGTCCAGTCAAGTAACAGATCGCTCGCAAGCGGCATTTCCGCGCCTCTTTCCAGGAAGGCCTGTACCAGTTCCCATCTTCCATTGCTGATAGCAAGGAGAAGCGGAGTGCCACTTCGAGGCGTTCTCGCCGCTATATCGAATGGCAGCATGGTGGACCTAGTACGTCGACGCTCAGGTTCCGAGTCGCGTGCAACCTTGTGGATCAAGGCAGGGGCTGCTCTTTCCATCACAGTCCTGAAGACCTTGAGCACACTCACACAGCCACACGTACTCTCGACGCAAGCATAAGGACCGTGTTTGACATGAACGCATCCACTTTCTTTGTATCGAGCCAGGCGATGAAGAACGCTATCATTCTCGATAGCGAATGTGGCAGGGTCTGCATGTCGCGCAAGGACATTTGCATCGCGAAGGTTGCCACACTCCAACGCCACGAACAGGGGAGTGTATCCCCTGCTGTCTTGTAAGTCAACACTAGCTCCAAGGCTTATGAGACTTTCCAAACCCAGGGGTTCGATCTTGAACTCTTCAGAGTCATCTAAGCCCTCAATACGCATCACATTGGCGGAACAGCCATGGTGACCTTGGGCGACTAAATGCAGCAAATATGTCTTGAAGGGTTCAGTGGATTCGTTCATGCGTCCGTAAACGGTGTGGTCTTCCAGTATCGCCTGGTTCAGGTTTCCGCCGTTTCGTAAGAGAAGCTCCAGCCCCTTTAAGTTGCCAGCGAAGATGGCCTGTCCCATTGTCTGGCTTGAGATAGTAGCACCAGCTTCAATGAATCTCTCTGCAACCATGACTTGGGCCTCGTGGTTGTTTTCGGAGATCTTAAAGTTGTGCCATATATAGCAAAGCGCTTTCTCGTCTGCTTTTGAGACGCTAAGAAGCGCGTCGATAAGCTCCAGAGATCCGGCCCTGCATGCCATGTGCAGTGGTGTAAGGCCGTCTTTGTCTTCATTTGGCTCGATACCATTTTGTATTAGAAGGTAGAAAATGGCTGGCTCGTTGCTCAGCGCGGCCGCATGTAGGAGACCACGGCGCCATTGGTTGTGGTTTTCGTAGTCCTTGAGCCATTCTCCATACAACAGAAGACGCACCAAATCCACGTGTCCAATATCCACAGCTTCGTTGAACAGATTCGTTGCGAACAAGGGTGTAAGCAGGTTACTCTGCTCTAGGAATACCGGCACTGGAACCTCGAGAGTTCTGGCACGACGCCACATGTTTGAAGCGATCTCCATGCGGCGATGCCTCTGAAGTAGAGTGTTCCTATCAGCCGCTTTCTTTCGTATTGTTTCGTCATCGAAAAACATCATCAGCGTCTGGAATGCCGCTTGATTTTTATGAGTCGCTGACAGCACAGCAGATCGCAGTGCGTCTCTGCCGACCTCCCCTATCTTGCTGCTTCGGAGGAGTATCTGAAGGATTTCATTGTCGTTTTTGAAAGCGGTCCAATGCAGAACCGTCCAGCCGCTCTTGTCCCGCCGGGACAAGTCGGCACCGGCGTCGACTAGAACTGCGACTGCAGCTAGATGACTCTTGATCGAGCACCAGAAAAGGGGTGTATGACCATGCTTGTCTTTCAAGTTCATCGTTTTCTTCTTCACGGCCTCCACCTCCAGGAGTCTCTTCAGAACCTCCGCGTGGCCGTAGGAGGCTGCCAGATGCATGGCGGACCAACCCTCTGAATCAGTCGCCACAGCATCGGAGTTAAGTTCAAGAAGATGGTCAAGGGTGAGTAGTAACCCTGCTGCACAAGCCGCCTGGATAGATGTACGTCCCCTTGGGATGCTATCGAAGGAATACAGTCGAGCGGCAGAGTCCTGATGTGCGCGGAAATAAAAGACTTGTGTCGCACTCGCGAGGTGTCCATCGTGCCGGATAAAAGCCAATATCCTGGAAACCGCGAGTGCTTCCTCTAGATGCACGTACCAGTATTTGGCGATGTAATCTAGAATTTGATATTGATCCAAGCGTGACATCAGCTCTTCCATAGTTTCACATGGTTGCGACAGTTTTTGATACTGAAGGTACGTCAAGCAGGACAAGCCGATATCGTTGTCCTCCGGCATCGTTCTGAAGAACTCGTACGCGGTGGGGTGAACCATTGTCACATTGCTATTGTTGAGGATCAGCAATCCCATTGAGGACGAGAGGATCATGTCGATTGGTGTCAAATTCTCGATATCCATGTCCCGACTGCCGATCTCAATGGCCAGGGCGTGTCGCAATTCGTCAATGTTTAGCAGCCTCCTGCAACGTGACACCCACTGCAGTGCTCTCCTCGCGAGCTTTGCACGCCTTGACTTGAGGATACGGTCGAGTGTGGCTTGGTATAGAGTTGCTAGGTCGAAGGAAGAAGAAAGCAGTTGCCGAACTTCTTTGATCGAGCTAGCTTCAAAGATGCCGCCCATGATGAGCCGGGCGATCAAGAAACTGAACCATTAGCAAGGAATCAATTGGGAGGAGTAGCCAACCTACATCCCGTCTGCTTGTCCCACAATAGTCTCGATGAAGCCAATTGCCAGATGGTCACCCATGTCTAAGTCCAGCTCGGCAAATCGCATTTCCAAGAATAGATGCAAGTCTACTTTTTGCGCAACCACTTCAAGAGAGATAGGCACCTGCTTATGCAAAGCAGGCAGGTTACGGCTGGACACGCAGACCGAAACCCCTTTCGAAGCTAGCTCCCGGATCACCTTCAGCATTGCCTCAAAAGACGGCGATTCATCTAGGGCGTCGAACACAATGAACCCGCCGAACCTAGTCAGGATTTCCAACAACTCTTTCTCGAGAGGCTGTCGACGAGAGGAACGCAACTTCTGCACTTCTTCTAAAGATGCGCCGACCATTATTACCTGCTTGATCAATGACCTCAACACGTTGTCAAACCTGACGCTTTCTTGATGAGAAAAGTGGAAATAAACCACAGGGCCAGCTCCCGTTTCCTGAAGCCGGTCAATTAGCAGCGAAGTCACAACAGACTTGCCCGACCCGGGTTTCCCCTGAAGTACAAGCAGCTTCTCTTTCCGTGCAGACCAGTCTCTGAACAATGGCTCGTCGAACAGCCATATACCTGTTCCACGCTCTGCCTCCTGGAGCTTGGCCATGTGAATGGTGCTGTGATCGTGGGGATACAGCCATTCGGCAAGCTCTTCTCGCGTCGAGTCATTCCTCATCAGCGTAAGCTCCCTCAAGCCGGCAGCTGCTATGGTCATGGTCTTGGCGGACAGCGCAGCGTGGAAGTCGTCGCGATAGCTTTGGAGGGCGCGGACCATCTCCCGTGTCTCTTTCTGCTCAAAAGGCCATGCCAGCCTCCGAAACCTGGATCGACTTTCCAATTCCGCTTTCAGCCTTCGCAGCTGATTTTCACATTCAGTAGTCGAAAGAGAGATCGTAACTCCCGAGTCGTCTAACGCCCTGTTGATCTCGAGGAGGACCGACTGGAGCGACGTGAGCGCCTGCACGCAGTCGTGAACGTCTCGCGAGGCATGTTTGACGCCCTCGATAAACGTGTACGTTGCTTTAGTAAGTTCTATTATCAGGCTGATAAGCCCCGCCACACCCGATGCGGCAGACAAGCCATCCATATTTGCGCCAATTCCTGTCGGTTAGAGCGTCCTGTGAAGAGAATGACAGCGGCAAGATTTCAGGACTACATGGTTTAGCGTCTTAATAAGTGACTACGTGGACTCAGTCTGTTCTCTTTGCAGATATATTTTAGCAGTCAGCTGATTGGATGTGTAGAGAAACTGAAGCTGACTGGTGATAGGAGGATAATACTGGGAGAAGCGGCAATACCCCGGTGCTTACCCGGCTTATATGCACGCATCAGCACTGAGGGTGACGGGGCTTTGCGGTTCTACAGGGAATGACTTTCCTGGATTGTAGAGTACCCAAAAGACCATTTCAGTCCAAGATTCTATGAACGTCTTTATTTCAGTTCGTGTTCTTCGGCGGATAGTCGACGTATATTGTATACAAACATATTTACAGAGATCAAACTACTTAGACATCAACGTTGCCCTTGTGGCAAGAAAAATCCATAGCTCTATAGATTTACACTACTTTATCAAACGACTTCGGTGCTGAGGCACAGAGGCGTTTCGTTATGCCTCCAGCGATCAAAACCCGCTAGATACAAACGGACAAAAAGCATCAACCACAACCTGCCAGGAAACCGTCTTCAAACGACTTTTTAATCTTTAATCTTAAAACTTACCAGTTGATCAACAAGCTGGTTGTTGACAAACGGCAAATAGTGGTACCCGTCGCCGTCGCAAGCGCCGCTCCGAAAGTGCCAGAAGTATGGATAGCCACACTCTCCGAAGACGTCGAGGAAGAAGCATAGAACCAGTAGTCAGTAATAATACAACTTTTTTTTTAGTTCAAACATGTTGTGTATATTTTGCTGAAGAGTGATGTTTCTATTTAACTACAGATTAACTGCCCTCTTCCATCATGGTCTCACTGATGAACACGTGCCGTTAAGCCGTGGCTATCTTTGCAAAGTTCAAGCATGTATTATTCGGAGTGTTGAGGCAGTCGATGGTAACGATGTAAGTAACAGTTTATGTCAGGAGCGGGTTACGAGCAGAGTAAAGCGCGCACCATAAGCAAGGTCGCAGGTAGGTATCGGCGAAGAAGCTCACTAAATTCCGAACTTTCCTACATCCAAGAATGAGAAGGGCTGATATATGGCGCCTTGTGATTGGGTCCCTTCGGACATCTCCATTGCCCGTAGCAGCCTCGCCTAAAGCTTATGTATGGCAAGATACCCCCAACTTGGTGACAAAAAGGGTGATTCACACATCACGTCAACTGCTTTGGAACCCCTGCTTTGCTTAGTGATACCTCTATGAAGAATCGCGTTATTCTTTCCAGTTTAGTATTAGGTTAAGACCAGTCATTAAGCCCAAGTGTCTTTCCACATGATGGAAATCGGACATTAGTGAAGAAGTTGTTGGTGCTGCTGTGAAGGCCATTGGTCGGGGAGTCCGGTCCTATGGGTTACTCTTTTTGACAACAGCTTGACCCTTAAAGTAACGGCGTGTTATAAACCCAAGTTTGCTAATCGATGGGAAAATCTTTTCTTTAACTCTATGGGGAATGGACATGTCTGACACCGTCTTTGAAATGTATGTAACGCAAACCTATCCGAGATGCTCGGGTTTTAGTGTTTCGCGGAGAAGGCCGCTTCTTAGGAGACGATTGTACTTTCTGCCGCAGGGCCGCACAGTCTTCGGGAGATCTACATCAGCCGCAAGTGTAACTGCGGTGAATGAACAAGGAAACAATGATTCCAAAGGATCGGTATGTGTGTGGGTTGGGGCACACGTAACGCGGTGGTGTTATTATGGATGGGCAGGTACCCCCTCGTAGACCACGGAAGGGGAAAAAATGATTCCACATGCATTGCAGATGGACCCCTGTGCGAGCGCTCCACCCACCTCGAACGTGACCAATCATGCAAGATGCTGCTCACATCCCGCGCTGGACTTCACTCCCAGCTTTCCAAGGTACTTTGGAATAGACAGGCAGAGAACATTGCAATAGTCCATGCTTACACGCCCTCGACGGGGGCAGTTGGAAGACTTCACCTGGCTGCTTCTGTCGAGGCTGTCTTACATGCATGTCTACAAAGTAGACTGACAAAGTCTCGTAAATGGCTTTCCAAATTGCTTTCATATTTTCTGTACGGATACCCACTATGGTTAGTTCCGTCTCTCCCGTGTCTTCAGTCTGGATATGTATGAAGGCCCCCATCCCTTGTATATCGTGTCTTCGTGATTCATACTATGCATTCTCGACTTTGTCAAGAGTAACACCCATCTTCTGTGAGATGCGCTCCAGCACACCATGCCCTTTCTTTTGCGCCATCCATCTTCCCAGGTTCCCTATAACCCGACGAAGGGAATCAAGCAGCAATCCCTTGCGTTCCGGCCGCCATCCTGACATCCACCCTCTCTTCATCAACATCCATCTCCCACTCTAGCTCCCTAACCCCAACCTGCTCCATAACCCTTGCCACCACGCTCTCAAACGCATCCCGCTCAATGATGGCGCCGAAGTGGATACAGTCTACAACACCGCAAAACTCCCTCTTGAGCGCCTCAATCACGTTTTCCCGCATTAGCGCTGCGGCGCCGTACCGCGCCGCCAGCTCGAACCATGCCTGCACGGGCGTCAGCTCGATGTCGCCCGGGTTCAGCGTTTTGGCGAGTGACAGCAATGACTTCAAGGACAGCGCGGACCCGGCACCCGTATCGGCACGCCACGTGTGTGTCGCGGTATCGGCCTCGCCGCGACGGATGGTGCGGTACACGCGAGCGGGGGCACTGGACATGCACATGGTCGAGGCCATCATGGTGTGGCCCGAAGCGGCGCTGCAGGGGTCGGCATGGGCGGGGAACTGGCGTGGGTGGAAGTGGTTCCAGCAGATGTGTTCCATGCTGTGTCACCAGTCAGACTTGCGTGTTCATTTGTGATAGTTAACAGGGAGTGTCAAAAGGGGTAACTCACGCAAGGATAAGGTTAATGGCGGTTATCTCTTGTTCCGGAGTGAGCTGGTCAGACATCGGCGGATGAGTAACGGCCGGTGACGACGAGACGATTTGGACGCATGGCGTGCCAAGGGCCTCGTCCTTGCGCATTGTGACGGTAACCTCGCCCATGTCGATGTCCGCGAAGAGGTCGGCGGGCGGGTAGGGGTCGTACTCGTAGTTATCGTCTGTGAGTTCAGATTGATACGCCTCTGAATATGCGGTCGGGAGCTGTTGCTGGGGAACAGGCTGTGCGAGCATCTGTTGCGGAGCTTGAGCATGTCCCTTCTGCTGCTGTTGCTGTACCGCCACCGGCTCCGTCACCTCCCTGGGCGCAACCGCCTCCACGGGCTTTTGAGAATCCATGATCCGAGTCTCGCGGACAACTCCCTCCTGGCCCTTCAACTCCTCAGGCACACTGAGACCTCTGGCCATCAGAGCGCCCCGCATGCCCTCGTTCTGCCTGCGGAAGGCGAGGGCCTCCTTCTCGGCCGCGGCGATCATATCTCTGAAGCGGCAGACGTCAAGCTCGAGCTGCTTGATGTAGTTGGCCTTGCGCGTGCGGTGCTGTATCTGCGCCTTACGGACCTGCTGGCGGCGGAGCTTGGCCTTTTCCGCGGCTGTGAGGTTGGATTTAGATTCAGCTGGAGAAGGTAGTGTGTTAGTCGAGGCCTGTGTCGGACGGATTGGTCGTGCTGAAGAAGGATGAGAGCGGGTGACATATAAAGGAGAGGCCAGGGAATGTTGAAAGCGCTTGAAAGCAACCATGATGTATATAGGTATCATAGCTGTCATGGGCATTTAGTATGGGGAACAACGTGCGGACAGGTTGTGGACATGGAATCAAGGTTTGAGCTCCGAATAGAGGTAGACTGATTCCAAAGGCCAAGCCCGGTCTAGCTCAATGATCCGCGGGGGTCCATGACCAGCGGTGTGTGCCGCATCGGGAAGTCTATGCAAAGACTCGGAAACAACGTTGAAAGCATGGGAGCAGACGCAGCTATGCAATACAGTTCGTCCCATCGCTCAGGCGCAGCCGAACTTCGTGGTGCCGTGCCGGCAGAACACCAGACCGTAGCTCGAATCGGCACCAGACCAACTCCGACCTAGCGGCAGGATGACACAAACGCCACGCGACTTTGGAGGGTGTGTGTGTGTGGTTAAGCTACGCGGTGATGAGGAATCATTCGCGCCCGCATTGACTAATCAGACATATTTCCCATCCTCCTCACGGCCAGGTTTATTTGGGACAAGACATGTGTAGGTATGGATTCGGTGGACCACAAGAAAAAAGCACCACCGCTAACGACGGTATTTCCTACTCTGGAAACCAGAAGATCCTGGCAGGGTCCGGGACACTTGCCGATCGAGGAGCCACACTGGTGCAGGGAAGGGAGAAACAAGCAGACTGAAGCAAAACGTGTGGAATCATGATGGCCGGTATGGATATATGGTGCATATGCGCCCAGCGGGCGGGGCAACGGCCGAATCGAAACCGACGGGGGACGACGGGACGATGGAACGACGGGGCATAAAAAAGTGAAGTGAAAAACAACAAAAAGAACCATGTACTCACCAGAACCCTGCCGCTCCTCATCACCGTTGTCCGCCGTCGCATTCTTCGGGGAAAGAGGCCCCATGGCCGACAACGGCGACAAGGACGACGACGATTGATGTTGAGGCAGCGACGGCCCCTCGTTCACAAACTGCACCCTCCCCGCCCTCTCGTTCTGCTTCTCCTCCTTCCGATACTCCGTAAAGGATGGTCGGTTGTCGCCGCTGCTTTCCCTGTCCGTTTGTTGCGGTTGCTGCTGCTGCTGCCCCTCCCCCGCCATCGCCGAAGCCGCATGATGGTCCGCCATGACCACTTACTGCAACGAAAGGCCGCCGTGGAGTGAGTGTGTTGGTCGATCAACCAATAAACCGATGGACTGATGGAGTGAGCAAGAAGAGTTGTGGATGAGAGGTCGCGTGCACAATGGACCGCCTATTGAATTGATATGTTACCGGTCTGGTCGAGAAGACCCCGCAAGCCGCCAGGCAAAAAAAAGAGTCGGACGAGGGGTTTCGGCCGGGTTTGCTGTGTTTAAAGACGGGCGAATTCCAAATCCCGTCCAACTTTTTCTTCTGCCCAGTGCTCCTTATTCTGCTCACGAGCGGCTAAGCAGTTCAGGGAATGCCGGCCGCCCAAATCCTCAGGGTCCTTGGGGGCATTTTTTGGGGGCCGTCCATTGGGAATACGGGAGGGAAGAGATGACACAGAGAGTGGCGCTTGTCCGAATCAAGGGAAGTGCAAACTCACTGGGGCTCTCTGATCATCCTCACGTGCCTAGCTCGTTCATGCTGAGAGACAACAAGTAGGTGCTATTTTAGGTGCAATCCCGATATTTGACATGGTATTTGAAATTCGAGACATCCATCCATTCCATCTTCCTTCGGAGACTTATAGAAGATTTGTCACTGGCACGAAATCGACCATGCCAAACCGACATGCGGCTGAGTAATGGACGCTGAGGCATGACTGTTGGGGATGACTTTTTCCTCTTCGTTCTGTAATACGAGATCTGACTGTTCTTTGCTATCACAACAGCTACTTCGTGATTTATTCTCGTAGCCTCAAGGAAGGGGGCGGAACTGGAGAAGATTTGCTTCTTCGATATCATTGTCCCCTCCATGTTTGGTCCTTCCAACGTAACCCTGAACATTTGTCACGCCCAACGCCTTGCGGGAATCATATCCTCAATGCCAAATTGGCCCAGATTTCGCTATTTTGGTGACCGCCCAACGCCGTGTTAATGCATGTTGACCCGTTCCCTTTTACCACTCTTCAGTCGTCATCCTCGTCCTCGCTGGCGGTGGCGGTGTCTTCCTCGACATCCGTCTCCGGGATATTTTCTTCGTCGTCCTCGTCGCTGTCGTCGTCGGCCGTCATGTTGAGACCCGGAACAGCCTGGTAGTGTACGTAATCGTCCTGGACCCACCGCTTGCTCACAGGCAGCTGGTAGGGATCGAAGGGGAAGTAGGGGTCGAGCTGGTATGCCTCCTCGTCCTGTGCTCCGGAGCCAGTATCTCTGAGAGCACCGCCCGTACCATATGTGTCTGATACAAACTGCGACAGCCTGATCCGCTTGTTCTCTTCTACACGAGGGAAGATGTACATTAGGCCGAGCTTGTGTGCCAGTGTCGCAAACTCCTCAACGATTGCGGGTGCACAAATCTTGAGGGGGTTCATCTTGCAGTATACGCTCGCCGACAGCTCTTCTCTCATCCCTTGCATCCACTCCAGCTCGTGACCCAGGTATGATGCGGGGTCGTCTCGGTCCACAAACTCGGGTGTGGCCACGATCAGGTCGCGCCAGCGGAAGCAGAACATGTAAAGCGCGGCTTGAACCTGTGCGTAGTAGATCTGGTGCCTTCTCAAGTCCGGTCCTCTAGCGTCGGGGTCGTGTTTGAGGCGGTAGATCTGCATCTGCTTGAGCAGAAGGGCAAAAACGGTGCGCACCAGATCGGATGGAACGTGGGCACCTCGTGCCATAAATCCGGCCAGGTAGGTTGCCGCTGCTTGTCGGACAAAGCTCGGTCGGTTTTGCGAGCCAAAGATGTGCATTAGACTGCCAACAAAGGTATCTCGCAGCCGTGCTGACATCTGGCCGAAGTGGAAGAGCAGGAACTGTGTATGGCGGGACTTGTATGTCGGTAGCACAATCTTTCCAAAAGACTGTACAAGCAAAGCGTACCGCTCCCATGCTTGATCCGAGTCGGGGTTTTCGAATAGTGGGGTGTAGTGGTCAAACAGAGTGTCGAGGATGGCGTCCAACTTCTCAACATTGCCCTTGACAACACGGATCTTCTCCTCTTTATCGTCAAAGTCGGAATCATCGCTGTCGACGGACTCGTCATCGCTGTCCCGGTCCACTGCGTCTTCATCGCCCTCCCATGAGCCAGTGCCCAGGGACTTTCCAAGCGCGTATGCAACAGATGCCGTCAGGTCGTCATCGAGGTCGTCGAGGTCGGTCTGCATCTGCACATCGATCTTGACTAGCCGCGACAGCAGCACATCGACAATCTCGAGATCCAGCTCACCCGCGTATTCCTTTAGTCTCAACAGGTTGTTGACGTAGGCGACGAACATTCTCTTAGGGTCGTCGTCAAAGGGGAACTTGGTATCGAGAAGGTTGCGGAGAACGGGGGTGGCTGCGGGGAACATTTGAAGGATGTACTGCAGCCCGGTATGAAGCCGCTCACGCATTGTTGCACGACTAACAGGAGGAAAGTCTTCGACGGACCATTCGGGCAGCCTAGAGTGGGAGAACTTCTCGACAATCATGGACAGCACATGCGTCAGGTAGGATCCCTGCGCGCTGACCAGGGCGGCCAGGAACTGGATGTAAACTTTGAAAAAATCCTCGTCTCGGCCCAACCACGAGACCTGCAGCACCGTCCTCACGAGACCGTTGCAGGCCTTGTTTTTCAGTAGTGGGACGCAGCTGGTCAGCGCCAGCACGTAGCGCTTGAGTTCCTGGGGCTTGAGTGTGTCTTCTTCCTCCCCAGCAACGGGCGGCAGGTATCGCTGCGTGTCATTTTCGAAGATGTCCTTGAGCACGTCGTATTCTTCATCCTCTCCCATCAGATGCTCCTCCAGTGCTTTCCGGACTTGCAAATTCACCTCGTCCATCGACCGGCTGCCAAATTCGAAGACGCGGTTGTTCATTTCGTTGATGAGCACTTTTCGCCTCTTGGTCGGGCTGGAAGGGGGGTCGACTGCATCAAAATCGAGTTCTTCGGCTTTCCTCCGGCCCAGGACTGTAGACGTCTGCCGCAGAATGCTCTTTATAGGCGTTGCTGTTCTCGGTGGCGGACCAGACCGATGTCTGGAAATGGGGGTGAAGGGTCGCATGGGGATGGTCGCGTATGATGGTCAACACTCTCGGGCCTCTGCTCTGTCGGCGCTTGGGGGTCTTGGTTCAAATCGAGACTGGGCGTCTGGCTATTCTCATCGACTGATAGATGTGTTGCGCAAGGATCTGCAGAAAGATATCATGCATGTCTCTTTCGCTTGCGTCAATCGGGACTCGAGTCGAATCCTCGCCCTCGAGTAATTAATTGAGTTAGGGTGGTGGTGTTGGGCGTGGCCGGCTGAATTATTTCGTGTTGCGGCAGTTGGTTGCCTGACAAAGTTTCGAGGTAGACGTGAGCTGCCGATACTTTTTTTCTTGCGAGCGGGCGGCTTGCCTCTGCCTAGTGGGATACCGCTGGGGGGAAAATTTTGAGACTGGAGGGGCTGCGCACGTGCCTCACTCAAGACGTGGGCCACTTTTGACCTCCAGGCTCTTCTAGCACTCAAGACCCTTGAAGTGGTCCTGGACCGTGCACAACTCGGTCCCAATGGCCTGCTGGACTTTTAAGTGGCGGCCAAGATGCTGGGGTAAGGTGGGAGGAGCCTATGACGACCGTTGTCACCTTATTGGATGCCTATTTCGATGCGTCCTCAGGTCCTACTAGGAGGTGATAAGCAACGGCGAAAAGCCGGTCCTCAGTCACGCCGGTGAAAGTCAAAGGGGATCATTCAAGAGCAAACAAAACGATGCGCGACGAAACTGGATTAGAAGCTATCTAGAAAGAAGTGCTGTAGCTACCTGTGCTCTGGATAAACGGCCCGGGCCCGCTCCAAAAAGCTTTGATGCTTGCTAACTGCTCTTTGCCAATGCCTCATGACCGCTCATGGGCTCGGCATGGCTGACTGAATCGCAACGCCACAGAGGGGGAATCTATCGAACAGACAACGGGTCAAGGAGAAGGAAACATAAACAACCCTTCAAGCCCACACTTTTGGCCCCTTCCCACCGTACCTGGTTCCTGAGGCCCTCATGTACACCCATATGCCTCGTCAAATCCCGAGAGCTAGACTTCGTACTTATACAAACGTCAACCTGTGTCCAGGCATCGTCTTTCGTCGGACTTGGGCTCCATCAAGTCACGACCAGTACATATACGTCGAAAGGAAAATTCGTCCTTGCATGCCCGCACTATCCACGCTGTGGTCGAGCCGATTACTGGTAGCCGTCGGCGCCACCAGTGCCGTTGTGGCCAGTTTGTGCGCCGTACATGTAGCCCTGGGCGTCGGCGCTTCCATCTCCCTGCTGACCCCCGAGCACATTGTTCTGAGGCTCGGCCTGGAAGCTGCCAGCTCCGGTTGGAGGGTTGGCGCCATAACCGCTGCTGCCGGGGCGGTGCGAGCTCTCTCCTCTGTTCGATTGGGATTGCTGCTAAGCTCGTTAGTTAAGCCCACTCGCAGTATCGTGAGGAGAGTATGATTCCATGTCTCGGACAGCATTAGATTGTACTTACTTCTCGGTACTTGGATAGGTAGATCTTGAGAGCTTCTGCGTAGTTCTCAAATCCCAGCGAAGTCATGGCGAAAAGAATGTCTTCTCCGTTCACCGTCTTTCGCTTCTCCTGGTGGCACTTCTCCGAGGCTGTGATAGGTTAGTATCTCATCTGCAGAATCACCCCCTCGATCCGTAGGGCTGGCTCGAGGAAATAGCATACCTTCACTCGTGATGAACGAGATAAACTCGCTGACGCATTCTTGCATGCATTCCTTAGCTTCTTTGGCGATCTTAGCGTTCTCCGGCAGAGCATTCTTCATGATGCGGGCCACTGGAGCAAAGTTACGTATATTAGCGTCGAACTCATCGTATTTCTCCCCACCAGAAGCACCAGCTGCTTCTGGCGACTGCGGTGGCAAATCCTGAGACATCGACAACTTGAATGAGTGCCGTGGCCGCTCGCTTCTGTGGAAGCTTCAACCGACCAAGACCAATGACAGCGGACAACAAGCAGGAGCGATTACGAGCGAAGATGCAAGCAAGCAAGCCAGTCCAGTCCATAGGTCGCCGTCATGAGAATGGCCAGAGCGCATAGAGCAATAGTCCAAATCATCGTCGTTGTCGTCTCGTCGCTGCGAAGAAAAGGGAATATGGCTTACCATTGGCTATGGGCAACCAGCGGTCCTGCTCCTTGACCTCGAACTCATAGGTGAGGCCACCGGACTGTGGGTCTTGAGGCTCGTTCATTTGTTCCTCTTCCGGTGATTGTACACCTTGGTCAACATCCTTGGGAGGAGATTGGGGGGAGTCCGACATATTTGGCTACCTGCAGCGGCTGCTGGCGTTCTTGTAATTTGCTTGGGCTCTTGCAGCTCGCACACACGGCGGGCTTAGGATGATGTGTCCCTGACACGTTGCAAGTCCGTAGGGCTTGCAAGTCTCGCGGCTTAGCTGCAGGAGTGTGCGTCAATCCTGCCCTGGGCTGCTCGGCTTGTCCTGAGATGGATTATTTTTATTCGCGATCCCCTGGCAGGCCCTGTCTTGACTTCAGGCTATGACGGATCTTCCTGGGGTGGCCTGTATGATGCCCTTGCCCGGGTAGAGTTGGGACAGAGACTGGGAAAAAAGCGGGAAGAGGGTGGCTGCGTTTGCGGGTCCCACAGGAATGGCCAACCTCTAGACCAAGGAGAGGGTGGCGTTGACCTGGCTAACGTGCTTCTTGATCGCCCTGTTGCAGCTGTGGGTATGCGCTCCTTCGGGTTGGTGCTCGATGCTCGGGCGCGGGTTGACCTGTAGGGTAGAAGGTAGAGGAAGTTTGCGAGTCGCGATGGGGGTGGGTGAGGACAGGACAGGCCAGGTCGAATCAGGTGGCCCCGAGGCGGATGAAGGTACTTGTGTGCTTCTCGGCGGAGGTGCGGAGTGCTGCGTCGAAGAGGCGCGCGGGCACAGTACGGATGGGCGAGTCTTCGTGACTTTGGTTGAGCTTTGGGCTCGCAGGGAGTCGACCTGTGGTTACACACCGGTCGATCGGACGGGAAAGCCGTGATAGGGGAATCAAGAGGTAACAGCTGCAAAGGCGCGTCAGAGAAAGCTTCGCTTGACCCGAACGGGACACAGAGGGAGGGAGACAGAGACGGGAACTGGGGCTGGGGCGTGGGTGAGGGCGAGAGCTGTGAAGACACACACTCAACGCGCGCGCGAATGTGTATGGACGGAATGGGGGAAAACACGAAGAGGGGCCCGATCAAGTGCCGTCGACAAGGGCCTGTCCGATTTACTTACAAGTTTCTGGGTGTCTGAGTTGTTCGATCGAGGTCGCAATAGAGCCTAACAATGCGCCTTGTGTGGACGATGCACCTGTACTTGTTGATGGCTGCAAGAAACGTGGGGTTGGTGCAGAAGGGAGAAATGGAGGGAAAGTGGGCAAAGAAGGTGCGGTCAACAAGAAGCTGCGCATTAAACACAATAACAAGGCCAAAGTCCCTCAAAGTCGCGCTTCCCACCTGCCGTTTTATCGATAATGGAGTCGGTACCTCCTCGGCATGCGTTTCACCGTGGAGAACCAAAGTACCTGTCAGCTTCCAGGATCTAGCGCGGTACCTCCAACCCCCCCATCATCCGATCCTGCTCCCTAACACGCGGCTGAAGAGATGCGCTCCGAACCTGTGACTGCTTTTCGCATTCTCCATTCTCGCGCGCTCGGATGTCCATCGGCCGTCAGTTCGGGCGTCTGACGACATTTGCTTCTTCCTTGCAAACCCGTCAGACGACGAGCTTCCGATTCAAGAAAGCCCCCAGCCGGAGACTGAAAATCCGTAGTCCGACGACACTTGCAGGAGTGACAATGCGACAAGAGAGGCAGCTCTTTTTCCACAGTACCATTATATCCCCCCCTCCCCCGACACTCCCGCCCAGCAGAGTTTAATGTGTCACTGCATGCATTTCATGCTGTACTGTATCAACACGGACTCTAGTCATCCTTCCGTGCCTCCCGTGTATGAGCGGTGTGAGCTGCACGAAACAACCAACTAAGCTCAGAGGAGGGTAGCAAGCACGACTTCCTTGCCCTTCACCGGCGCATGGCGGACGCCAAGCGGTGCAAGTGACACAACCGACGAAACGGGACGGGAACCCGAGGCTCGATTCTGCATAGAAATGCTGATGGGAAGATGAAGAAGGATGGAGGTCGCATGTCAGTTCCGTCGCGCCCAACGGGCAAGTTCATCGCCCGCAACGGGCGTCGTTGACACCGCAATGAAGTCGGGCAAATACACATCAATTTCTCGTCGTCGTTCTCGGCCGTGCGACTTTTAGCACTTTGGGTAGCTTAACCGTCGCGACAAGGTCGAGTGGGAGGGCGACCAAGCAGCTTGATTTGACAATGGCGCCGTCAGGAGTAAACAAGCCGTCGAACCTGTCACCTGTCTTTCTCGACATCGCCCCCAATCTAATCCGCTTCGTCAGGCACAAGAAGGCTGACGGCAGCCTAAGCAAGCGCCCCGAATGACGACTCGCTTGGGCCGAAACATGCACCTTGGTTGGCTTGTCAAGCTACTTGCCTCTTCAGGTACATTCGCTATGGATGGAAGCTCTTGAATGGCCTGTCGGAGGAGCTTTGGGCACGAGGCTGGACAACACAAGGTCAACCCGTCTTTCCTAAGCCAATGGGACAAAACCCAGCAACTTCTGGTTTTCGATTGGCACAAAATACTCCGGGGCGCGTCAGTCGCCCTTCAACTGGCCGTTTCTGCCAGCCATAAACGCGGAGAAATTCTGCCAATGTCTCGAGAGGAAGCGTCGGTCACCAATCGGCGGCCCATCGCCCTATGTTTGACCCTGCATGCGCACTGCAACAGACACCCGTCAGCCCAGCCAGTCACCTCTATTGCGGTTGGGCTCACTTCTTACTGTCGGGAGCCAATAACCCTTTTATTGGGTTGGGCTCGGATTGGACGAAGTCTGCCGCATCGAAAACACCTCCTTATCCCACGCGCCGCCGACATTTTTCTCTCACTTTCCACAACCCTGGTCCGGATGATGCGGTTCCTACCCCTCCTTCCTACTTCTCGTGGTGGGAGGGGTACGCTGTTCGGGATTCCGCCGCCATTACGGATGATTTCATGTCACAGGCGTAAGGGTTGCATGTGTTGGCTACGCTTCTCTTACCTTGGGGAACATTGACAACTCAGAGCCACATCCTTTTCTTGACCCTGGTCGACGACAACCTCGCCGAGATGCACCGGTCTGGCCTTGCCGGTGGACAACAGACAATGATTGTTCGGCACCGTCCTCATGAATACCGAGATCCTGGAGACTTCGCTGCCAGTTTCAGCGCCTCCCGAGCAAGACAGATTGTCGGCAGCACACGAGGTGCTGGGTGCTATGCAGCATCCCAGCCAGCACTCCACTCGCTTTACCTGCGACTCGGGCCACATTAGGCAGCCCATGATACCGCCAACCCGCATACCAAGAATTATTTCGTACTGTTTCGTACAGGATGCATGCGACTAAAGAGGAACTATGGATCAGCAAGGCGGATGCAGGCCGTGGGATGCCTCCCACTTCTGGTCCGTGGCTGGCCGCAGCCAAGCCGTCGAAAGCGCCTGGCTGGTCGGGCAACATCTGCGGTAGCTCGAGTGCAGATGATATCACGGCTGTACGAATTGTTCAAACAGCATCAGTCGATCATTGCAAGGCGCTTCGTGCGATGTTCAACTACGAACTGGACGCCTCCGCTCCTCTCATCGATAGGCAAACTCGATCGACGCATGTAGGCGAACACTTGAGGCTTCAACGAGCACCAACCTGTTATCGGCCGAATCGGCCGGACCGCCTCCGCCCCGCGTGTTCTTCCTCTGCCGAATGGAAGACGGAGTTGACGGGTGTGCACCAGTCTGATGATTCCGGGAATCACCTGGGAGGTAGCATTTTTGCTGGCAGTCGCTACAGGTCGCAGTGCTCAAACCTTTCATCACTACCTAGGTCGCATAACGAGCAGCCAGTAAGCACGCCTCGTCAACCGGGGCGGTCTCAGCCAGCCATCTGAACCGCCAAACCTGCCGTCCCTCGTTATGTGGTGTGTCTGTCTGACGACCTCGCAGTAGGTACAATGTTGTTGGGCACCGAAACGCCGTTGCCGCCGGCATCTATTGCTTTTTCTCCTCATTTCTTGTATCGTTAAGCATGCACTATTGGATCCATTGGATAACGCACTGCTCCCACTTCCACTACACCATCAACATGGTCCTTATTACAGGGCGCACTGCTGAGTTGTCTCCATGTTTTTGCTACCTCGCCAATGGGTATATGTGACGCCGCCTTGTTTTTCACATCTTTGAGGGTACTGTGACGTCCTCGAAATCCTTGTTCCAATCTAAATGCTCAGGAAAGACTTCCAACGCGAGTTTGGAGAAACAGCAAAAAACATTGCACGCTTTTTGCTGTCTGACACCACCCGATCCGGGCTCCTTTAGCAAAGGGAAAATCTGAGAACAGCGTCATTGCGGACGCAGGATCGAGCGCAAAGTCACGTTCGCTCTGCCAAGCCCATATCCAAGAACAGATCTTCCTACCACTTAGTTCTGGACAACCTGAACATTGTTCTTCTTCTGTAATTTCAATTCATCAGCAAACTGGCCCATTCGATGACGGTATGACGATGCTGAAATAGGGAGAAGTGTTCCATATCACAAACCTTCCACTTTTCCAACTCGTCCTGCTTGGCCTTGTACTGCTTGACAAGGTCTTCAAGAACCTTCTTCAGACCCTCCGAGTTTGTCGTTAGGGCGGGCATGACGTCCTTGACCGTCTGCTCCATCAATACCCCGTTGATCAGGCGGAAGCACTTGCGGTCCTCGGACAGCGGCTGCAACGTCTCCAGTACGAGCCTGTTCAGGTGATGGTACCCAGTCAGTAAGAGGTCACTTTGGGCGGTGTGTGGGGTCCATCATTTAAGTTTCGAAGTCTGTGAAGAGCGGTGTGATGAAGGAACTGGCACGAGTTCAAGCTCGGAGGTAGATCGGGCGTTGGCGGCGGAGAGAGAAGAAAGAAGGCTATCGTGCCCCTGGGCGGCACAGGGTCCGTGGTCCCAAGGGCATGGATGGGTCTTTTCACTCGCAGTTGCGCCGGCGGCGGCGGTAGGGGGGACGTTGATGAAGAAACGTAGAAATGGGAAACGCACTTGTGTTCTTCGGCTTCTTGCTCGACGTCGCCGATTTTCTGCGCAATCTGCTGCAAGGTATTTTTGTAGATGCCATACTGGGTTTGCAGATCTGAAAGCAATTTAGTACGAGTTATCTGTGAGAGAGATGGCGGGGTTGATGTGATCTCATGAGATGTCAAACTTTGTGCCTCGTGGTTCGGCCTGCTGAGTGAGAACTGACCTTGCTGCTTCCGCTGGTTTGCTACTTGCGCCGACATTGTAACTGCAGATCTGAAGTCGATGTCGAGGTGAGAAGGACGTTGGTGGGACTTGATGAAGCCGTGAGAAAGTCAAGGCGGCCAACTCAGTGAGGGACAATGCGCTAGAGGTATTGCCCTCTGAGCAGTGACCAACAGCAGAGGGAAGTTCTAGAAGGGGGTGTTTGCCAGTGGTCCGAGCTTTTGCCGCGCCGTGGACACCAATCCCCCAGCAAAGCCTGGCGCGCCGCCGCGGCGTCTCTCTCCCCACCTGCGTTAGTGGTCTCATCCAATCCCTCGCAGTGCATTTGACCCTTTGAACCCTGGAATCTTTTCGCGCCTCTGCAACTCACGCCCAAACACCGAGACAAACCTTTCCCACGACCCGCGATTCCACCTTCTCTCAGAGATCCTGTATAGACCCGACTCAAGATGCATCCCCATCTGCATACCAAGGACAACTTCGGTCAGTCACCAGTCCACCACAGTTGGCGTCCGCACATGATCCGATCGCCACCGTACCTCTTCCACCCGCGGACATGAGCACTAACAGTCCGTTTCGAAACAGAGTGCGAAGACATCATGGTCGCCCTCGAAGAGTGCCACGCCAAGGGTTTCATGCACAAGTCTCTCGGCGGGTGCAACGATGCAAAGGACAAGGTCAGCGAGTGCCTCCGCGGCGCGCGCGCGAAACGCACCGAGGCGAACAGGGCCGCGGCGAAGGCAAAGCGCGAGGAGCGCGAGAACCGGATAAAGGAGCTCAACAAGTCACTTGGTCTCGACTAGACTACGCATGTCTTACTATTTTTTCGGATCGAAACGAACACCGTACCTACGAGACGACTGGTGGCATGCGGCGGGAGAGATCGATCGGCTTTGTATTATATCGCGATACTCCCAACTTTATCGAATTCGGGCGACGGCACAGGGCAGGCGGGATACCAAAAAACACGTGTACAAACATTTAATGAGCTAGAGGCGTCCTACAAGAGATCGGAGGATGTACAATAACGCAAGGGACTCGAAATTCGCATCCGGTGCAACCGGGAAGAGAAAACAGGCATTATTTCAACATTGTTCATTCGTTTCGTACTAGGCTGATGTTACAACTACATCGCTTCGAAGAATCGTACAGTCGCCCCTTCCAAACCCTTCATCAACCTTTACAAGCTGCGGCGGAACTCGTTGCCAAAGGTGAACAGACCAAAGGCGGACAGGACACTCAGCAGGATGGGCACAGGCTTGCGGAGGCGGAGGGCGCGCGGGATGGCGGAGCCGCCGAGGACGACGGAAGCAAGAAGACTGAGCTCGACGCCATAGGGCTCGCGGTTCTGGATGCGGTAGCCACCGAGGCCGTCTGCGTGGGGGTAGTCGTGGTTAGTTTGGATGTCCACACATGCGCGCGAACGGGCAGGAGAAAACAAGGAAGGGAAACAGGGATACTACATACAGAGGAGACCGACGCTGACTCCAGCGACAATGGAAGGGACGGAGCGAGTCCGGGCGTAGCCGGCAATGCCGCCGCCGGCCGTCAACGCGCCGAGGACGAAGGAGGGGATGGAGAGGTCTGAAGACTGCATAGGTGTCATTGTTAGCTTTCTGTCCCGCTGCCGACGTTGATTTGGGTGCGCAATCGTACCATTTTGTGGTTTGCTGGGTAACAGGTTGACTGTACGAGAGATCTATTGCTTCAAAGTTTGAATTGGCGACAATTGAGCTGAAGAATCGTAGCGAAAGATCACGGTAGAAGTAGACCAAGGTACGTTCGGTGCCTCGGGAGTCCAAGCTTCGGCTCGCCCACCCACCCACCAAAGAGACGACAGCTGAATGATCTCATCCATTTCCGGATATGACTAATCACAGTCTTTCCAATGTCCCAATCGCAGGGGCCTGGCGAGCCAGGGACCAGAAACCAATGCTACCCCGGATTTGTGGCTTGGCAGTTGGACACCCGTAGCTTGCACCAGCCACATCACCTGACGACCTGTGGCTTCAAGCTTTCGTGTCCTCCAGAGCTCCCCAGCTCCAAGTACCACGCAAGCAAGCACCGGCCGCGCATCCCAGCGAACATCTCGAGTGTCTTCCCTCAACTTTTGGTCCACCACCACACTCCAACCCTCCGAATTCCGCCAACCGCCACCGAAATAAACCATCCTTACGACCGACCTGAGGCAAAAAAAGACCGCAATGGCGCCCAAACGCACCGCCTCCTCCCAAAAAGCCGCCGCCGCTGCAGCAACCTCCGCCGAACCTCCCCATCACCCCCCCTCCTCGCCCGCAGGACCGACCGCCGCCGCAGCGATCCCCGGCACAATGACCTCGCAGCCCAAGGCCGTCCCCATCACCATGACCCCCAAGGGCGCCTCTGGTGCCCAAAACTGGGACCAGGTCCTCACCAACATCTACAACCACTACGTCAACAACACGCCGCAGCGCACGAAGCTGATTGACGCCTTCATGGCGTTCCTGGTTGTCGTCGGTGCGCTGCAATTCTTGTACTGCGTGCTCGCCGGTAACTTTGTACGTATACTTGTCCTTGTGGCTTTTTGGGGTTGGGCAGTCCGCGGGGTGGTTTGTGCCTCGAAAGGAGATCATGAACAGAGCGACTGTGGCACTAAGAACGGGGGACTTTGCATATGAACTATGGCTAACAATGATGTGAAACAGCCCTTCAACGCCTTCCTCTCCGGCTTCTCCGCTACCGTCGGCCAATTCGTCCTCACTGGTAAGTCAGTTACGACGGCACTCCAGCGTTCAATGGCTAACAGCAGCTTCCCAGCTTCCTTACGCATCCAGACTACCGAGGCCAACAAGTCCGATTTCCCCTCCGTATCACCCGAGAGGTACTTCCTCCCCCGATCTACCAACTATCTCGTACACTACCGAAGCTAACTTCATCACAGAGCGTTCGCCGACTACGTTGCGTGCAGCTTGATCCTCCACTTCTTCTGCGTCAACTTCATAAACTAAGGTTTCGGTCAGGGGTTGCAATCACAACAGTATAAAATGGGGGATAGGTTTTTCTAGCCACGGCTTGGGTACGATGTGGAGGGATAGACTACCGGTACAGTGTTGAAGCCGTACCGAAACCGCATAGGCAGCAGCATCAGCATGCGAGACGAACCAAGCCAATGTATATTACACAAGCAGGCGTTGCATCAACAGCACGGTAGATGTTTCAAGAACGAAGAAAAAAAAGTGTAATTCTGGGAATCATCATGATACCGAACGACTCCAAAATTCCGGTTCTATAAGCCATGTATGTCCTTACTCAACGCCCTCCAGTTCCACATCACTCGGCCCCGTCAGCCGCGGCCAGCTCCTCCGTCGGCGGCCCCGTGGAGCCCGCCCTTGGTGGCGGCGGAGGGCCCCCCATCTTTGGAGGCGGCGCGACCGGCGTCCCTCTCCCGCTCGGCGCGTTATCCGCCTCCCTGCTCTTCTTCTCCTCTTCCTTGAAGTAGTCGTCCATGAAGTTGTTCCCGCCGTGGTGCCTCTCCTTCTTCTTTCTCGTCGTCGCCGTACCCGCAGGAGGCGGCGGCGGCGCCCCGCCCGCGTCGACCATCTGCGCAGGCACCAAGAAGTCGCCCCCTGACGGCGGCGCACCCGCACCGACACCGGCGGCATCGGCCGGCACGAACAGACTCTGCTGCGCGTCGCCTCCCGCAGCAGCAGCTCCGTACAGCGCAGTAGCCGGGTCTTTCTCTCCGTCAAACATCATCTCCCCCGGCGCATGCACGGGCTCGTTTAATGGCGCCGGCAGTCTGTGCAGCGCGCCGTAGCCCAGGACGCAACCGAGAGCCCCCTCGCCACCCCACTCCCGGCTCGGCTGGATCGTCACCTCGCGCGTGACGTCGTATTCGTTGTTGTACACGTACAGCCTCAGGGGGCGGCCGATGTGGTCTTCAACGAGCTCGCTGAGCCCGCCTTCGCCGTGCAGCGCGCCCTCGGGGCTGCCGAGAATGTAGTCACCATACGGCAGCAGGCCGGCCCCGTCAGCAGGCGAGTTGGCGGCGACGTCGAGGACGTGCCAGATGTTGGCGGCGACAGCGAGGGGCGTCCATTGCAGGGAGAGGCCGAGGGAGGCGGTGTCATGGGGGACTAGGGCGTGCAGCTCGCGCGTGCGCTGGCCTTTGGCGGACCAGAGACCGAGGAGGACGGTGCCGCCTGCGCAGTTGCGGATTTCTTGGGCGAAGAGGCGGGGGTCGGGGTTGTCCTGCGCGGTCTCGTGTTAGTCTTGGACGTCGGCTGAGAGGAGGGAAGAGACCGTGGCAGGCAGGTAGGTGATCCACATACAATAGGACGGCCGTTGATACCGATGATGAAGTCGAACCACGGCTCAATGTTGAGTTCGAGGTTGGTATTCCGCAGGACCTGGAAGCCGAAGGATCCCTGGTTGTTGCTCTGATGGGTCGGTTGCTGCCCGTCCAGGCGGGACATGAAGCGGTTCAGCGCATTGAACATGGTGATGCGCTCAGCACTGGAGCCGAGCTTTTGTTTTTCTGTCTTGATGTGTTTGTCTTAGAGGGGGGGTTCCAGGGTTCTCAGGTTGCAAACGTGTGGGGGGTCTCGTCGTGTTGAGTCGTCTCGAAGCTGTCGCTGGGTGCGTTTCTAAATGTTCGTTTCCCTTGGAGCAAGCTGTCATCCTAGGTACCTCGTCAGCCTTGCATGTGGTCCAAGCTTCATCCCACACTAGTGGAGGCGCCAAGTGGGGGTTCGATCCTAGCTTAACCATTTCTCCGTCAGCCTTGCTCATGCTCATTTTCATCATTTTAGCCATCGACGCCCGTTACACGCATGCCTCAAGATGTGACTCGGTCTTGACTATACTGGCCGAGTAAATAACAAATCCATCGAAAACAATATTCTTGGGCTCAGAAAAAGGTTTGTATAAGTTCCGCGCTTCATGCATCGCCACCCCCAAAATGAAGGCCGCTATCAGACTCCCCCTAACGGATGAGTGCCACCACTACAAGTCCAAGGCCGAAGTGCCTTGGGATCTCCAGAAGTAAGCCCCCCAACTCCTCGCTTCAACCTCACTTCCCAAACGATAACTAACGATCCCCGACAGATACTTCTCCCAGCGCTACTCCCTCTTTTCCTGGTACGATGAGGGCGTCCGCCTTACCGACAGCGCCTGGTTCGGCGTGACGCCGGAACCCCTCGCTAACAAGATCGCCAATGAGATGTACTACATCGACGCCTCCAGGCGCGTACTCATTGACATTTTTGGCGGCGCCGGCGGCAACACCATCGCTTTCGCCCTCTCGGCCCGCTGGGACCGCGTTATCTCCATCGAGCGCGACGCCGCGACCTTGGCATGCGCCCAGCACAACGCCGAGCTGTACGAGGTCGGTGAGTACATCACCTGGATTCACGGCGACTGCTTCGAGTACCTGGAGAAGCTTCAAAACTCGCCAGAAGAGCTGTCAGAGGAGCTGCGCGTCGACATGGCCGAGGCAGTCGTCTTCGCATCTCCGCCTTGGGGCGGGCCCGGTTACCGCACCGCCGAGGTGTTTGACCTCAGCCAGATGGAGCCGTATAACCTGCAGCAGCTGCACGACGCGTGCAAGCCCATGGACCACGCGCTGTATCTCCCGAGGACGAGTGACCTGAGACAGATTGCGAAGTTGGCCCCGGAAGGGGAGAAGCTCGAGGTGGTGCAGTATTGCATGGAAGGGGCGAGCAAGGCCATGGTGGCATTTATACCAGGGACACTGAGTCCACCGAAACCAGCAACTCAATGAGACTCATTCGAGTTCAGTGCTCTTTTTTCCCATCTGCTTTCATGCTGTGATAAATGTGACATGCGATTACCTACTTTTACAACGCCTTAACCACGCTACGTTCGTCGAACAAATCCTTCAGTAGCCCATGAATGCAAAACTCCCGGTCCAGTGGTGCCATCGCGTACGTCGACTCGAAAGCGAAGATGCTAAGCTGCCCGAAAAACGGACGCAGGATCTTGCCCACCAGCTCGTCTTTCCTTTCGATGCTGACTTCGTCGTTGATGCCTCCCGCCCCGAGCAACGGCCGTCTGTGCGAGCTACTCATGGCCAAGTGAGCCGCTGAGATGCTCCCTAATGACGAGCTGACACCCATGGTGCCAAGCTCCTCCGCAAGTTCGTCAACCAAAGCGACGGGCTGGTAGTTTGTGGATCGATAGACGGCTTCGATAGTGTCTGTGACAAAGAGCCACTCGTGGAGCTGGAAGTCGTCTGGCGCAACACAGATAAGCAAGTCCAGTAACTTACAGGCCTGAAGAATGGAGATATTGTTGTAGGTGTCGGATGCGGAGCTGTGATCAGCAGCCACGACCGATGAGATGGCTGCATGGAGCTCGGCATTGATGACCGGCCACATCATGGCCAGATGAATAGCACTCGTCTTGAGTACCAGTGCGCGGACGAGCATGTAGATTTCTGCCCGCGTGGTGGAAGATGGCGAAGAAGTTGCCGTGGCCCCGAGTAGCTCTACAACCTTGTCCAAGATGGTCGGCAGTTCTCCAACAAAAGCATCTTCACTCGAGGCGAGGATGAGCGTGGCAGTGCGACGGAGGTTAAGCTGCGTCCTTCGGTCTGCTTCTAGACGAGCAGAAGTGGCACCGACACCGAACACAATACCGGCAGTTGTGGGTGGTGTCATGCGGCTCAGCAGCTCAGGCATGCGTTCCTTGTCGCTGACAGTCCACTGTCTAAGTAACGGCAACCAGTCGCTTCGCACCAAGTCGATGCTTGAGCTGAAGAACCTAGCGTCGTTGAAAGCATCTCCAACATCCTTCTTCCAGGTTTTCTGGTTGTTGGGTAACCTGGAGAGTTCCTGAAGGAGCACAAGAGTGTTCTTGGACACGGTATCAGGGAACGCTTTGGCTCTAAATGCCGGGCTGATGACGTTTGTCGATATAGTGCCCGCGGCAGACAACACACGGTCCGTTTCGACCAAGATCTTGGGAAGGTTTGGAACAATCGAGGCCAAGATAGCAACTACATCCTCGGCTCTATCAAGAACGGTAGTCAAAGATATCGTGGTGGTGCGGCGGATGCCATCCCGATTCTTCTCTGACTTTTCGTAAGACGGTGCATCCGCATATGTCATGGGCTTGGTGGTGAAGATTGCGGTGAGAAGCCGGAGGAAGAGGTCCTGCTCCCAGTTAGTAAAGCATTACAGACAGCGTTGATTATACTTACTCCAAGCTCTCGCCTCATCTTTCGCTGCTCGCCGAAATTGGTGTTGTCCACCTTTTCTCCGAGGATAGCAGCGAATTCTAGCAGACTTGGCAATGTCTGTCGGTGCGGGAAAGGGTTTGTGAGCAGGTCACGCAAGAATGCCATGCAATCAAGCCATATCTCGTCCATCGCGTCGTCTTCAAGCGAGCGAGCATACTCAACCAAGAACGTGACAAGGTCGATATCTTGAAGAGATGTCGTCAAAGTCGACTTCCTTGAAGCGTCCAACGCCCCAGGGTTTGTCCTGCTGTAGATGGCGTTGAATATGGCAGGAATGGTGTGCTTGGGCCGAGAGCCGTCTAAAGCCGGGAGCAGGTTAAACACTTCAGACTGAGGCGCCGGCGTAGTAATGTTGATAGAGCTTCGCCAGATGTCAATGACCGTTTCGAGACACTCCAAAGTCTCAGCAGCGAAGAGATGCTCCAGTAGTCGTCTAGCCCTGTTTCTCATACGAAGTGATGTGTAGTTGAAAGAGGAAACGGAAGTCATGTCTTGAGCATTCGCGTCGCTGCCTTGGCCCCATGACCAGATAGTAAAGCAAATACGAACTGCATCTGCGAATGCAAGGTGTACGGTGAGTCTGTCGTTTGCAGTGGCACTACGGGTCTGTGGCGCGTCTGAGTTGAAGACACCTGACACCATGTTCCCGAAGAACCCTGGATGTTGATCGGGGCCCTTGACAACTTGCGTTCTGGCCTCTTCAACCAGGAGTCGCTCGTGTGCCCGGGCCAAAACTTGCTCCAAAGCGTTGAGCAGAGAGATCAGTGTTGACTCTGGCGCGTTCCAGTCATCCTTCCTAGAACTGCCGCTTTCTCTGAAAATGGACTGCAAGTCGGTAAAGGTATTGGAAACCTGTCGACAAAGTGTTTCCACCAGAGGGATAAGGACTTGGAATATGGTATCCGAGTAGAAGGGCAAGCACTCTGTCAAGAAACTGACCCAACTGTCGAGAACACTACGACTGCTAGGTGAACTTAATCCGGCCTGGAGACACTTGAGTAGGTTGGCCGGCGGAGCTGTCGGTTTCGTCTCCAATTGCGTCGACACTCTGAGGCTCTTGGTGGGGTCAAGGCTCATCTTCCTCTTCTCTGATGATGGAGAAGCAGGAGCGTCTGAGATGATCATGTCTCGAAGTTTCAATGCATCGAATACGACGTCCAAAAGTAGAACCTGAACGTAAGGATCAGGACCGCTGAGAGATTGAAGAAGACGCTCGATCAGGACGTTCTCAAGATGCAAACTAGCAAGGGGCTCGGCGTAAGGGTTCAGGAGGATCTGGTGCATAACGGTGAGGGCATAGCGATGGAGTTGTGTGGCCCGAACGCGGATATGCTCATCTGCAGGCTCGTTGTTTCCGGCAATGCACCTTAAACAGACATGGACGAATACCTCTTGCATGGTGATATCGCCTTCGTGGCCGGCTTCTGTTGGTTAGTACCAGGTTTGTTACAGTGGCATTGGCACGTACTCATCTGTGCGATCTCCGCATGCTCGCTATCGACTGTAAGACTTGTCGATGCCAAAACAGCCCATATTGCATCCGGGGCCCAACGGAAAACGTTGGACAACGTTCTAAGGTAGTAGAGGCAGAGGTCTAGGTCATCATCGGCCGTGAATGTGGTTGAACTGGCTGAAGCGGCGGCTGAGCCAATAACACGAGTAGATCTAAGAAACTTCAAGGCAGAAAACTTTCGCACGAAGAGGAGGAACAACCTGGTTCTGGTCAGCGCCTTGAATCATTGTAGAACCCAACATGACTTACTTGTCGATGCCTACCAAGCTGTTCAGCCACGCCTTAACAGTCATGAACAACTGGGTCCGCTCATCCAAGAGAGCATCTAGCATGAGAAAGAGAGGCCGCGTCAACATGACTTCGTAGTTTTCTGAACCAGCCAGTCGAATTTGAGGGGGTTTCTCAATCATAGGCGTTTTAGAGCCTCGTCTTTCGGCGTTAGAATCTTGTAGGGTATGGGACCACAACACGCTGAAGCGGCGACCAACGTCAGCTGGGCGCGACGCGAATGATCCCTGGACATCATTCTCGATAATTAGGCTGGCGAGCGCAGCCTCTATATCACGATTCTGCGAGGTAAGGGCAGTCTGGAGCTGCCATAACGATCTAACCGTTTCGACGTGGTACTTCGGCTCCGAAGCCGATAAGAACTCCCAGGCCTGAAGAACAAGCGGACTGACAAGTTCAGTGAGGTCCGGCAATTCTATCCTCTCTGCAGAGTAGAGGTGAGCAGAGAGATAGAGGATGGAGTTGAAAGAGGTAAACGACAACCTGTCAGAGTGCCGCAAGCGCTCGTGAAGACAGGTCAAAAGGTACGCCGTATCCAGGTGGTAAGTAGTCGGCACTTTGAGTAGCAGAGTGGTCAGGATCCTTCCTTTGGACCCCAAGTCTGTCCCTGACTCGGGGTTCATCAATCCTTCGCAGACGAGCTGGCCTGTCTTTTGCAACAGAAGCTCGCCAACCTCGATGGGAGAAAGGGGAACATGAACTGCATCAAGATTACCCTGTTCATCGACGTAGAATGCCTTGATTCGCTTCAAGAGTTCAACTGCAGGCAACGACACCAAGACACCGGCCTCCATTGTTCTCTTGGCTTTACTGGCTGTGGATGAGGGAAACGCTCGATCCGGAATGAGATCCAGGATGATCAGGGAGATGCGCAATGCTTCCTCGGCGGTCTTTTGTAAGCCCTTCCGAGGAGAGCCCGTTTGCTGCTTCTCTCTCGTTTCCTCGAGCATGCAGAGAATGGAAAGGGCAGCAAGTGGTGCATGGATCGTGATCATCTCTTCCTCGCGAACGTTAAAATTCGCCAAAATGAAGTTGACCAAGTCGAGCTTGTCGAGACGCTCCTTATCCGACAAGGTTCCTGGCCCTATAGCTTGCGCTAGCAGACTGACGATCTCGCCGTAGATCAGACCACTCTCAACGCCATCGAAGAACACACTTGCGCTGCGGAATACCTCGTTGAAGTCGGCCTTGCTGGGCGCTTGGTCCTTGTACTGCCGGACACTATTGACAATTGGGAGGAATACCTCGGGGACAACAAGTCCACCAATCTCCCATCGGTCCATCAACGACAAGCAAATTCTGTACGGTCTCGCTCTCTCTCCGGGGCTCGATCCGCGATCAGCATTGATCATGCCCAAAAGGGCCCGGGTCAGAGGTTGAAGCCCATGGTCCTCAAAGTAGCTGGTTTTGGATGCAAAATATGATTGCTGGTGGTCTGTCGAAGACGGCGACTCGATGCCACTTTCGCTTTCTCCCGGCGCGGGGTCAGGCCCAAGAAACCATGCCCAAAGCCTTCTGTTGAGACTCATATCCCTCCTAATCACGACACCCACTGCCGCACGGAGAAGGAGTTCCAAATCGCCTGGCTTGACGTTTGTTTGCAGGACCTTCGAGTGCAAAGGAAGATGTGTGACCAAGAGGTCTAGGAAGCCGCGTTGAATCAGCAGCTGCTCGTCTGCAAGGCCGGCAGCAAACGAGCGCAGAAGCAGTCCGGGTTCAGGTGAGGTGACCATCTTTGCGAGCTGTGCAGATTGCGCGTCTTCCTGGACACCATTCTTGATAGATTTCCCTTGGGCGACCGGTTCGCCGCCCAACTTGGGTAGGTTTCTCACAAGGTAGGCCAAAGCTCCGGCCCTGCGGCTTGATCCCGTGATAGATGCCAAGAAGAAGCATTGCCAGAAAAAGTCGTCTCCGGCTGAATGCAGGCCGTCGAGTTCTTCGCTTTCCGCGGGGCGAATCGCGGCCTTGAAACTGTCCATCAACCGCAATGTTCGATCAAAGTCTTCGCTCGTTTCGTCCTCAAGACCGGGCAAGAGAGCCAGGACAACAGACTTCATGGCCGGTCGGAGCGATCGGGGATCCAAATCGAGGAAGTGGCGTTCGAGAAGATCGAGGAAAGGGGATCGGACGGAAAGAGAAGCAAACGAAAGGGTGGAGGCTAGCCCCGGAAGGTATAAGGGTAGGTCTTTGGAAAGGCCATCGGTGCCTATCGTCGCGAATATGTAGCTGTAGACTTCTAGTGCCTTTTGGTGCACACCCGATGGCAGGGAGGGGTTGAGACATTGTGACAGGCGCTTTGCGACGATGGCTTTCGAAGGGATAGTCGTGGTAGAGGGGTGTCGGGCTTGAAGTGCCTTGTGACTATGGTCAGTCCCCCTTCTTGTTGGGCCGTACGGGATACGAGGGAGGGTAGCCAACCTTTAGGAGGCGGTTCAAAAAGGAGATGTAGTCTGCCCATTCTTGCAAGGCCGTCTCGAATAGTGATAGGGCTCGCTCGATGCCGGATGCGTATTTACGGTAGTGCTTGTCCTTGATCGGCGCCTCTTCTGCTCTCCTATGTTACTATCTGGCGATTTGGTATACACTCGACAGGAAGGCTTACCGGCGCCGAGTTGGTTCCTCCATTGGCGCGGGAGAGGAGACTCGCGGCCTGAGCTCTCGGGGGAGACAGACCGTCGGCCAGAGCCCGGCTCAAGGGCCATGATTGCAGAGAATGGGTGTTGATCGAACGAGTGAGAACATCAGACTGTTCTTGTGTGGTCGTAACGAAGGTATCGCGGGCTCATCGCTGCGTGGCCCTCGGTGATTAGGTCGCTGGCATAAGGTACACTCTCTTCGCATCGAGCGTCGTGTACAGGGTTTAGATGAGCTCGAAAGGCTACCATGTCTCCTTCAAGACGACAGGTGTACAGTGGGGGCACCCTGGAAGCTTCCAAGCTTCCCATTGGCTAAACTAGATTAGCAACCGTTCCCGCCTGACGAGGCTGGCACATACATCCCTCTCTAAATCAGCAACCGCGATAGGATAAAGCAGCAACGTCATCAGGCGTCGATTTACACGGTACCTGGAAATTGTGGATATCTCCTCACATGTCCTCTGTTTCTGCACCACAGCTGGGGAAGAGCTGTTGGGAAAACCCCACCTTAGGCACTGCAAATCAAGATGACATATTGAAAATTACCGAATATGAGTGCTAATCAGCATATCTTGCTTGCAAGTTAGTTTGCAATCAACCTGCATGCTCAAAAACAGTCTGAGTTGGGTGCTGTTTTCGAGGCTCTCGACAACCCCAACTAGGCTTGTTTCTGCCCTTCTCGCACGATTCTTCAGCCCTTTGCAAGCCAGATAAATCGACAAGTTTGCTGAGGTAAGCTGCGACTATTTGGAAAAGCCTCCTCCGATAAGGGAGTTTCTCTCTCGGCTATGGGATTGTCAAAATCCCCATGTTACTGGTTCCCTGCCCCGGAGCATTTGGACCAGCTCCGGTCGGGCCAAGGGTGGACCTAAGCCGGCTTCGATTAGCGGACCGTTCCCACTAATGAGGGCTGCCGCACCACTAAATCTCGGCGCCCCTCCTGTGCATCATCAGCAGGCCGGCTACTTGGGACGATCATCTCCTTCCCCATCCCTCCTCTCTGGCTCTTGACCTCCCTTCTCTTGTCTTTCAACCCCGTACATTCTGGGTCAGGCCCCGAATGCCTGCCATGGCACCGTGAACTCGGGTTGTCGATGCCCAAGCCAAACGTAAAATCTAGAACTTCCAAGTACGCCTCACCGCTACGCGACTCCTACCTGCGACCACCTAGCTGAGATGCTCCCGCGGTCTCTATCGCAATCATGGGCGAGGACCACGACAACAGTCCAGGCGAAGAGCAGCCTCCGCCTCTGCCTCCACGACCCTCTATCGAATCGAGTGCATCGATAGATGCGAGAATGGCCATGGCCGCTGCCACCACTGCAGTCACGCCTCTCGACATCCAAACTTTATCCTTTCCTGATGGCTCCCGCGGCACTTTCTCGACGCCGGGCAACAGAGCCGTATCCACACCCGTCCAATCCTCGAGAAGCGGCCAGGCGACGCCGACAAGGACATTGGCGGAGGGAGAAGACTCCATGAGCATCGCGAGCTTTTCGCCGACCCTGCGGCCGCCCAATGACATTGCCAGCCTGTTGATGGGAGAGTTCAACAAGAGAAGCCCCGCGTGGAACCTGCTCAGGTCACAATCGGCAACGGTACCACCGTTCGAAACTCTGAGGATGGACGATACAACTCGCAGTCTAGCCGGCTTCGCGCACGAGTTCGACGACCTGCCCGACGAGTCCGACGAAAGCGTCAAGGATGAGGACCGAGTCGCCATGTGGAAAGCAAAGCTGAAGCATTACATGATCCTGTCATCGGCTGGCAAGCCTATTTACAGTCGGCATGGGGATCTCGGGCTGATCAACTCGTACATGGGCGTCATCCAGACCCTTATATCCTTCTACGAGGGTGCTAAGAACCCACTTTCGGGCTTCACCGCAGGAAACACGAGATTCGTTATCGCTACACAAGGGCCTCTATACTTTGTAGCCATTAGCCGGCTGGGAGAGAGCGACTCCCAGCTCAGGGCGCAGCTTGAAGCTTTGTATATGCAGATCTTGTCGACACTCACACTACCGACTCTGAAAAACATCTTCGTCCACCGCCCATCTAGCGACCTTCGGAAACCGCTGGAGGGCACTGAGCCTCTTATTTCGTCTCTCGCCGACAACTTCACAAAGGGATCCCCATCGGCACTCCTCGGGGCTCTGGAATGCCTCAAACTGCGCAAGTCCCAGAGGCATGCCATCAACAACGCCTTTCTCAAGCAGCGGACAGAAAAGCTCCTCTACGGTCTCATAGTAGCTGGCGGCAAGCTGGTCAGCGTCATCCGCCCACGCCGACATTCCCTTCACCCTAGCGACCTACAACTCATCTTCAACATGTTGTTCGAGTCAGGCGGCATCAAAGCCGGTGGCGGCGAGAACTGGATCCCGTTATGCCTACCTGCGTTCAACAACCGCGGCTACCTGTACATGTATGTCAGCTTTTTCGACGGGGTTGACGGCGAGCAGGCCACGGGACAGGATCCGCCAGCAAACGCCGACGAAGAGCTAGCGATCATCCTCATCAGCCCAGATAAGGAGTCCTTCTTCGAGCTCAAACAAATGCGAGACGCTGTTGCCGCTTCTCTGGCAAAGTCTGGTCATCTCGCACTCATTCAGACCGCCGCACGCGCTGGCCGACCTAGGACGATGGATATCGCCCCGGGGGTCAAATATCCCACTTTCTATACAAATCCCGTGCCAACGTCCAGTTCAGCATGTCCGCTCTTGACCCCGTCTTCTCCTCCCTTATTGCCCGCCGCCGCCTCATGGGCCTCTACCACCAACTCCACGCCGCCGTCCACGCGAAACACTCGCATATGCGCGTTCTGCACTCCGTCTCCGAAGACGCAACCTCTCTGGCCTGGATCACTCCAATTTTTGAGTTCTACTGTGTTGCTGGCCCTAACGTGAGCCGTGCCGTACTCACCCAAGGGGCCAATAAGGTCATACAATGGGCCCGGCGCGAGGAGGAACGAATCTTCATTATCGGCGGAGGCGTCTTCTGAATGGAAACGGACAAACCCGGTTTTCAATTCCGGGAACATCCTCCCGTCCCTGGATAAATTAGCTATTAGAAAGCAGGGGGGCTACCCTTCAGCGACACCGCCTAGGAGCCCTCCCTGTAGAGCTTGGGTATCAATACAAACAAACATCACAATCGAAACCGTCTTGTCCACCACGCCTCCGGTATCTCTGTGAGACTAACCGCAGCTTCCAAGCTCGAGTCCGTCTCAATGTCCTTCGAGCCGAGTGTGGTCTCGCCATTCTTTTCCTCCCGAGCGTCCTCATCCCTTTCCCACGTCAAATCCTCGCCGGCCTCCTGGCCGCAGACGCTACATCGCCAACTGCTCTCCGCCTCGTCCCTATCGTACAAACGACTCAACATCGCAGTCAACTCGGCGGCGACGCTCGCGTCGCCCTCAGGCTCCTGAGCATCCTCGCGCCTCTTCCAGTCTCGCAGGTCCAGTCTCGTGTCGTCGCCGCAGATTTCGCACGCGGCCCTTTTCTTCCCCTTGTCCTCTTTGTTCCACCGGGTCGGCTTCTTTGCCAGCCTCATAACAGCCCGGGTAAGGTTTCTCCTGCGCCGCCCCTTCTTTTGCAGACAGCCGCCGTCGTGGTGGCACCACCCTGAAGACGGCGTTACGGATGCGGGCGCACTATCATCGAGAATCGCCTGCGGCTTCTTTTTCTGCGCGACGACGGGCGGGAAATACAGCTTGATCAGATCGTCTTTAGCAGCTGGCCTTGTCGGGCCAGGCAGGCAGATCCGTTGACACACCTCCGCGGGCGTCCAGCCCGCCGCCTCGGTCCACACATCCTCCAGGTCCTCGACGAAGCGACTGCGCCGAGGCGCCACGGTGCTCGGTTTCGGTGCGAGCTGCAGCGCAGTCTTTGGTGCGACCACATTCGGTTCTCGCGGCACAGGTCGTGGCGAACAGGCCTCTCTCAAGTCGTCACCGACGCTGTCTTTACCTTTGCCCTTGCCTTTTTCTTTGAATCTGTCGTCGCTGATGGGGCCGAGAGCCTCCTGCTCCGAGCGGCTGCTCTCCCCCTTTTCATCAACGCCGAGGACCCGCTTCTTGACCGTCACCGCGGGCCTCTTGCACGACGAAACCGACGACACCGACACCGACGAGGACCCCGACATGGACCCGCCGATTCCCGTCATGACGCTGTCCTTCCGCACCTTCGGGTCCTCGCCAACTCTGTCCGCCGTTGTTGACTCGCCCCCACCGTCCGGGCCTTTCTGCTTGCCCTTTCCAAAGGGAGGTAGTGCATCTCCCAAAAAGGACGGGTGCCGGATGATGGACGGGAGCCGTTTCAGCGGAGACTTGATGTTCCTCATGTCATATGAATCAACCCCGTCAATCATGTCGTATCACGAACGATGGGTTGAACGCTGCGATGTGGCGGAAGGATGAGGTACCCAAAGCAAGAACGAGTTGCCGAGGAAAGATGAAAAAAAAGATGAAATGAAAAGACGTATATCGATCCCAAGCGAATGGTCGAATCCGTCGTGTGTGTTTTGGAAAAAATGTTGGAACAAAGTTCCCAATAGCTGGAGCGAATGTTGGTTGAACGAATGGTGTTTGATGGAGTAACGAACGTCGGGACAGGCAGCGTGCACAGTGACCTCAGCAACCAGCACCAAAACGAGAGGATAAATCTTGGCAAGGACGAAGCTGTAGGGGAGCCACAAAGCCTTTATGGGAGAGGTGGTATTAATGACGGACTGGTCCGGCTAGGATATGGAGAACCTTCGCGGACATGCAGCCCTGCCGTCATGTAACTTCGAAACGGGACGTCTACAAATCCACAAAGGTGGAAACAATGCAAGCCTCTTCTCTTTGGCGTTTGGTGTCCCAGGTACCGCGTAAAGTCTTTGCTTGAATCGCGTTCTATTGATTCCATGGTCTATCATATGTCCTGTCACCGACAAGCCACTTTGTGGTGCATTGTCCTTCGTACTCAACAAGTCACCCTCCAGTCATTACATCCCACCTGCATGGACAACATAGCTAGACTCGGTGTACACAATGTTGACCTTACCACTCCTCCAAAAGCCTAGCAATAAGCCCCTTTTCAAGAAACCCGTGTTCTCGAAAGCCAAGCAAGAGACAGCAACCCAATAACTGTGAAGGCTATTGAACCGATTAAGGTTTCCCGACACTCAGGAAATGGAGTTGCCCTCGCCCCACCAACCCTTGACACAGACATGAACGGCTCGCTGAATCCATCTCTTCATGTTCGTACCCATTCGTTTCGGCTGGTTGCGCGGAACGGTAGACTGTTGACCATGGACAACTGTATCATCGGAGTCGGTCGGGTCGATGGTCCCGTGTTGTCGGGGCCGCCGCTCAATGTTCTTATTTACGTGATTTCGAAAGTTCAAGCGTGATTTGATGATGCGGATTTTCACATTAGACAGCTTCTTTCTGAGAATTCGTGGGCGAACAAAAGTGTAATCTGAGCTGAAGCTTCGCGAATCGCTCAGATCAAACCCGCCCGTCGACGTGCTTTGCCGCAGAAGGTTCGCGTCAACAGGGTGCGCTAAAGGAATTTCGCATTCGTGGAGGTATCCCTTTCTGAAACCGCTTGCTACAGGTGATTGGTGGGCTAAGTGGTGGTTCTTCCCATCACCTTGCCCATCGGGCATAAGCAATACGAATTGTCTGCCTCGCCGCTGATAGGTTATGTTGCTTCGACGCCCCCCACGCTGTACTGGAGTGAGCAAGTCCTCGGCCGGGTGGGTTGGTAGTTCTGTGACGATGCTTTGCTCGACACTAGGATGACGTCTCACCGTGCCGTTCTGGTCTTCTCGGGGGTATGTTATTTCTGTTCTGGCCCGAGGACGAGGTGCTCTAAGGCGAAGCCTCCGCCTCGATGGACTTGACTCCTCGTGGTAGCCCTGACTTTCCCGAATGAGCTCTTCGTGTGGTTGACCTGCTGAATTAATGTCTTCTGCTTGCTTCGTTGCCCGCACCGTTGCTGTGCTTTCTATCGGGGGTTGCGTATTACCGACTGGGGTCACCTCCAGCTCTATGCTGGCTCTTAAAGACTCATGATCTTCCACATTGGAGTGTGCAGTAATCCTAGGACTCGATCGAGGAGTTGCAAGTACTTCGAGCTTGAAAGCCGGAAACTTGACCGGGAACTCCAAACCATCCGTGGATGCCTCCTGGGTTTCTCGAGCTGGTGGACGCGCATCTTTAGGGAGTGTGGGCAATGCCTTCATCAGCTGCGGGATGCTTTTACTCATCCTCAACGCACTCGTTGCACAGATAGACTCAGGGGCGTGAAAAGGCAAGCCGACGCTGCTGGCCGACGCAGCTCTTTGGACCTGGAGGCTTGCCGTGCTGATGTGGGCAAGTGCTTCACATCTTCTGTGGCCTTTGCAGAAAGGCTTCTTTGATTGAACAAGTGGGCTTGTTCCAACATTGACAGCTGTCGCATCGTCAGTGGCGGTATCCGTCACCACAGGCTTTACCCTTGGCTGCTGTGGACTCTGCAAGTTAGCCTCGTCAGCGATTTTAGATGGCCCAGAAAATTCCTTATTCTCTCTCATGAAAGGCGACATGGCGATACGCTCAAAAGATGAGACCAGAGCAGCCAGATCAGAAAGACCAGGGTCGATAGAGTGGCGCAAACTCGACCGCAGCATCGCGGAGAGACTGCCGTGAGACGACACTCTTTGTGATGCATGCTCCCTGGTGGCCAAGTTACCTTGAGGGGTTTTCACTCCATCATAATCTTGAATCGCCTTTTCCAGAAGCTCTGACTGATTTTGAGAACCTTTGTCCATTTGTTGGTCTGCAACGTTATGTGAAGGAGAGTTTCCGGTCGTGGTTGCTAGCTTTCTGTCTTTCAAGACCATCTTTTCGGTACTTGACTGTAATTTGTCAGATGGAGTTTCAGGTTCAACTTCCTGAAGAACCGCGGGGCTTGGAGCATCTTTTGCTGTGAGAGATGGCTGGATCTCCTCGGCGTCAGCGCATGGTAAGAAGGCCTCAAACATCCCGGGAGTGACACCAAACTCGGTGGAACGAGAGGCCGAGGTCCCATCAACCTCAAAGGAGAAAGGCTCAAGTGCTGGGGGAACAGTCTTGCAATTCGTCCGCTGGGAAGGAAGTGTCTCGATACCGTTGATAGGATTTGACGGTGGAACTCGACCGTCATCGCCAGAAGAGTCGTGTGAGTCCTTGACGGATATGTCCACCACTGCATCTAGATGGGCGTTGTTCTCATCTCGAAGCACCAAAGCTTTGGCAAGGCTTGAGGCTCGCTGGGGTATTGGGGCCAAGGGAGGTACTACTGTTGGTTCCGGAAGAACAGTCGGAGGATCTGGGCTTTCGAAACCCTCGGTATAATCGTAATAGAATGACCCAGCCGGACGGGGTGTGCGTTGGAGATTCGGTTCTGAGTTTGAAGATGGTCTGCAGTACATCTCAATGACTGAGGTCAGGCTTGAAGATCTTACGCTTTGATCCGCGGAAGGTCGGCGTATTCTGTTCAGGGGCCCATTGCCCCAGTGGTTGTAACCGCTGTCCCGAACAATCGATCCGGTGGGCGAGACAAGATAGCTGGGATAGGGCAAGGACGAAATCGGCTGGTTAACGCCAGGGCATAACACAAGAGGTGGAGCTAGTTGCTGCGGTTGTGGAAAGGTTGGCTTGTACGAGCCATGCACAGTCCTCTACAAAGACACATGAGCTTTCCTGATATCAAGATACTGTTTGGATAGCACTTACATATGAGATTCGATCTATTTCGACCATCCTACTGTAGTCAACCAGTCCATTCTCTGTGAGAGCAGGCGAAGATGGCCGCACTCCAAGGCGTTTCAGTCGAGTTGGGTAGGGGAACGGAGAGCGTGGGCGTTGCAGAATGCTACCGCTCGACTGACTCTGCAGAGTACCAGAAGATTTATGGCTGGACAGGTGACGAGAGCCACAGGTAGTCAGGGAGTACGAGCGCTGGCACATACCGCTGTTTCTGGGCGGCAGCGAACCCGAAAGGGAGGATGGAGGGCCCTCGGAGCCGTACATGGAGATGATCTCTGAGTTGGTGTCATGATCAGAGCCACGCCGTCTGCGTTCAATTTTGGATATGGTTCCATTACTTTGGCGGGGATCCGCCCCAAAGATAGAGCCAGCATCGAGACCGGATCTTGACCTTGCGTAGTGATGGATCGTAGTTGCGGGGGCGACCGGCTTAATGCTGAAGATGCCTATGTCGCCCGTCTCGGTGGTAGTCTTGAGCATGCTTTCGAGTGGACCTGGCGATGGGAGTAGACTTGCGTTTTCGTTGACGCTTCTCAGGGGGGTTCGACGCGGTAAGCTATGCCCGACATTCAGTCGAGCATGAGACTTGTAGCTGCTGTGAAGTGAGCCATGACTCACAGAACGACGCTGGACGCGAACGTTCTCCATTTGGAACAGAGGGTTAGCGGAGGGTTGGGCAAGGCACGATGGTAATATGAAGTATGTCTAATGGAGAACAGAAGAACAAGACCGAGCAATGCGAGATACGCCAGACACAGTCGACATGAAGCTATGTTGTAGCCGACAGGCTGTCATGGCATCCCTTTGCGTGGCGGATGTTGCTTGAGACGAACATGGCCAAAGGTAGGAGGTTCGAGGAGTAGTAGATGTCAGCTGATATCGATCCAGCACACGAATCGGAGTGGGGAGGGACAATGATCTGACCAACGCAGGTGGTTTCCCTAAAGCTCTTACCCAAAGGCAAGAAGAGGCTGCCTCATGACATGGGAAGTAGAACATTGTGAGAAGGCGCGCCCTTCAGGCGTCTACTTCTCCTTCCCAGCCAAAAATCTTATGATGAAACCTGTCGAGTCGATGAATGCAGCTTGGTCGAAAGTTGCACCAGCTATTGCTCAGCTGAGGCTCCAATTCACTTGGCATGAATAAGGCGGCATGCCCACACAGAGGCAACACGACGTTGTTTCCGCACTCCGCGACTATCAGACCTTTTCGTCATTGTTAGCTCTGTTGAACATTGCGACGTTCTCCAGTGGAGGAAGTATGGGCGGTGGCAGCCGGACGGCGCTGATTCAGAAGTCAACCTGTTGCGCAGTCTTGATCTTCCATGGCAGCGGGGCGTTACGAGGCTATCACCAGCTCAAGTTCGACAGCTCCAGTAGCTGCAGCTAGACTAAATCTCACAACGAACATCCAGTGGAAGTGTTTATCTCCAGGCAGTTAGAGCGATGACGAATTAGTTATCATTCCAGTCTCGTTGGGTAGTCATTTCACAGGCGCTCTTAGATATTGACTCGGGTTGAAGTCGTCGGTGGAGTCAGGTTGGGGTTACGGTTTGTTCCCACGCTGCGGTGCATGGCTTGTTCGGAGGCTGGAACAATCCCGCGGAAATGGAAGATGTGTCCTCACATATGTGGCTCAGCCTTGTTGAACGATTCAGTGACACGACGGAGATCCGTCAACCCAATATAGGGGAAATTGGAACTCTTTACTTGTCCAGGGCAGGTCTGAGAGTCAATATGCGTCTTGTCCGGCTATTAACATATCACGAAACTTGAGACGGATGCTTAAAGCTTCCTTAAGTTGCGCCCCACATGCGGCGGACTGTTCGGGTCGGAGGGAGTGACGAGATGGAGGGTTTGGGGTGGCCACGGAGCGTGTCAACCGCTGCGTTGTTCGGGACACGGGTCCACATTGCCAGGCAGCTGCAGAGTAGTGTACAGAGTACACGGAGCGACTTTAAGGGGCCTGGGGGCAAAACTTCCAAATGTGGTTTGATGGTGCCGAGAGCAGGGCCCCAATACTCCTCCCGTTGTGTTCTTATTCAGGCAGGCTGGCAGGGGCAGGGCAGGGCAGGACAGGACAAGTACCTTGCATGATGGGTGGAATCGATCCATCTGCGGATAGCCTTCTTCACCAAGATTAGGAAACTACAACGGACTGCTCCCGCGATTCCGGCAAGGCCAGAATCCACAAGTCAGGATGCAGCATATCGCAAAAGGCCACCGACAAGTCTGCATTCGCGGTGTGCCAGGACGGCCTGGGTGGATGATGGGAGGTAGGTACATAGCTTGTAGTGTATGTTGGACCCTTGGATTGAGGCTGGTAGGTTTGACCACGGTATCCAGTAGATCAGGATGGGTGGCTGAAGCTCCCAGTGAGCCACCTCCACTCGTGCATCGGCCTGCGAGCGAAGCGCCAAATAAGATGCTACCGAGAGTGGCCAGATCTGGTTAGTGATCAGCTCCAACGGTAGCATTGCCGATGGATCCTTGAGCCCGCAGGGCAGCTTGGCGGGTGGTGGAGAAAAGGGACCCATGGACAGGCACCATGCAAGATAGGATACACCTTGTGGTGGCAGGAACGAGACGAGCAGAGCTTCCTAGCTGGGCCGACTGGCTGACAACGTGGAAATGTGTCCTCTGGAATCCTGGGAACCCTTGTCGTCCGCAAATACTCAGTCATGGAATCCCATTGTTGGCCGCCTTGACAAGTGCGGACGAGCGGTAACCTGGAGTACGTATGGAAGACACGAGAGAGGCGACACAAAAGGGAAAGAAATGAGACCACCGCCACACGCGCATTCCGAGGTATACAAACCAACCCAAGCCTGGCGCGCACTGAGTTGGTCCGGGCTGGACTGGGAGAACTTGGGATGGATGGTTTGAGGGGAACCCGTGCCTCGCCGCGCCTGTGCCATGTTGATTCCCATTCCCGTTCCCATTCCCATTGTGTCAATCAACGAATCTCTGTCTCAGACCGCCCAGACGCCGAGCGGAATGCGCAGAAAGGGGCTGTCAATGGCATTGGGTTCGAGCGTTTATGCCTGCGTCGCTGGCCTGGCTAGAAAGAGGCAGAAGGTGAAGGACGCATTAGAGTTGCCTCAAGCTACTCCAGGTAGGAGGAGGATGAGAGCTGATTAATACTTCGAGCTTACCTTTGCCTTGAACAAAGGCGGCTCAGCTTCACTTCCAACAAACCGCCTCTGGTCAGCCTGGCTCGACCTTGATTATCAATTCATCGTAAGTTAGTGCAACTAGCGGCCAAACGGTGGGGAGAGCCTGAAAGGGAGGGGAGTGAGAGCCAGTTTGCCCCTCACAATGGAGGGAGACACGGGCCCGCCGGTGAATTGGGGTAAGTACTGAGTCGTCTATTAATGTACCCCCGTGGCAAGCGTTGCACTTGTCGAGACATCTGAGTACAAGCCCCCAAAAGAGGGGCGTCCCCCAGTCCACTAATCCACCATAGACACTGCAGCCGCCTTAGTGAATGCATGAGCTGACGGGCGGTTCCTGGAAAAAGGGACACCTGTTCTCAATTGCCCTTTAGAAATCCGAAATCTTTCTCCAGAACCTCTTGCACCCACTACTTAAGACCAAATCCTCTCCCATCCACCGCGGTCTGAAGTTCGACTTGACAGCCTCGCCTTCTCCACGAGTGACTTTTTTTCTTTCTTTCTTCACTGTGTATTCTTCAGGTCAAAGAAAGGTAAGCCCATACCAATTATCCCCAACCTCACCACCACCAAGTTCCCCATCTATCCCCCCCACACGAGCAAACGCCCGCCACTGTAGCCAGATCTGCCAGATTTGAGAGGACAGCTAGCCTTTCGAGCTGGTCAACTCTGGCGTGCTCCCTCACCTCCCTTCCTACACCCAAGCTTCCAACACCGCAGTTGCGTACCAGGCACGAACCGAATCCTAACATTCTCTTCTCCCAAGGTCAAAATGTTCTGCAAGCGTGTCGCCCTTGGCCTCTTGGCCGCCGCTGCCGCGGTTTCCGCCTCCGATGTCACCCAGCTGAAGAAGGATGACTTCAACGACTTCATCAAGTCCAACGACCTCGTCCTTGCCGAGTGTGAGTCTTCCACAACTTCTGTCCGGCTCTTTCGGAAACAAACACTGACTCTGCCCATCTAGTCTTCGCTCCCTGGTGCGGCCACTGCAAGGCCCTCGCCCCCGAGTACGAGGAGGCTGCCACCTCCCTCAAGGAGAAGAACATCAAGCTCGTCAAGGTCGACTGCACTGAGGAGGCCGACCTCTGCCAGGAGTACGGCGTTGAGGGTTACCCCACCCTCAAGGTCTTCCGTGGCCCTGAGAGCGTCTCTCCCTACTCCGGCCAGCGCAAGGCTGCTGCCATCACCTCGTACATGGTGAAGCAGTCCCTGCCTGCCGTCTCCATCCTGTCCAAGGACACCCTTGAGGACTTCAAGACCGCCGACAAGGTCGTCCTCGTCGCCTACATCGACGCCTCTGACAAGTCCTCCAACGAGACCTTCACTGCGGTCGCTGAGAAGCTCCGCGACACCTACCTCTTCGGTGGCGTCAACGATGCCGCTGTTGCCGAGGCTGAGGGTGTCAAGACCCCCGCCATTGTCCTCTACAAGTCTTTCGACGAGGGCAAGGCCACCTTCACTGAGAAGTTCGACGCCGAGGCGATTGAGAGCTTCGCCCAGACCGCCGCTACCCCCTGGTAGGCGAGGTTGGCCCCGAGACCTACTCCGGCTACATGTCCGCCGGCCTTCCCCTCGCCTACATCTTCGCGGAGACCCCCGAGGAGCGTGAGGAGCTTGGTGCCGCCCTGAAGCCCATTGCCGAGAAGTACCGCGGCAAGATTAACTTCGCCACCATCGACGCCAAGGCATTCGGTGCTCACGCTGGCAACCTCAACCTCGCTACCGACAAGTTCCCCTCGTTCGCCATCCAGGAGACCGTCAAGAACCAGAAGTTCCCCTTCGACCAGGACAAGAAGATCACCCACGATGACATCGCCAAGTTCGTCGATGACTTCTCCTCCGGCAAGATCGAGCCCAGCATCAAGTCTGAGCCCATCCCTGAATCCAACGACGGCCCCGTCGCCGTTGTTGTCGCCAAGAACTACGACCAGATTGTCCTTGATGACAAGAAGGACGTCCTGATTGAGTTCTACGCCCCTGGTGCGGTCACTGCAAGGCTCTGGCTCCCAAGTACGAGGAGCTTGGTGAGCTGTACGCCAAGAGCGACTTCAAGGACAAGGTTGTCATCGCCAAGGTTGACGCTACTGCCAACGACGTTCCCGATGAGATCCAGGGTTTCCCCACCATCAAGCTCTACCCCGCTGGTGGTAAGGATGCCCCCGTCACCTACTCCGGCTCCCGCTCCATCGAGGACCTGATCGAGTTCGTCAAGGAGAACGGCAAGTACAAGGCTGAGGTCTCCGCCAAGGAGGAGGGTGCCGAGGAGAGCCAGGCCGCCCCTGCTGCCACTGAGGCCAAGGAGGAGAAGTCCAAGGAGACCAAGGAGGCCAAGGAGGATGGCCACGACGAGCTGTAAAAGGGTTTTGGGTTCACAATGAAATGACACTTTGGGACGTCCCATGGGATAGGGATTATATACCTCTTGCGCGTTAGGTCGACTCTTTGCATTATGGTCTGCGGGTAAATCGACGTTATGAATTTTGAGCACATGTCTACCATTTCTTCTCCTTCGCATCCTCAAGTCAATGCGATGTCTTTGGTACCTCGCCCACTGCGACGTCGTTGTAAATTCCTGACTTCACTAGAGGTAGGTGTAGCGACCCAGCCAGGCTAGCCGCGTCAGTCCGGCCAAGTGGTCGGCTTAGCTTGGCCTGAGTTGCACCAAGAGTGTAGCTTAGAAACCATACCCCTACGCTGTATGTGTCAGTAGTTTCGATTGATTCTCATTTCGCATATGGACGAAGAAATCCCGTCTGCGTTTTTGCTGGCTCTGAAAGGTGTCGTCCGACCTGGCGTCCTGAAAGGATGTGATATTACTAACACGGTTTCCCTGATGCATAGAATACAGCACGCCCACTGGCTTAATGGGATGCATGTAATGTAGGCTATGCCAGGGGTGTTGTCAGACGAGGAATTGAGGTGCGGGTGCACGAGTCGAAGTGCGCTGAGCATCACGTCGGATCTCTCGACACCAACCAAGAAAGACGTCCAGTCCACCTGACGTTTCTCGCCTTTCAGCGTAGACTTCGATGCCAGACCGATGGGTGCGTGCCGGCTCGACCAGTTTGTCTGTTACTTGCCATTTCATGGACCTCGAGACCTCCACGAACCCGGCTTGCACGAAGCGCGTCAACCCACCGATCCCCTATGTCGCAAGAAGCCGCCCGCCGAGCCCACCCCTCACCCACTCCTCGCAGACCTCTCCAGCCGCCTCGTGACCCGGGACCAGAACCCTGTGACCACCTCCAGCGCAACCCCGCCGTAGATCCCGCCCAGTGCCCAGAACAGCCCCTGGCCCCAGTGTGCCCAGCTCTCCGCGGCCCAGATGGCGCCGGGCATCGCGGCGGCGAAGCCCGCGGTTCCCGCTGTGAGGGTCGGGCTTGCGCGCCCTGGCCACAGCATGCCGACCTCAGTGCAGGCGATGAGCAGCAGGACGGCCTGGAAGAAGATGAGGAACACGGCGAGGGCAATGAAGGCGTCGCCGAGGGAGGCCCGGGCCACAGGGCTGTAGCTGATGCTGCCGATGAGGAGCCAGCAGACAATAGCCCCGGAGAAGGCAGGCAGGAGGCAGCCGGCGCTTCGGTTTCTTTCGGGGCGGGGGGCTTGGCCGTTGTGGGGAGCGAGTTGTCGTCCATGTTTGAGGCGTTCCAGGGACGTGTGGTGTTGGTGAAGAAGGAGCTGGTTAGGGTTGGAGTTGAGGGGAGGACACGCGAGGGTACGTTGGGAGGACTCGGGTTCCAGCAAAGGCTTCTTGCTCGTCTTATACGTCTCGTTAGTGTAGACGGGGCACGCGCACATATGCCTTGGCGCTGATGGTGGCTATGTGGGCGGAGTCGTCAGCCCAGGACCAACAGAAAACGCAAGAGTCACCCGCTTTATTATCCAAGAAGGACGACAAAGTAGCCCGGCCCGCGCTGTGGTCCACATAAGTCGGGCAGAAGCTACGGGCCCGCCGTTGTACACCAGGACGAGCTGAACCGCTTGGCTGCATAGCTTCCAAGACCAGGGGTGCCGTGAACCGGAAGCGAGAGCCGCGGATGCGTTCGCAGCCTCAGAGGCCTCACTCACTGGTACCGAAAGCTGCTCCAGTACTGCTCGTCATTGATTGGATTCTTCATGAAGACTGACTGGTCCTCTGCCATAAGCACTCGGCGTAGTTATACACGGGCCACCCGGCCCTACATATTACATGTTGAGATGCCTCCACGCATCACAGTTCACCCCGCTACTCACTCTCATCATCGGCCTCGGCCTTCTTCTTCTTCCCCTTCCCTGCCGCACCCTTCTTCGACCCCTTGGTTCCCTTCTTCGCATCCTTCTCCGCCTTGCGATCCACTTGGTCCTGGATCTTGCTTCTCTCGCCCTCGCCCTGGCCCTGCAGCTCCTTCTCGAGGTCCTTGAACTCTTTGCCGTCGGCGTCCATGCCAATCAGCCGCTCCAGCAGCTTGATCTCGTCCGCCCACACCTTCTTGTCCTCGACCGTCTTGCCGTTGGCGTCCTTGCGGTCGATGGGCGTCTCAAGGACCATGGGGAGGTCCTGGAAGGGCTCGTGGTTGACGAGCGTGTGGAAGGCGCGCAGACCCAGGAAGCCCGTGCCGATGTTGGCGTGCAGGTCGCGGTGGGAGGCGAAAGGGGCTTTGCTGTCGTTGACTGCGTCCTGTCAGCGTGTCCTTAGTACAGGGAGGGGTGGAGATGAGTAAAACTTACGATGGAACGCCTTGAGGTACTTGTTGCCGACAATCTCGTCAAACTCCTTCATCGTCTCATGGAACTTCTCCGGCGTTCTCAGGTCGTAGCCAGCCGCAAAGGCGTGGCAGGTGTCAATGCACACGCCAACCCGCTCCTTGTCCTCGACCTTGTCAATTATCTGCTTCAAGTCCTCGAACTTGGTGCCAATAACATTGCCCGCGCCTGCCATGTTCTCCAAGACGGTAACAACCTTCTTCGTGGCCTTGTGCGCGGTGTTCAGCTGCGCCGCAATGCGCCCGCACGCCTCCTCGCGCGATGCGCCTCCCGTGTTACCCGGGTGGAAGTTGTACAGTTTGATGCCCAGCTGCTCGCACCGCTTAAGGTCGTCAATGAAGCTCGTGTATGCCTGCTTCGCCTTGTCGGCGTCCGCCTGGGCGAGATTGACGAGGTATGAACCGTGGGGGAGGACGTGAGCGGCGGCGTCGTAGTCATTGTCCTTTGCCAGAGAGACGAACTGCTCCTTCGCATCCGCTGCCAGAGGAGGGCTCTCCCATTTACGCTGTGACTTCAGGAACAGAGCAAAGGCGTTGGCACCGATATGGAGGGCATTCTGGATGGAGTTCTGCACACCTGCGACACCAAATATTAGTCCGGACCATCTTGCGACGAAGAGCCGAATAACGTACCACCGGCACCGCTCACATGAGCACCGATGTACATCGCCTTCTTCAGCGAAGACACGGCCGTGCGGTCCGCCAGCGGCATATCGTCCTCCTTCTTCGCCTTGCCCTTGGCTGCTGTCTTCCTCTTCTTCGCAGGCTTCTCCTCTTCTTCCTCGGCGCAGCTTCCACAGCTCTCGTGCTCGTCGTCTGATGCAGCCTTGCGCTTCGTGGAAGGTTTCTTGGTGATTGTGGTCTTGGACTTCGTAGCAGCCACGGCTGTGCTCTTGGTTCCGTTCGTCTTCGTGGTCGTCGTCGTCTCTTCGACCTTGGTCTCGACTACAGCTTGCGCCTTTCTGCGCGCGGACGTGCGGGGAGGCATTTCCAATTCGTCACAATTCAAGTAGATCGCAGGAAAAGAATGAGCTTCACTACTGTAAGCTTGCAAAAGAGTGCGAACCAAACGAGCAGGCTGGGATGAATCGGAAGTAAAGGACTGGGGAAAAAGCAAAGACTAGTCGTTAGGATACGCGTGTCAAGACTCGCGTCTAGCGTTGCGCGAGGTCATGTGACTTTAATTGTAGTATAGAACTCAAGCTTACAGCTTCAGTATCTGTGCGTGCTCGGCTCCTGAATTGTGCTATGAGTTTGAGATCTCTTGACGATTATACTAATATTAATCCGCATCACTAGTGAGGTTGTTTCGCGAGTTTAGACGAGCTTAATAATTTGTATTTAATAAGGGGATTGATTGAGACTTTGTTAGTGGACGAGTGCCTGCCCTGTCCCCTCACTTCTTTTTCCCAATTAGCTCTTCCGGCGCCAGAATCCAACCACCGGCTCCCTCGCGATTTTCCTAGTGAGACAAAGCAAAGAAATACTAAACTGAAAGGTTGTATACATAAGGAAAAAGGCATCGTTTGCCTACTCAAAGACACTATTTAAGCAATGAATTGAAGCTCGGCCTTGCGCTCGGGCGCGAACTGATCTTTGTAGGTGTCCCAGATCTTCTGCACCTCGGCAGTGTACAAGCTGTGTAACCGGTCGATGTCTTCCTGCAAGGGCTGAGCTGTGGGTGATGTCGTAACCTTGATAGGCTTGCCCACAACGATGTTCAAGGGTCTGCGGTACGGCATCATTCCCACATCGTAGTTGAGAATGCCCCTTCCATGAAGAGCAGGAAGAGTGAACTTGAAAACCCGCAGCACAAACATTTGGATGTTGTGTACCCAGGGGTGAGATTTCGGGCTGAGTTGATCGTAAAGGTCGTTCTCACCGAAGCCCAAGACGGGCACGAGGTCGGCTCCAGTTCGCAGAGCCATCTTGATGAAGCCCTTGCGACCCTTGATAATCAGCCTGAGGGTGCCTGGTTGAGCCTCCAGGGACTCCCTGGCACCACCGACGACGATGGTCACTGCCCGACCCATTCCCTCTCCGTTTATGCCGCCCTTGCTCAACGTGTTCCAGATCGACTCCTTAGACACAGATCGGACGCCCATGAACATGATGTAGTCGCGGTAAAATGGGATTCGGAAGTTGTTGTCGAGCGTCAACAGAGAGTTGGTGATGCCAGGGAACTTCTCGGCGAATCCAAGTGCGTTTGTCCCAAACGCAGCGAAGGCACCATGAGAGATGATTCCATGGGGGTGGTAGCCAAAGATGTATTTCCGGGTGGGTGGCAGATCGTGCGTTTTGTGAAGCTCGGCCGGGTAGTACTCGGCAAAGAACCTCCAAATGGGAAGCGAACGTAGCCACTCCGAGCGGTATGTGAGGTTGCCATTGGAGGCGACACCAGACAGCGAGAGATGAATAAGATATGGAACCAGGAAGGGCCAGGTGAAGGGAATCGCCGCGAGGAAGAAGAATAGCGAGACGAATATAAGAATGGACAGGCCATGAAACAGGACCGCTCCTGTTTGGAGGCGGCGTCGAAACGGCACCTGAAGGGGAGCGAAGCGGATGCCGCCAGCCTTCAGTCCGAACCGGCTGTTCCTGCGGCCATGGGCTGCCAGGACAAGACGCGGGTAGCTATCGTCACTCATGGCCTTCACGCTCGTTGAATCGGACCGATCGACTTCGAAGCCGTCGACGAGAGTCTCGTCGGCAGTTCCCTCACTTCCAAAGCTCCTCTCGGGGTCCGCAGCATGGCCGTTGCTGTCGGTCTCCTCCATTTTGCTACCGTTGCTTCTCGCAGTAGAAGGTGATCGTCGATGACCCCGAGTCGGGCTTTTCGAGGTGTCGTCTAGGCCCTGCAGAGAGAGACAGGTCATTAGCAGGCAGACAATTGCGGGTGGACTTCGTCCGACTTACAGTAGCACTATATTCATGGCTGGATTCCTGCCTCTCAGCAGGAGGCCGCTGGATGTCGTTGGCCAAGGACTCTGTTGGTCCAAGCTCCGGAGCTTCTGCTACCACATTAATCTTGCTGTGCCCAGACTCGGCCGACTGCGAAGCGAGCTGAGGGTTGCTGAACTTCTTGACGGGCTGCCTCTTGGACGGCGACTTGGATCGGGCTGTGCTCTTCTTGCGAGGCATGGCTGCGGATCTTGCTCTTGATGGCGGCTCTTCTCTCGATATTGGAAGACCCAATCCCAGCACTTGAAGGACGCGTGTGTAGGGAAGGGTGCGGAGAAGGACGATGTTTATGTAGGGTGTCTCTTACCTGGAACGACAGCGACCTTAGGTCCGTCCCCAAAGTTAGACATGACTGCGTCGGCGTCAGATGGCGGCAGGGCCGGACCTCGGACGGGCGTGCGGCGTGGGCGTGAGTTGAGCGGGCTTTACTAGCGAAAGACCTAGGTACGGCTTGATTCAGCAAGGGCGGTGGTTTGACCAGCGATGACCGGAAACTTTGGGCGCACAGGGTCCAAAGTCTATGAGGGGGCGGGCGGAGGAATGCACAAAGAGAAGGGCGGAAAGGCTGTTTTGGCGGCAGCAGCCCGATGTTGCGAAACGACGCAGGCTGGTTCTTGGTGCTAGCACTGGTGCAATGCGCTGGATGCAGACGGACGGGGAGGGCCGTGGAAGAGCGACAGCTGGCGGCTCACTCCCGAAAGCTGTCGCCAATAATGATGACGTGAGGGTCCACATGCCGACAGGCGGCTGCAGTCTACGGCTGTCCCCCTGAGCACTGAAGCTGCCTCGTCTTCACAATAGATGAATAATATGCACGTCTTGCATATTTCTGATATGCAGATAAGAGCCTCCCTGGTCGCTTTGACCCTTTCTTTTTTTGCACTTCCAATTCGCATGTGATTCTCACTTATTGCCATAGTCCCCCTCCTAACAGCTCGCGAAAGCAATCAATGAGAAGTTGCCCAGCAATCATGTCAGCGTCACGGAACCGTAACCCTACATATATTGTCCAACTGTAAAGTCGAAGTCCCATCGGCGTCGGGTACGGTCCGCATTCTATGTACGAATCATACCCAAGACTTGCACTAGACCCCCAAGGGCGATCGACGTGAACTGTCTCGAAAGTAGCGTCGGTGAGCTGTTGGTCTGAGACTTGCCTAGCTAGGGCACAGTTCAGATCGAGGCTTCCGCTTCCGCTTGGTTGAGAGCTCTGCTGTGGCTAGCATGGCCAGAGCTCCTCCGTCATCCTCAACCGGCAGGGAGTGCCTCAAGGTAGGACTTTGTGGCCTACACGCGTGAAAAACGAAGCTATCCGAGCCATCTCGCTAGACTTGAGGCATTCAACCAGCCAACATTCGGCCCGTGCCAAGTGGACGCCGTCATCAAACGGATCGCTCGGGCGGCAAGGGAAGCACGCGACACCGAAACCTATTGAGCCGCCAGTTCGTGCCTGGCACCAAGGGCCAGGACGTATGTCTGCAGCGAATTACTCTTGCGAGGAGACCTCCAAGGTTTTAGACTAGACTCACTGAGTTGCCGTTCGCAACTCTTGGCATCTAAATGGAATGGCGTTCCAAGCCGCCACTCGACTCACAACAATTCGCACTGTATCACCGACCGAGTTCTCACCAGGCCACACAGTAAATGCGGGGGTATGAGAAACGTACTCACCAATGTGAATTGCCCCTCATCGTTCGACTCAAATTTTCTAATGCGATGAACCCCACCATAACCTCATGCCACCATTCACCCCGCCGACGTCACCAAATCTAAGTCAGCACTTATCCTGATCCGCCCGTACATATCACGATCGAAACTTGTCCAAAGACCTCCAGCATGGCGAAGGCTAAGAAGGGGAAGAACGACGAGAAGGCGGCTAAGCTAGTACGTCCACCACTGCCTCCTCTCCCACAACCGCCAGTTGCCTAACTAGATATGGAGTAGGCTGCAAAGAAGCAGAAGCAGGCCAGCAAGGGTGAGAAGAAGGCCAAGACCAAGACTGCAAAGCTCGAGGGCAGCGATGCCGAGGATGTCGACCTCGAGCAAGTGCTTGAGGAGTACAGGAAGCAGCAGGAGCAATTCCTGAAAGTCACCGAGACCGTGTGTGAGGGGCCGCCCAAGGCCCGATCCGCTTCCACTATCATGGCCTCACCCTGTGACCGTAACAACCTGCTGTTGTTTGGCGGCGAGTACTTCAACGGCGCGTTGGCGCAGTTCTTCAACGACCTGCACATTTACTACATCGATCGAGATGAGTGGAGGTGCGTGACATCGCCGAACGCCCCCTTGCCGCGTTCCGGACATGCATGGACAAGGGCGTCTAACCCAAGCCACGTCTACCTATTTGGCGGAGAGTTCTCGTCGCCGAAGCAGGGAACCTTCCATCACTACTCGGACTTTTGGCGGCTGGAGCCTGCTACGAGGGAGTGGACGAAGATCGAGTGCAAGGGCAAAACACCTCCGGCAAGGAGTGGTCACCGTATGACATACTGGAAGCAGTACATCGTCTTGTTCGGTGGCTTCCAAGACACCTCCAACCAGACCAAGTACCTTGCCGATTTGTGGATTTTTGATACCCAAAACTTTACGTGGTACAGCCCGACCCTGCCTCCTGCGCAGCTAAAGCCTGACGCAAGGTCTTCGTTCACTTTGCTACCTCATGAGCAAGGCGCTGTCCTGTACGGAGGTTACTCCAGGGTCAAGGCCACCGTGGCAGCCAACAAGCAGGCCAGGGGCTCAGCCCAGGGATCGAGGAACGTCCTAAAGCCCATGGTGCATGACGATTGTTTCTTCCTCAGAATGTCTCTGCCGGCAGATGGGTCACCTCCAAACGCGCCTCCCATCGTCCGCTGGGAACGACGTAAGAAGCCTGCCAATGCCCCCAGTCCCAAGCGTGCGGGTGCTACCATGGCGTGGCATAAGGGACGTGGCATCTTGTTTGGAGGTGTGCACGACGTGGAGGACAGCGAGGAAGGCATGGACAGCGAGTTCTTCAGGGAGCTCTTCGCGTGGAACATTGAGCGAAACCGCTTCTTCCCACTGACTCTCCGTAAAGCTCGCCAGCAGAAGAAGGCCAACCTGGCTGAACAGCGCGGTGGTCGTCGTGCGCGAGCCCAGGACCGTGAGGACGAGCTCCTCCGTCAGTTGGCTGCCCTTGAGACGGGCAAGTCTCTGGAGGATGCTGACGATGTGGAGTTGGATAAGAAGGATGAGGAGCCGGAAGAGGACGCAAAACCTCTGCGAGACATGCCGGTAACGATGGAGCTACCCCATCAGCGTTTCAACGCCCAGTTGGCTGTCCAAGACGATGTGTTGTACATTTACGGCGGCACATTCGAGGCGAAGGATCGCGAGTTCACCTTTGATGACCTCTACGCGGTTGATCTTGGAAAGATGGACGGCTGCAAGGAGATCTTCAACAGGCCCGTTGATGACTGGGTCGTAAGTCAAAGTACCCGTGTAAATGTTTTCACGTTTCTAACGCTGTTGCAGGAATCCGAGGATGAGGAAGACGATGACGAGGAAGACGACGAGGACGATGAAGACGAAGAGGATGACGAAGATGAAGAAATGGAAGAGGAAGACAGGAAGCAGTCCTACAACACGCCGAGCAAGCGCAAGAAGCAGGGCGACGATGCATCCGTTGCCGGCTCTGAGACGACCGCGGCTTCGTCTTCAACTGCACCTACGAGCACCACTGAGGATGATGACACGGAGGCGGAGGCGACTGTGGACGACGGTCTTCCGCACCCGAGGGTGAGTTCACCGGCATACCATCATGAAGCAATTTCACGCTAACAACGATACAGCCCTTCGAGTCCAGGCGCGACTTCTTCGTGCGCACCACGAACGAATGGCAGGAGATTCTGATGACCAACCTGCGCTGGAAGAACATTCAGCCAGAGACGCTGGCAATCAAGGAGCTCAAGGCCAAGGCTTTCGAGCTCAGTGAGGAGAAGTGGTGGGATTGCAGAGAGGAGATCACGGCGTTGGAGGAGGAGCAGGAGGCTGCTGGCATTACGGAGGTCGTGTCCCTCGCAGAAAGAGGCGATGCTACTGCTGCCGGTGGAGCGAGAAGACGTTAAACCACTTAAAAAGAGCGATGTATATAGGTCTGGCCTGGAAACTCAAGATAAAAATCACAAAATAGACACAGCTAGGCAGTCGCCCACGAACAAGCAGCTGCATCACTAACAGAAACCTCATCGGAGACGGTTGAAGTGGGGCACGTGACTGCGCGTCATTCCGCTCTGCCTTTTTGCCCCTCGACACGCTCCAGTCTTAGAGGCAGCTCTTCTCTCTGACAGATACCGAGCCAGGCAACCGTCTGAAGTCGACAAGAACAACTGGAGTATAACAACAACCTACAAAAATACCCACGCCGACCACTCTAAGCAACGCGATCGGCGTTCCTCGTATCGGGTTCACTATGCCGATCGGCATCCAGCGGCTAAATGCGAAACGTTCGCATCCGAACGACCGAATTGTCTTTATCAAACCCTTGAAAGGCCGTGATGAAAAGACCGCCCAAGATTTCCTTGAAAGAATAGCAGCTCAATGCGGTGGGCGACTTACTCGTACATAAACCTTGCAACCCAGCTGACCAATATCAGCGCCGATTATGAGAGAGCACCACCTGTCGGTGATGTCTCTGGAGGAGTACGAACCAAACCGCGAGTTCGTCGGACGGAACTTCAACGCCGGTGAAATTATACAGCTAGTGTTAAAGTCGCGTTCAGGACGATGGTTGCCGTTTGAGTACGTGCAGATGGTGATGATGCATGAGTAAGTAGGCGCCGGCGAGTCCGGAGAGGCGTCTGACGCTGACCGCAGAAGATTGGCGCACTGCAAACAAATGAACCATTCCAGGGCCTTCTGGGCAGTAAGGAACCAATATGCCGATCAGATGCGAGGACTGTGGCAGCGAGGCTATTCGGGCGAGGGTATTTGGGGCCGTGGAGCACAGCTGGGAACGGGACAGTTCCAGAACAATGTCGCACTTCCAGAAGAGCCACTCCCAGAGCACCTCTGTGGCGGCACGTACCGATCTCGCGGCCGCAAGAGGAAGATCAAGCCCAAGCTGTCCTACAAGGAGCAAAAGGAGCGTCGGATTCTCAAAAAGTTTGGTGCCAACGGTGTTGCGCTTGGCGCTGATGAGGAGACCAAGGTCAAGCTGGAGGGCGGCAAGCGCACGCAAGCGAAACCTCGTGTGGCTGGCAGTGCTCGAGGGCGCGAATTGCGGGCAGCGGCAGCGCTTGCAAGGCTTGATCAGGCAAAGAAAGAACCTGAAGATGATATTAAATTCGAGGTCAAGGACGAGGATGACAGCGGCGAAAGCGAGTACGAAGACGACCCTGTGGACGTCAAGAACGAGGACGCGGTCGACATTGATGGAAAGCCCATTATTGACGGTAAAGGCCGGGGTATGATCAAAGTTTGCGAGGATGAAAACCCGGACGACCAGGATGCTCAGAATGAGCTCCAAGAGCTGCACAATGCAGTGCAGCAATGGCGCCAGACGCATCTCAACTTCAAGCGTGAAAACGATCCCGCCAAGGCCACTGCACCACATAGTCGGGCGAAACAACCCGCGCGGGATGGAGAATCCATATCTCGAGCCTCGAAGCAAGCCACATCGCCTCGGATCACGATAAAGAAGGAGGAAGAGGATGTCGACCAGAAGGCACCAATCCTCAACATCGCCAGTGCAGGACCCACGATCAAAACAGAAACAGAAGATGCGCCCCGTTCGCTAGCATCTCACCACCAAATCTCACCAAATGGTGCGGCATCGTCATCGACTGAGGATGGAGCGACACAGTCCACGACGTCGACAACAACAGCGCCGGTGTCTACTGAGGAAGAAGTTTTCTGTGGCGTTTGCTCCTTCGCCAACCCGGCCCTGTCGATAACCTGCGCCGTGTGCTCCCACGTGATGGACCCGGCAAGCGTGCCGAACGCCTGGCGATGCCGGAGCGCCGCGTGCCAGGGCAGCAAGTACCTCAACCCCGGCGACTTTGGAGTCTGCGGAGTCTGCGGACAGAGCAAGCAGCAAGGTTGAGCGTGACACGGGGCCTCTGAATTGAATGAGGCTCATTACAAGTGACAAATTGCACAGATGGGCCTGTTAAGGACAGAATGGTGTCATGTTACGACGTTGCTTATCGACATTTTGTTATAGGAATGTGGCGTGGAAGGGTTATAGACAGAGGGGGTGAAGGCAAGAAAAAGTCATGAGTTATGAGGCGATGAGCGCGTATTAATACCGCGATAATATCCACACCCTGCAAACTGACCAAGGAAACGAGCCACGGGGCCCGTCCTTGGCAGGGCTCGACCCGTGTGAATAAATTGGTTGCCTGTTATTCTGGGAAACAATCTACTCTCTAGACCTTTTGCAAATAGTAATGTGGGAAACAGGAAGAGTTACCCTTGCAAACCAATTTGGTTGAATGGCTCTGGTTCATTTAGGTTTGCACGTCAAGTCGTCAAGTAAAGTTTGCGGGTGGGTTCGTCTAAACAGCCGACACCATGGGAGGGGATGCAGGGAGGGGATGGACAATGAAGACGAAACATGGAGAAGGGCAGACCTGGCCTGGCAGAAAGCCGATCGATGGAGCCGCCGACGATTCGGGACGGGCTGGCACGCCAGTTTGCGGTCGACGACGGATTCGCCCACGGGCATTCATCCAACCTTACAGCACATAATTCATTGAGCCTGCTGGCCATATCATTTCACGGTTTCCGTGCAGCTTGTACCAAACTAAGCCGCCGATCGGGGCAATCGAGCCCGGAGCAAACTGGTCCTTGGTTTGGCAATCGGCTCGGGGATCGCCAGGGCCAAGAGGCCTCGGCGCCTGAGAAGGACGGCTCTTTGCCAAGTTTGCACCCCCGGGTCCGGGGATTCTCCCGCCAAAGGGCCCCGATAAACACTAGCCAGAAGATCAATCAGCATAAACGAACAAGTTGGACGAGGAGGCGAATCGACGGCGGGGGTTAGAGAAGAATTACACCATACGGCCCCTCTCGGGGATCGCCTTATATCACAGCACATCCTATTGACCAGCACCAGCTTATCAGCCACGCTGGAAAAAGAAACCTCGTTAACAACAAAAGGGGGGCGCAAGGTCAAGCTCCCCAGCATTTCGTGGTTCAAGCAAAACACATCTCACTCGGCGCCAGGTGGTTCTGCCGTTCTTTTCCTGGCCTATGGTCTTTCGTCTTTCCGCGCGCCTTGCCAAACAGGCCAAGGAATATTTGAGAGGGTTGCAAAGGCCCCCAGCGTCCCCCAGCGTGCCCATATCGTTCTCGAAGCCCAAAGAGGGAGGCGGCCGGGGCAACCGCACGACTGCGGTAGGTGGTATCCGCAGCTGGCTGCCGGGTGGGGCGGCGGGAACACCGGGACGGGGGCTCTCCACCGCTCGAGTTTCAGAAGGGTTAAAATGGCACGTATCGTCCTGAACCCGATGCGAGACTAGGGATGTCAGGCTTGCTGTCAACCAACGAGAGGGCACGCAGCACGCAGCACGCAGCAGCACGCACTGTCGCCGTCTGTAGTGTACATAGGCGCACAGCGCTGTCAAGACAGCGTGGTAGCATGCACACGCACCCGCTGGCCTAGCTTACTGGCCCTGTTTCACCTTGCGACTCCGGATGACGGCGACCGAGGCAATTGAACGGGGCCAAGTGATCATCGAAACTTGTTCCTCACGTCCTCGGAGCCCTCTTGTTGGTCCTTTTTCCACGTTGCCTCGGTGCTTGCGCGTTCGACGCCCTCTGACATGTAACCCCCTTGGCCCCAACTTCGGCGTCGCCTCGCTCTGTGCACAATGCTGGATGGACCCCCCTTAGCTACTGGTCCATCGCCATTCCTACGCTGCTGTTGCTGCTACTGTGCTGCTACGGGCAGCGCGACGGATGAACTCCATGGCCCCCATTGGTGGCCTTCCATCGTGGCACAGCCCTTGCAAACCGGCGTCCTGTATCGAACCTCATGCGCCCAGCGGCGCCACGAACAGTCGAACCAGCGATCTGAGAGCGGGAGTGACTTGGCACCCCTAGCCCCTCGCGGTGCCTGGCAGGCCTGACAGCGAACCTGGCATCAGTGATCACAGCCATCCTCTTGGCAACAGCACTCTCAACCACCCATCTGTTCTTAGTGGCGCCAGCCAGACTACCCTAACGATACTAAGGTTAATGGGGAACGGCCCTGGGCACCTGGGCACGAATGGATGAGACCTGGAGCGTGGAGCACCCCCTTACTGTCCACCACAGTAACGTAGGCTGAACATGAAGCTGCCCAGGCCACCACCAGAGGAATACTTCCACGCACCAGCGTCGGCCCCGAGTCGAGGTTGGCGAGAGTTGCAAATCTGTATCTTCCTCCTTCCTTGCTGCGGCAAGGACACCAAAGCGGTCCCCGCGCGGTTCATTCCAATCCCGTCCCGCTTGCCTTACTGGGCCGGTCACAAATTCGGAAACTTGGGAGGGACATCGCGCAGGCTACAACACGACAAAAAGCCCGCCCGCACTGCGTTTCCTCTCCTTCGACATGGCAGGGCCCCATATCGAATGGCGCAAGTCCATATCGTCGGGCCACCCTGGGAAGAAGGTTCCCACCCCTACCTCTGATTGCGACATGGGGAAGCCGGCTCTTCAATTGGGGACTGGGGACTGGGGTTGATCACGTAGGGTGGGTTGGGAAATGGAGGGGCGTGTGGTGGACGGCGTGGGCGGTTTGGCTTTTTTTCCCTAGGCAAAAGTGCGCGCGGGAAGGAGGATTTCCAGTAAGAAGACGACTTTGCGAAACTACTTAGTGGTTTGCCCGTCCTCCTTCATGAACAGCCTTTGATTTCTGGTCCCTCTTGTTCTTCCTTCTTTCCAGCTTGAGGTTGTTGATTGCTTCTTTCCACATTCCTTCTCAGACAAACAAAAAAACGCCGACTTAAGTCGAGTTTGACTGTTGCCTACTTTCTTTTCTTTTGCCAAACCAAGACGATCTGTGATCTGTTCCATTCTTTCTTCCACGAGGCCTTCTGTTTGCCCACCGTTTGAGACGACGACGACTTGCAAACCCCACGACCTGTATATCGAAGATTTCACTCGCTCTCGATTCCAATCGATTCGTGTCTTTGACAGAACTTGCAAGTGAAGCTCCGAGGAAAACCCCCAATCTCGAGAAATATATCCCGACTGGGATCCGAGTCCGACTTACACCCGGACGCACCTTTACCCAACATCTCACGGAACGCAAAGGACCCGAACCCGAACACCGCAGACATGTTCACCACGCTCATCCACACCTTTGTCCTCCTCCTCACCGCCACCGCGGCCCTCGCCGCCCCGGCCGGCCACAAGTGGCCCCGCTTCACCGTCCCCCAGCAGCACTTTGAGGTCCTCAGCATGCGGAGCCAGGAGCCCGTGAACCTGGCCGCGGTGGTGGAAGCGACCTGCATCGACCGCAACGCGTACGTCTCCGACCCGTCACTTACCCACGCCCCTCTTCATGGCCCCCTTTCTCTCTCAGTCACTAACGCACAAGCCAGCCACATTGTCTTCCACGACCAGAACGCTGCCGAGCTCGCCATCTGCGGCGGCATCTCGGGCGGCGTCGCTGCCTGCCAGGGCAGCCCCGTCACGACCGTCGGCCAGGCCGGCTCCGCGCGCTTCGACCTCAAGACCACCGTCGAGGGCGCGTCCATCAACATCGCAAAGGCCAAGTGGGAGCAGTGCGTCCGCGCCGCCCGCGACAAGTGCCCCACCGGCAGCGTCCGCGCCGTCTGCGCCGGCGGCGCCACGTCCGGGAACGTCGAGTTCACGCTGGAGAACTCCCAGAGCGGCGGCGGCGAGCTGTAAGAGACCTCGCCCTTGCTGTGCTCTTCGGGGTTCCTGATGGTGGCGGGTGAGGGGGTGCTTTCCGGGTGTGATTGTGTTTCATTCGTTTCTTTGGGGGAAGTTCCAACGACTAAGGACACCCTTTTTCTTGCCGGCGGCATACGCCTGTCCCGGCCTCGATGGTTTTTGGTGGGTGGTTCTGGGCCAAGGTGGGATCGGCCGCCTTTACAAGGCCGCATTCCTCCTTTAAAAAAGAAAGAGTATATATATCGCGAGTGCATGGTGCATTCCGCAACTGTACAAACCTGTCCGCTAGGGACTTGTCACAGAATCCAGAGCCACACGACTGCCCAAGCCTTACAAAAGCAAGCCGCTTTATCGTTCATGTGAAGAAAAATATCATTGGGGGTATCATAACGCCTCTCCGCACACACGTCCGTCTCCACGTAGTCAAGTGACATGCCCGCACCCGCCACTCCAAGTTTCCCGCTCCCAGATCGGTGACCTTCAGACACCGTACCGCGTGAAGCACTCCTCGCGGTGCGTCTCCAGGCAGTCGAGCGCGCACACCCTCGTCCCGCACTTCATGCACCTGACTCGTCCCCAGTACCCGCACAGCTCGCAGAACGTCCTCACGGGGTACCGCGCCGCGTCCTCGTCGCCCTGCTCGGCGCGCGCGTCCCAGAAGCTCAGCATCGGCCGCGACAGGAGCCACCGCAGCTCCTCATCCGTCGGCATCTCGGGCACCCGCGACACGAGGAGGGGGTCGTCGTCGCCCGGGTGCGGGGGCGGCGCGTGGCCTTCGTAGGGCGCCAGCACGGGGCCCGTCGATTCCCTCGCCGTCGCCGGGGCGTTCGGCGCGGGCGTCATCTCCGCGTCTTCGGATTCTGCGGGTGTGGGCGCCGCCGACTTGGGCGTTGACGTCTTGGAGCGCTTCGCGGCGTTGCGCTTGGTGTGCTGATTCGGGTGGGGGGGCTTGTTGGTCGGCCTGGGTGTGTGCTGGTTCGGGTGCGGCGCGGGAGTGTGCTCGGTGTGGGAGAGGTGAGCGAGATAGTCGTCGAGGTGGTTGTGGAATGTCTTTTGGGACTGGAGGATCTTGCGGACGTTGGGTGTGCTCTTGCTCTGGCCTGCTGTCTGTTAGTCCGTTGCTCGTGTGACCTCCGCGAAATGCTCGCGGTAGTGGTGAGGGACAAGGGCGGGACTCACCCCTAGACCCCCTGGCCGGGATGGGAATGGAGGCGTCCCGGCCGCCGTCGCGGTCGAGCTGCTCGAGCTCCTTGCGGATCTTGGCCTCCTGCCGCACGGTGAGGTCCGAGGCGGAAGGGTTGGCCTTGCCGCGGGCGGCGCGCTTGCGGTTCGTGGGCTGGAGCGCCGCGGCGGCCGGGTTGACGCCCGTGTCGGGGACGTACGCCCATCCCGGGGCGGACGTGACTTTTGCGCTGGCGAGCTCGTAGACTCCAAAGTTGTTCATCCTGGCGGGTGTTGTTGTAGGAGGGAGACTTGGTTTGGAGTTCGCGAGTCGTGCTCCGGAGCTTCTTGAGCTAGGAACTTTTTTTTGTAGCGAATCAGAGAGGGCGACGTTGAATGGGCGATTTCTGACCAATGGGGTCGGGTTGCTTACAGACATGCGCCGGGCGACGAGCTCTAGGAGCGATGTAAGTCAAGTCTTGATCTTTGCCTACAGTTGGACGCCAGACCCGACTAATCATTGTCTGAAAAAATTTACTGTAAACGGTCCCCTTAAGAGGAGCCACAACGTCACCTGATTGTGTCAAAGCCTCATGAGATGAGTGCCGGCGATTCCTGAGGGCCGCATTCCCGAACCCCCTTCAGTGGGCCATGAAGCCACCCCAGACATCCCCAGTCTCCCTGGGCCGAGTTGCCCAGCTCTGCATTTCTGGCCAATGGGAACCCGTCAATGGCGTCCCGGCTAATCCCGCCCTGTTCGCTGTGCCGGCGCTGGCGGAGGATGGTACCTGAGGTGATGCACGCCGCGGCGCCGCAGAAACGACGTAACGAGGGACCTCCTCCACCTGCCCTGGTTGAGCTCTCCCCAAATTGCCTTGCCCGAGCACCGACCGCATTGAACTTGGTCTACGCCATCTTCATCTCCATCCCATCACCATCCTCACAACAACAAGAAGGCCGTCCCTTTCCCCTTCATAACAGTCACGCACGCTAACCGGCCAATTCCCTCGGTTGCATTCAATCCCCCGCGAAGAACGCTCCCTTTCGGCTGCTCGAATAGCCACCACCCTAACACTAACGCAACATGGCCTCCCGCATCGTCACCCGCGCGATCCCCCGCGCATCCGGCCTCCCTCTCCGCGCCGCCCGCTCCTTCCAGACCTCCTCGCCGCTGCGCGACGCCGTCGCCGCTCCTCTTCCGGCCCGGAAACCCGTTGGCGCTTTCCGCGGAGGGTACGTTACTCGAGCTCCCTCCCCTGTCACAGCAGCTGTCTAGCTATCAAGTTCGCGCTCAATCGGGTCTCGTGAGGCCATTTGAGGGATCGAGCATGGCTGTTTTGTCCGATCCCACACAAACGGAGAGGAACCAGGCTAACCAATGGGTCCAATAGTCTCTTCGGCTTCTTCCTCGGCAGCTCCCTCGCCGGCGCCGGCGTCTACTCCTACCTCCTCCAAGAATACAAGTCCTCGAACGAGCTCCTGACGGAGGACATCTACGTGCGTGATTACATTTGATACGTCCCTTCCCGAGCATCCCTAGTCGCGCTCTTTGCCCAACTCTTCATAATTCCTGTGTTTATTCCGAGAGCAGGGTGGATGCACCGGTCGCGTCTCTTGCGTTACAGCAAACTATCTTCCCTAATCCAGTAGACTGCCCTTCAGCGCGGCCGGCTCGTTCTCCCCAGCATTGTTTCCTTACTACTATTTCCAGTGCCCCTTTACTCTCACCCACAGACAACCGAACACCAACAAAGCTAACCAAACCCCGCTATTGTAGGCACTCCAGGCTGCGGTCCAGCGTGTCAGCAACTACGTCCAGGCGTTGGAGGACAAGATGGATGCTTTGGAGCGCAAGAGGAAGTAAACGGGCTTCTCTCTGAATAGGAGAGTGAGGGGATGTAACTTAGGGACGGGGAGATGCCGTGGTAATGCGCGGGAGGTGTGATGCGAACAGCACAAAAACACAGCACAGCACAATGGTCACGACCGATTTTTTTCAAACAAAAGCATCGATTCGTGAGGTACTTTGGTTCTCGAGGCGGGATTGTTTACGTCAGACGCGGTGCCGAAGGACGCAAGCCGATTGTGTATAACAGGATGTACAACAGGCGTGGGCAGGGGAGAGCACAGCAACAAGGCATGCTCGATCGTCTTTCGTCCTTCCGTTGTCGGTTCCCAGACGTGTGTATGTGGTATTTTGTGAGGTCTGGTCTGAGCCCGCGATGCGCTGCCAATTCGAGATGGGGACATCCCAGTCGACCTACGTGCAAGAAAGTCCAGAGGCGCTATGAATATGTACAAATATTAAGCGAGTCCCTGCGACACATCCAAAGAAAACATGTTCTTCGGGGGGAGGGATCAGGTCAGTTTGAAAGCGGTCCTTACCGACTCCGCGGAAACTCGGAATCCACTTCGCCCGGGGCGATTGTCCATCCCGCACGATCACGCAGCTTGCTACATGACGGTGTTTGATCGTAACAGTCGTTTGCACTCTCGCCCGTCCGAACAAGCACAAAAATAGACGCTATTGTAGGCGTTGGGGTCTGCCACCGTGCCTGGCATTACGAGTCATAACGAAGACTGCAAACGCCGGCCCGAGTATCGTTTTGGTGGTCATGACCCCCCTCCCCTAAACAGACGTCGTAGGAGCTGACGATGCCTTCCTTCCTTCAGCCGTCTTTTGACTGCTCGCAGAGGTCAACACTTCGATTTCGGCGGGAAAGCTTGGACAGCGGGCTTTGGGGGCTGTCCTTGCTCTTCAGCTGCTTGACAGCGTGCATCAAACTACCTCCTTTGGAAGCACAAAGTCCGACAGTCTGCGATACGCGATCGACAATTTGGTGCCTTTAAACCGAAGAAGCAGCATGTGATACTCACAAGGTTTTTGGCTGTCCCGAAGCATCTTTTGTATGCTTGACCCTGAGTCCCTTCCACCACTATCCGGGCAGGGGCCTTGGATGAGGCTTCCTCGATCGGGTATGAGAAGCCACTGAGGACTTGAATTCCCACTCGAAACACTTTGCCATGAAGTCGCCCTTTCTCACGATTTTCTCCTGGCCCCAGCTGTCACGCCGTCGGAGACAACCTCACCTATTCTGGTGGCCGCCGACTTTGATCCAGGATAACGCCATACTTATGTACACTGTGGAGTTCAACTTCACCGGATAGATCAGGGTTTTACTCCATGGGTCCTTTGGGTAGTCAAAATGTCATCGATACAACGTCGGCACTGAACTCGTCTCCCGAGATTTTTCATTGATATCCCCGGTAAATGTTAAAACCATGCAACCTCCTGAGGTCCGCAAATCGACCCTTGAGGGCACGCTGGCATGTTCATCAAGCTTACTGGGCAAGCATGCTCATTCTTGAAAGACATGGCAGGATTGAGCAAGCAAGCTCAGCGTGCCGCAGATGTGTCACGAAATGTGCAATTAGCCCACAAGAGTGTCGATGGGCGTACTCGCATACCCGGGCGACCCTTGGGATACAAAGTCTTCCCAGATTAAGAAGTGAAGATGTGAACAGTCGTTATTAAGGTTGACAATAACAATGGCACCAGTGGTATAGGTTAAGAAAAAGCACAAGTCCTCCCATAGAGCCCAGAACGCCGCTCCTCGTCAAGTCATACGTAAAAAGTATACGTCCCCCTTTTCACCTCCTGCCCTTGGCAAAGGCCTCGACCTTGCTCATGAGACTCTTCAACCCAACACCCCTCTCGCAGTTGCTCTCCAACCAAATCTCCATCTTCTCCCTGACGCTGCGCATGCTCTTGAGCACCGGCATGCGGGCGCCGTCCTCCGCAGCAACATGCGAGCCGGGGTTGAGCAGTACATCGAAACACTCGCCCCAGATCTCTGTCTGCCAGTAGCGCTTCAGGCTTTCACGGACGCGGTACTTGCGTCCAGAGCCGATGCCTCCCTGGTCACAGCGGACCGTCTCGATGTACTTGCCAAAGAGCAGGCAGTACACGATACCGGCAAGGCCGTGGTAGTCGATCTGCCAGGTCCACGGGCGTCCCTCGCGCATCTCGGCACAGTCTTGCGCGCTGGTCTTCCAGTCTGCGATGAAGCCGACGTCCGGATCGAAGTTGCGCATGTCGATACCGCGGCCAAAATCGATAAGGGTTACGCCCCGAGCATCCCAGCCCCCGGTGCCGTCGGCGCTGTACTGCGATGACAATGGTTGGTCGTTGGAGCCGGTGTCCAAGCGGAGTAGACAGTTGTCCACCTTGAGGTCGCCGTGGAGGACACTGCGGGCATGCAGAGACTCCATGGTGCGGAAGAGTTCGATAGTGAAGAACATGGCTAGCTGCTCGTCCATGACGGCAGATGGCTCGGCACGGAAGAAGTTGACGACGTCAAGAAGACTTCCGTGAGGGTGGTACGGGAGGAAGAGGAAGCCCTCATCTTGGTAGAGGTGGAATTCATGGGCATATGAGATGGAGGCAGCAGCACGGTGCTGGGGGCCCAGACGCGTGTGGGCAAGGCGCATCATGTGGAACTCCCATGGTGTTGGGGGAAGCTCCATCTTGAGCGCCTCCAAGGGGCTACGGTGGCTGACAGCAAACGTGCCCTTGCCCATAGCCACAACGCCATCCTCATCCTCGTCCTCCTGGTCGGCGGATGAGTTTTCAACAAGATAGACAGGGGCGAAAGCGCCTGCACCAAGCTCTTTCCGGATGGTGTATTGAGTAGCAACGTCGGGGAATTCGATGGTGACCACAGCGCATGCGTTGCTCGTCCTTTCCGAGCCACTCTTGGCTGCCTTCGTCATGGCTTTGGCGAACTTGCGGATCTCGTTGCCCTTTTCATACTTCTCATCGCTGTGATCATAGAACCCGGGGTACGAGTCTAGCGAGGGCTGCATGTTGGCGAGGATCTCATTCCTCACCGCCTCGTCGACCGGGTTGCATTGCAACTCCTTGATAATGGGGCCTTTGGGAGGTGCTGGCTTCGCGGACGCAGATTTCGCCTTGCCGAGAAGAGGCTGGGCGATCTTCACAGGTCGAACCTCACTAAGGACCTCCCGTAAGGGGCTGCTGCCAGGCTCCTCCATGTATGGCTCCTCTTCGTCGATAGTCGACTCAACGTCGTCGCGGCATGGGGTCTCGTACTTCGCCCTTCGTTCTGTAAACGCAAGAGAAGACTCAGTCCTCTCCGTGATAGGAGTCATAAAGGGGAGTCGGTTATTGGCCATTTCGACCGGGTCCCTAAACGGCCTTGTTCTGGGCTCATAATCCTCAGGCGGTATCGGAACGAACATGGTCTTGGTTCTCGGTGGATAGTCTTCGTCGTCATCCTCCTCCTCCTCTTCCTCATTCCGTTCGTCTCCCGACTCTCGGTCGTATTGAGCTTCTGCTTGCTCATCAGACAAAGGGCCAGTCGCCTCGACGCAGTTCGGGTCCATCAAGTCAGAAGCTTGCGTGTCGTCAACACCGGACTGTGTCGCATCCTCGTTGAGAACCGGGACATGCTTGCGGGTGGAAAAGTCGGACCACTCGCTGACGCTCTTCACATCCGAAGTTTCTTCGTCCGCTTCATCAGCATCATCGTCACCCATGTCTACCTGGCGTGTGATCATGGTGCTCTCTGCATCTGTCGTGTAGTCGCCGTCCGTCTCATAGTCATCGTCGTCATCGCTCTCATCTTCCTCCTCCTCCTCTTCCTCTTGGGAGTTGGACTGAATGGGTTGATTGAAAATCTCGTAGATTTCGTCAGTCGCAGCCCGAGTGTGAAGCGTCATTGTCGGCTCGGCCGTATTTCTCTTCTTCAGCTTTGGCCTGGATGGTGAGTCCAGATTGGCCTTGACTAGATGCGTGTTAGCAACGACAAGACGCCTAGAAACACCAGTGACTTACTGATTTGGGTCTCGTTGACCTCCATCACCTTCTTCTTTTTACTCTTGCCCTCCTTCTTAATGATAGCGCCATTCTCGTCCATCATGACAGTTTCTGTGTGAACAACCAGCTTCTCCTGCACCATCTGGCCAAGGTCGTCCACGATGGAAGGCTCCGTGTCCACCACCTCAGGAGCGGCCTCTTCGATTAGTGGCTCCTCGTCCCAGGACACATCCAACCAGCCTCGGTTCATGGCCCAGACTTCCTCGAAACCAAGCTCTGAGCCCGGTTCTTCGGGGGTGGGGTAAACAGCTTCGAGGCTGACAAAGATGCGCTCCTTCTTTCCGCTCACGGGGTTCACGACTATCTGGTTTTTGGATGGCACTAGGGTGATGTGAGACTTGGACATTTGTGCCCGGGAAGACCGCAACTGCTGCCGCGACTTTGATTGCAACTGAGACTGAAATACAAGAACGCCATAAAGCCATACATTAGTCCTATAATCATCAACATCTGGGCAATGGGAAGCTCAAGTAAAAGTGGTGCTTACCGTATCCCTGAAGATAGCCATCTTAGGAGCAGTGCTCTTCTTTCCGCCCGCCTTCAATGTCTCTCCCGCCCACGGTTTAGGCTCCATCACGTTCTCCTTCTTCCGGTCGCCCAGCGAACCGATTGTGTCCCACCCCTTGGAGCTGGGCCCCCGCGAGGCCAGTGCTGGGGGCGCTGAATCAGTGTCCGAAAAGATGGCCATCTTGGCCTTGCCCGGCTTGGGCGCGGCGCCGCCAACGCCTTGACTGGGGCGAGGGGCCTGGGGTCCGCAGCGGCAGCTGCGCGGGCAGCGGCAAAAGGGTCGACCTTTGCGGCCAGAGCAGGCCGAACGGTAGGAAGCGCTGGTGATGAAGGCGCCTCGGCTTCGTCGGGTTGTTGGGCGAGTCTCTGCTCAAACTCTTTGAATTTGCGGATCAAGCGCTGAACAGGTCTCGCCTCGCGCTCAATACCAAGCTTGTACACCTCCTCCGCCTGGTTCCATCTGCCTGCGCCCTCGAGCCACGCTGCGTATTCTTCGTAGAAAAGGGCAAGTGTCTCTCCGATGTTGTGACGCGATAGGAAGAGGAATGTCTCGCGAGGCGAATCAGAGAAGAACTGGATGTACAGCATCCAAATCTTGAGGTATCTCGGGTCGTTTTTGTATTGTGATGAGCCGATAAAGGTCTTGGTAGCGCGCTCTAGTAGGGTGTGAAGTTGAGACTGTGGTGTGGCTTGCGCCGATGGGTATGCGTCGAGGGTCCAGCGCACATAGCGGTCGAAGATATCAAGAGGGTCGTCCGACTCGGAGATGTTGCGGATTTCCTCCTCGTACTCGGCTCTTATGCAGTCGTTGACGTTCTTGGTGTCAGATGGCGTTGGAGTGTCCAACTTGTGAAGGGGAGAAGGTGAAAATAGTTCGGCCAGTTTTTTGGCAGAACGTCCACTCGGCAGCGCCTGGATATTTTCCTTTTGCGCTTCGATAACGTCGAAGTTGATCAGATCGTCGGAGGCTGCCATGGTTAGTATTGTCGCGGCGATTCGCCGTCGCGTCTCCAGGTAAAGTGTTGCTGGGGGTTGTGCGTCGGGTTTGTCGATGTCTAAATTGAGATGAAGTAGGGTCTGAACTCGACGTTCGGTGTTGTGGTCTAGTGTTGATTATTGATAACCGATAACAGGTCAGGGGAGGCTTGCGGGTCGTTGCCGGAGCAACTTCCCCTCCGCTTAGGTAATAAGCGGGACCACTCACCGAGCTCGGTGCGCCAAACTACCGTTACTGCTTTACCTTGGTATTAAAATCCAATAAAGTTCGCGGGTTCCCTTCATACACCAGAGATTGGAGTCAGAGTTACACAAGTTAGACAATAAAAGTAAGAAAGAATGATTCAAAGAGAAATAGTGTATTCAGTGGGCTAGTCGCGACCTCATTAAACTCCAGGGCCAACCACGGCAGCTCATAACTGGCTCAGAAGAAAATCGACAATCATGGGTAGTTGTGCCTAATATTATTTTGTCAACTCAAAGCACGTCTTTGATGTATGTTGCAACAAATCTCATTCTCTGCTTTTCACTTCCATAGATCGTCGTAAGATCCTGTTTGATCGGCCAAAATCCCGTGGTAAAATTCCCTGCCATGATTTTAGACTGGTGGACTTTTTACATGTATCCTTGTCTATTAGGAAACGGCTCCGAGATGGCCGGGAGAAATATGCTTTGAAAGATATCATGCTCTCGTTGGTGATAGGCGGCCGACCGGGTTCAGTTAAAATTGCCATTCTCCTCAGCTTCTCACTCGCAGTCAGTGTCTTCCCCGTCTGCCACTTCCTCTTCTCGACCTACTTCCTCCTCTTCGCCCAAGTCCGAGTCTGACTCTCTGACTGAGCCAATTTCGTTGCCTTGGACTGATGCGATCTCATAAACTTTCATACACCACGGGCTTTTATCTCGGTCTCTTTGCCAGCCGCGCCATCTGCATCGACTTGAGCCTTGATCATGAGAGCCCACTCCTTGAGGGGTCCGAGAACTTTCTCTATGGTTATGGAATGGGCAATTGTGAGATTTCCATCCTCCCCTTGTTGACAGCTAATATCTTCGCGGCATACAGGACAACTCACGTGGACTCTGGACTCGCAGCATGCGGGGTCTTTGAAGAGCTTGCGTGTACACTGTAGAGAGATGTCAGTTTTGGCCTTGGTGGAAGAACCATGGTTTGATCCAGGAATATAACTTCATGCAAAAGCTGTGTCCGCAGTTGGTAGTGTACATTCTGATCAACAGTACGGAGCAGATGCCGCATGCCCCCTCATTGGCCATGATGCTTAACATTTCTCGGAGATCCTGGAGCTCTTTGGTATCGTTTGGGTATAAATCCGGGCAATGGTCGCTAGCCCTTCTCTTTTTGTTTGCAGACATGTTAGTTTTCGCCTGTAGACCGTCTGCTGAGGACTGGAGATATTAAGCAAGATTATCAAGTTCGGTTCTTGTGGATGTCTGAGCTTTTAATATTTGCGCAAAAGTTTCTCAGTATCGTTGTAGATCAGGGGACTTTGAAGGCAATTATGAACCTAGAGCTGTGGGTAATGGAGATACTTTCCTGTCGGGATGCCTCCACGTGCAGAAATAGAAGTCAACATCAATCACCGCGGCCCATGGATACAGAAGGCTTTAAGCTATCGCAGACAGCGATGAAAACCAATTTCATTAAAATGACACGGAAACTGGATAAAATTTAGTTGCATTGACAAAACCGCCTGCGGAAGATAACACTTTGTCTCATCATCAACACTAATGTTTGGATTCCTTCCTACCCCAATCTCCAGTGCGTCCTGCGTCTTCTTGCGTTTCCTCGGTTTAATACAAATACTTGGTCCTTGTCAACAGAAAGATGAAGAGGGCAGTACTCCATCCCATGAGATGAAACGATCCGAAATTCAATCCCAACCTCGGCAAAGGTCGCAACGAGATGGCAAGAGGTTTTTCCCGAGTCGTGATCGTAAATAAGAGACTTGACGCGTACTGATCGTAGCTTGGGCAGAACACGAGATGAATTCGATGCCAAGCAAAAGAGCATCGACGTCAAGGGGTTAGCACTGGCGTCAACTCCTTCGTGCTTTCTAACGTCGGTCGCGATATCCCCACGGTGGGTATAGTATACCCGAAATCTGTTATCATCGTACCACATGTCACACAGTTCCAGCGTTGTCAGATTGGATGGAATACGCTCCTCCAAGTACGCGTTGCGCAGATCGTCAATGTCATCGAATAGAACCGGTAGGTCGACGCGCAAGTGGCTGAGCTCTTCCATGTCTGACAGGCGTCTAAGGTGAGATTCGGCTTCGAGAAAGAAACCGTGGAGGCCTCTGAATTGCAAGTTAAGTATCTGAAGCCTCGGGCAATAGTCAGGAAGAGTGTCGCTGATTCGGATATGATGACCCGAGAGGACATATGTTTGTTCGTGTGGGGGGTTGAACTCCATGGCGATAGTGAGACTCCTAATGTCAGGCGCCCAGAGGGGGGGGGGCACCGGCGCGGCACTAGTGGGGCCGTCGGCGGGGTAGCTGGGGGCCGCACCGGCACATAGTCAAGGGATTATAAAGGGATTCTAGCTACGCGGCCAACACAGACTCCGACAACAAAGGTTAGCCACTGAGACCAACGTTAGAGAAAGGCGATAGCACAACGCCGCTGAATTAGTGTTATAGCCAGGGGAACTGGGCTTGGTTAAGGGGGGGACCTGGGGGCATATAAGGAGCAGCTGCGGCGGACCTAGGGGAAAAGGCAGATTGGAATAACAGTCAACACCCACCCCTACCTGTGCCCATCGCCGACCTCATTACTCTGTACGACTCCAGCCTCTGACACCTAAGGCTAGGACAGCGTCGTAACACTCGACTGAGATTGGATTCGTTGGTTGAACTACTATCGAGACAAAGGTTCTCGAACGCGAAGAGCTGAGAAGGGCGAACACTATCCAAAAGCCTCCAATTCCCGTCGTCGCATGGGATGCTCAGCGTCTTGAGATTCGGGATCGAAAGCAGGCTGGGCACAAAGAATGGACAAGCCGGAACCTTGACGAAGTTGCTATATTGATTGAACTCGCTTGTCATCTCAAGCCTTTGTAGTGAAGAGAGTAAAGACTGATGAGAAGCATCTGCAAGAACGCCTGAAATAAATGCTTCGATGCCCTCAGACCGCGTGCTTCTTGCCCAGGTTCGCTTGAAGGACATAACCAGCTTCTCGGGACGAGAAGTAGTGACCAGTAAAAAGCCAACCAGGTGTTGAAAGGTCTTTCTGGGATTGGGCACGGGGCATCGTGCTAACAGTATGAGCTGGGCAACCGAGAGGTGATTGAGGTTGATTTTGCCGAGATCAAGCGTCTGGAGGCCAACCAAACACGAATGACTTTCGTTAATGAAGTAGCCGACGTATAATTTCCGTAAAAGGTTGCTGAGCCCGGTCTCTCGAGGATAGATCGTAAGAAGAGAGCCAGTCTCTCGCTGCTGTCGGCACGGACGCAAGAAAATAGATGTTCTTGGCTCAGCGTGCGCAGAACCTGGCAAGTCAGCGAAAGATTGCAAAGTGTGTGGCGGGATAAGATCAGGTTCTCATGATCCACACATATTTTGGCAGTGATTCTGAGTGGGAAAGCCCCAATAATGAGTCAGAGCACCTCGACGGGAAGGTAAGCAACCCCCAGCCTGGTGTCAATATTGAGGGCGCCGCTCTGGCGGGTAAACTCGAGGGATCTTAATGGGATCATGATTGGAAACCCTCAGACAGACAGAGTTTGGATGTACAAAACTTCCGTCTGACCTTCTCTTCTTATCTCTTGTTTCACCTGTTCGCCGTATAGCCACACAAGCTTGAGGTTGGGAGAGATAATAAGACGCTTTATGGAAGTGATTTTGTCGAAGTTCTGATTTCTTCTTCTAGAGGGGAGGTGAAAGAGAAACCGAAAGAGGGAGCATAAAAGGTTGTCGGAGATTCTATGTTATGTTTGGGTGTGGCGAGGCCGGCTCGAGCTGTTGAATCTCGCCCAGCTCAGTCTGTAAGGTGAATGAATCACTCTACTTAGACAATACTTTTGAGGTCATAAAGCTCCTAGATGCTCAAATCACCACTCGTAACAACCAGGGCGAAAACTAGTGATTCACTTAGAATCATTGATTCACTGCCTGGGCTTAACACACTCTCTACTTGTTGCTTTCACACATCGTCTTTGAAGTATTGTACTCTGAGGGACAAGAGAAAGTCCAATGACCAGGTTTGTCTGAACACATACTGAACAACTTTCTGCAGACAAGGGCCTCAATGAACTTTTGGTACTGTAAAAGTACACAGCCAAGCCCACATGAGTTTACTCACGTACATCGTTCTGTAGTGTTTCTCTGAGTTGTGCCTAGGACCAAAGACCAAACACAACTAAGACAACATGCTGTTTTCAGGGTATGTATAGCTGTCCAAAAGAAGTGACATAGTAAGGAAACCTTGATTATGAACAGTGGACTTAGTAACTCCAGATGCCCGTTAACCGACTATGGGTTTATGAGAGTTTATTGACATTTCCTTATAAGTCAGACTATCATGTAAGCTCGTTCTGATAGAGCTCAAGACGAGATCTGCCTATATCTTCGTCAGCAGTTCAACCCGTCTTACCTCTGCTTAAATCATCAAGCCGTTCGTTGTCATTCGAGGATTTACAGCAGCCACAAAGAACAACAAGAACGATCAAAGGTGACGGAATTCTTTGGCAGTATTAAGTATATCAAATGTCTCTTCATAACCGCTTAATCTATAGATCTATCCCATCTAACCATACTCATGAAAACATTAAAAAAGGCTGCACGCATTATAACAGGTCGACAACACATTGCACTCCCAGCGCAATTTAGTCAACGTACTTGGGGAGAGTTGCCATCACGCCGTCCTTGGAGATGAGCTCCATAGCCTTGGCAACTTCGTTGATGAAGCGCTCGTCGGCTCGCAAGTCGTCACCGAACAGCACCTTGACGCTGAGCAGCTGACGGGGGTCATTACCGCCTGCTTTGGCCAGAGCCTGCAGCTGCTCGCGCATCGGGTCGTCAACCTCGAAGGTGTTGCCCTCGTCGTCGACACCGTTGAGGTAAAGGAACCAAGCACCAGCGACGAAACACAAACGACGCAAGGGACCGTTCTCCCAAATCTGCTCGGCAATGGAAGGCATGATGAACTGGGGGATCTTGCCCGAGGCACCCAGAGCAACACGGGGGATACCGTCCATGATGGTGGGGTTAGAGAAACGCTCCATGAGCGTGTTGCAGTACTGGTCGATGTCGACATCGGGGATTTCGGGCAGCAGAGGCTTGACCTCCTCCTGCATCATCTGCCAGATGAACTTGCGGTAGATGGGGTGCTCCATGACCTCGTGGACGTACTTGAAGCCAGCAAGCTGTCCTGGGTAAGCCATGGCAGAATGGCTGGCGTTGAGCAGACGAAGCTTGTGCTTCTCAAACTGCTCGACCTCGTGCACGCCCTTGACAACCTGAACACCGACCTTCTCAAAAGGCGGGCGGCCGTCGCAGAACTTGTCCTCGATAACCCATTGCATGAAGGGTTCGGTAACGACGGGCCATGCGTCCTCAATACCAAAGTTGTCTGCCAGCGACTTGATATCGTTCTGCGAGGTGCTGGGGGTGATGCGGTCGACCATGGCATTGGGGAAAGCACCCTCCTCGGCGATCCACTTTGCGATCTCTGGGTTGCGGAGGCGCGCGAACGACTCCAACATGTGACGGGTGATGGAGCCATTCTTTTGCATGTTGTCGCAGGACATGACGGTGAAGGGCTTCAGACCCTGCGCGTGGCGCCTGGCCATCGCTGCGTAGAGGAAACCAAACGTGCTGATAGGAGCGTCCTCATTGGCCAGATCGTGTTGGATGTCAGGGTGCTCAGACTGCAACTCGTGCGTGTTTTCGTTGTAGTAGTAGCCGCTCTCAGTGATGGTCAGGGACACGATGTGCGTGTCAGGGTGAGCCATCTTGGCGATAACGGCCTCGCGGTCATCGGGCGCGAAGAGGAACGAATTGATGCTGCCGACGACGTTGGCGGAGCTGCCCTTGGCAGAGCGCTCAATGACAGTGTACAGATAGTCCTGGGCAGCCAGGACATCGCGCATGGCGGCATCGTTGGGTCGGAGACCGACACCGCAAATAGCCCAGTTGCGCTGGTCATGCTTCTGCATCAATTGGTCGATGTAGACTGCCAAATGGGCTCTGTGGAAGCCGCCCACGCCGACGTGAACGATACCCTCAGTGACGCCATTGCGATCGTAGCTAGGGGTTTTCACCCTCTGTTCTCCCTGTTGCGAAGAAATCAAAGACAAGTTGTTGCTGGTGAGCTTGAGGGATTCCGTGCTGTGAGGCATTCTAATCGAAATGAAGGATTGATGGAGAAATCGTGTATGGTAAATCAGGAGAGGCCGTGGTTTGAATGATCATGAATACAGCTCACCGCTGATTACCCCTGACGGCCGTCTTTTAAGATAGACCGGAGTAAGTTCGGCCAAAGAGATTTCGGAGCACGTTCCACGTTGTTGAGAAAATTCAAGCCTTGATGGATCCATAATCGAGTTCCCCTGTAGTAGTGTCGGTGGATTGGGTGGCGGAGGAGGGCCCGGCTCTGAATAAACTGGGGCCCCGGTGGCGGTTATTTGGGTTCTGGCGACCGGCCAGGCTCTTAAACTGGGACAAGAGGCGGTCTAGCTTATCAACAGATTTGTTGTGGAGTTGACCGTATCGGATTATGACGAAAACACAGAAATAGACATGGGTCAAGGCAAATAAGGCCTGGGCGACTATGACTCGGAAGCGGCGAACCGAGCATGAAAGTGTCCACGCAATGACCCAGTGATAATCTGCAAAGAAACTTCAAGATTTTGGTCGATTGCGAATAAGGGCGTTATTGTTAAATGAGTGTTTGAGGCAAACCGTTGTTGATGTACTCGTCCTTCTTGTTGAGAAAGACGTTTCAACCCGCTCGAGACACTCAATGAAATAGAGTTTTCTTTTTGACGACTGTGTCTGATAACTCCGAAAGTCTATTGGCCTACCTGACATGTGAGCGGTCAAGGGCCAACGCATCTTCGGAGATCAGGTGAAAGTCTAGAACAACATTATTTTTCTCATAACTCGAAACGTTTCCGGTTAGGTTCCGAGCGTGATCGCCATCTCAAATCCCAAGCGTTCGGTGATCTATATTGAGTTGCCAAAGAATATATGGTTACTGATTCCATGTTAAGTGCTTGCTACAACACCACATAGTTCCAGAGAACCGGCGCCACTGCTTTTAAGGATAGAATATATGACTATCTCCTCTCTTGAAAAGTCGTTGTCCAGATCGCATGCTCTCTGACCTTGTGCAAACCAGTCTCGACCCAATGTCAACTTGGACCAATATGTGCTTTCTAAAGACACCTGAGACCAACCAAGGTAGGAATGATGTGCTTGCCAACATCGCGAAAGTCGATGATTCAAACGTCCACTTCAGCAATTCTCAAGTAACTTGCCCTCGTGTTTGAAATGGCAGCTGTCGAAATATCTACCTGGTGGAGGCTGACGAGCTTTGTATTCCCAATAGTTCGGACTAATCTCCATCGCTATAGAACACTGTAGCGGCACTCTTTCACTGAAAGACTAGCTGAATGAGTGAAGTTCAAGGTGTTTACCTCTTACAAGGTGCTTTAGCACTAGACATGCCGTCTTTGCCGGTTGTTACGTCCACATAATGTATCTTCGCGTCATCATTCAGTTGTCATACAAGAAAGACCCAAAAGGGATTACAACGAGGTCGGACTTGGAGCATGACAGATCGGTGTGATTGGACGTTGAATACCCGGAACGGCCCCAGAATCCCGGGACCGGGTCAACCGCGGTACTCGGGTGAACTGCTCGACGCCGCGCCGAGACAGGCCGACTGAGCCGTTGCTTCCTGAATCATGCTCAGGAACGCGGGTTCCTCCCAGTGCATTTCCTGTGTACTTCTTGAAGATTTCAACTGCACAGCCAACCTAACACACAACAGCCAAGGGAGGGTTTGGCTGACAGGGCTAATGGTGCGTGTATCATTTTACCCTGTTTCTATGGCGAGTAGTTTTTATTGAAAAACAACAACAATCTAAGTGCATTGTTTCTAAGCGGTGAGCTCATGAACGTAAACCTATCGATAGACATGACTGAGGTGGAGGAAACAATACAAGCTGAGCTACAACGCATGCTGATCCCGGACCAAGAAAATACGTTTCGTTATAGGAATTCAAAAAGTACCGTAACCAAGATACCGTGGTTTTACATATTACTTTTGTACCGGTGGCTGTTGGATCAGGCCAACCCTGGGAGGATTTCAATAACCTGCGATAAGATACCTTAGTACTAAAGCGGACTAGAAGACGTCATGACTATATAAAGGAGTCGTTGCCCAATATTTGGAACATCAGACCCCTTCATCCAAGTAAACAATTTTGAATACATATCCACGTCAACGTTGAGTTTAGCCATGCGCGTCCTCATCAGCGGGGCAGGCATCGCCGGTCCCACGCTGGCCTGGTTTCTTGCAAGAACAGGTGCACGTATCACGGTCATCGAGAAAAACGGCTCCATCTCATCCAGCGGTCACAACATCGACGTTAATCACAGTGCAATTACCGTTATGAGAAAGATGGGCCTGATCGACCAGCTTCGGCGCTTCAACACAACGGAAAAGGGAACGCAGCTCATCGATCCAAACGGACGACCTTTTGCGCCGTTCCCCGTCAAGAAGGGCTCGTCCGGGAGTCCTACGTCGGAGTTCGAGATCTTGCGCGGGGATCTGGCAACTGTTCTCCACGAGGCGACGAAAGACCACCCCAATATCGAATATCTGTTTGGCACGACCTGTTCAAAAGTCATTTCGAACGACAACGACACGGTCAAAATTGAGTTGAGCGACGGCCAAGTACGAGACTTTGATCTCGTAGTCGCAGCCGACGGCCAGTGGTCCAAGATTCGCAAGTTAGTTTTCCCTCAGGATAGCATCACTGTCAACGACAAAGACATGTACGTCGTCTATTCCACCATTCCACGTCTTCCCAGTGACGACGACTGGTGGGACATCTACCAAGCCCTCGGCTCCAGAATCGTCAGCCTCCGTCCCGATCCGCACGGCACAATCCGGGCCATGTTCAGTCGTATGCCCTGCAATGACGCCCAGAGAAAAGCTTGGCAGGAAATGTCCAGGGGCGATAGGAAACTCCAGCAAGAGCTCGTGAGACGTGAATTCCAGGACGCCGGGTGGCAGGCGCCGAGGATTTTGGACGCCATGGAGCAGTCGGAAGACTACTACTTTCAGGAAATCAAGCAGATCAAGATGTCCAAGTGGTCTAGCTCCAGGGTTGTCTGTCTCGGCGATGCCGCGTTTGCGCCGACACCGTTAACAGGCATGGGGACTTCGTTGGCAATCATCGGGGCTACATGCTTGCAGGCGAGTTGAGCAAGCTTGAGAAGGGGGAACACCCCACGAAGGCGCTCGAGGCGTATGAAAAAGCGTTTCGACCTTACGTGGAGGAGATACAAAAGATACCCTGGGTTTTCCCTGGGATCGTGCATCCCGCGACAGCGTGGAAGAGATGGTTGTTTGGAGTGGGTATCTCGAGTCTTTCCAAGATTGTAGCGATGCCATGGGTTGCGAAGAGGTTTCTTGATGATACCAATTTGGACGATTCAGAGTTCCCGTTGCCAGTGTACCCTAACCTGGCTGATGAGAGCTCCAAGTGAGGAAATCTGTGATGGAGCGTGCATTCTCAGGATGCTATCCCACAGAGGAAGCAGCTGTAAAGGATAATATGGCATGAGGAGGCAGCTCGTTTCCCAGGACCGGTCATTTCAATTGCTACGTCTTGGCGGAACACGTCCATCATTATAGTTCAAGTGGTCTGTCTTTCTCTTACCACGGCACTATCACCATGTTCATAGAACCACTCCCCTCCTCTCTTCAAACCTTCCCTCGCCTCACTCCACGTTTTACGATCAATCTTGTAAACCCAGCCAATGTTGTGCTCACCATAGGTCACGGGCTGCTCAACCTCGAGACGGCCTAGCCCTATCGACGTCATGAGCGCACGCCATCGCTCATTCTTGAGATCCGTCTCGATGCGCACGATACTGCAACCAATCTCCTCAATAGCAAATTCAATCTGCCCGCAAAATACCTCCCTCCCGTATCCTTTCCCCCACCCAGTGATGGTGATTAAGAAGGACCCCAAAGTCGGTCAGGTACGGCGCAGCCCGGCGCTCTTCAATACAGCTGCCCTCAACCTCCTCCTTTTCGTCTTGAGCATTTTGGAGCGCGACATCGAAAGTCTGTCCCTCCGTGGTCTCGAAGCAGTTGAACCCGCCATGTCCGATGACCTCGCCCGTCTCCCGTAGCGTGACCATCAGGATGGCCTTCTTGCCGGACGCGGTGTCGTGGCCCCATCTTTCAATGTGGGCACACATGCCTCCAGGGGAGGTGTCCGGCGGGACACTACTAAAGGGAAAGTTCTCGGGCGTGGAGAGATTGCCGTAGAGTGCCTTTGCGTCGTCAGGTGGGGTACTGCGAATAACGAGCCGCAGGGTACACATTTTGTAGGCGGCCTGGGGTAATGGGGCCGTCATCTCGATAGAGAGGAAGTGCTTGGTTGTGTTGAATCGAACGAGACGCCAAGAGCTAGGGAATTGCTTGTACCGCCGATGATGATGATGGGTGCTGTGGCCTGACTGACTCTTCAGCTGCTGGTTATTGATGCTACTCAAAGTTTTTGAAGACTGCGCAGAAAAGGCCGGAAGTGGCTGCGCCTCTGGACCTTGTTTCGCGACTCAAGAGTAAGCGAGGTTAGATACATTATTGGAGCCGTTGCTTATTATCAAAAAGGGACTTTAGATAACTAGTGGTACTCATCTTTCCGTTATCACCCGTTTCTGCTGACCAACTGGGCCAACAGACATGAGGAACGACAGAAGCCCAATAGATTCCATCTGGATCGAACCACCCGTGTGAGATTATACTACCGTCTTCCTACTATATGACGATGATAGGTTGTATGTAGCACCTGTATCTGGAAGGTATGAATTGACTCTGTTGTTGTATTGTCTGTGCGTTGACTTGTTGGTGGTAGCATTAGTGCTGGGTGTGCATGTTGGCCAAGGCTGTTACTGCCTGAGTAGTTGAAGGAACTTAGTTGTGAGCTTTCGAGACTCGATTCGCTCCATTGGCTGCATGGCCAGCTGATCGTTGTAATGAGGGTGACGGAGTGTCTGTCATTTCAATCACACCTTTTGGCGTCACGCTGTTAAACACCAAGGTTTGGCAAAGGTTCATGTGCAGGGACGTAATTAAGTTCATCTCATAGGTTCTTCGTACTATCGTACCTGTAAACAACTGACTTACTGGTACCTTAGTCAGGATCGAGATAACATCTTGTTTCTGGTCCATGTGGGTCGACAACGGTGACCCATGTGAGGATTCTCGGCGACACCTGCCAGCAGGAAGCATGCAAGTTGCAAGACTCGTGGCATCCCCGATTGGGTAGATGGATGTTGCCGAATGCCATGATTTGCACGTTTTGTTTGATGGACAGGATGCGCGGTGATTTTCCTTACGGAAAACCCAACCGTAGGCCGACGTGGTCAACAACATAAGAGGTTTGGCTAGAAGTATCGAGGGATCTAGGAACACCACATCTCCGTCGTTTAAGCCCATGCTTTGGGTAAATGCCTGCACTTATTAATCATGTGGGAGACGAGGTGATACGCAGTAAACTTCGAAGCATACATCGACAACCACCAACCACGAGTTCCACGTGCCGCACCGTCAGCAACGAAAAGGTAACGCCCATGCAGGAACGACAGGAGAGATGGATCAACGTGAGGACAACCTTGGAAGATGAGTGCCAGAGTCGCCAACCCCCAGCACTGAGGCAAGACGTCTCAGGGGGGAACACAAGCAAGTGCCAAATGCGCCAGGGTGGGAGATTTAAGTGCGCCGGGCCGCGATACTTTAAATGTCTACCATCGAAGACAAAAGCAGAAGCAAAAGCAAAAGCAAGACCGTTTAGCTGCCTGGGCTGGCGCAGCAGCGAGGGTGTTGTATGGGTCAAACGCTGGCCAGAATGCTTGTTTCACAGTCGGACGATGACGATGGCGTCTGGTGGTAGTGGTGCTGGACCCTGCGTCCCCCTTTTGCCCGGACAACCCTGAAGCGGCCAGTGAAGGCGCGCTGTGCATTTCTCTGTTCCCCACCGCGAGAGGGGTGGCCTGGAACATTTCAGATGGCTTCCGCTGCCCCATTCCATGTCAACCCTCGGTCGATGACACTATAATCTCCACCGCAGCATGGCAGCTCCCGCCTTTCTAATCTATTAATTCTCCTAACTCTGACCTTATCCACGACGCAAGTCTCAAAGAAGCGTATCGCGGACGAGGGCCTTGTCGGGGCTCTTGTAAACCCACCGTCTAGTCTTTTTTCTCATCCGGGGGCCAAAGAAGCTTGTGTAGAGGAGTGAGTGTTGGGGTAGCGGGACGAAGGCCTGCTACGACGCCTCGCTAAACGAGTGCCTTGACCAATGTCCTCTGTCTTACTTTCGCAGAGACAACCTCGTCAACCCCCAGCGATCGAGGTTCGGTTGCGACGATGATGGAGAAGAGGTCTGGAATACCGACCGCGCCACGAGTCCCAGCGTCGATAAACCGCGGAGCAACCTCAGCTCTAAATACCTCCTCATTGAACTTACCAAAGGCTTGGCGCAGAAGCCGTTAGCAGAAGCAAACCCGTCACTGGACTCCAGAGCGTTACGAAGTCGTCTCAGGACGCCGCCCGTCTGAACTCTCTTGGAAGGGAAGCAAAGTGCCATCGGGGGTTCGCCGCCACCCATCTGAACGGTGGAGTGTGCTGCGGCGTAGGTATGGCGAAAGAAGGGGAGGGATCCAGGCTGTGAGCTGACTTTTGCCCAATAGCTACATCGTACGGGCCCCTTTCTACGCAGGATATACATAGCCCATCATGGCCCCATCATCAGAAGGTCTGAAACGTCGTTGCTGCCCCGTCTTCGTCTGGACTCCCAGTGGCATCCGCCCACACTCGATGCATCCCGGTCACACAGGACGGAATGGATGGATGAACACGCCCCATCGCCCTACCGGCCCTGCGACCGACGTTTTTGCATATCGCGAGGGTGAAGACTATCTTAAACAGGATTCCCCCCTACGGAGAAGGCTCGGTCTTGGACACCATCACCGCAACCCCCAGGACTCTCTCCCAAACTCCACATGCCCTGGCACCCGCGTACACCTCCGTCTCCACTGACATCTCCACCCACGCGACGGATTTCGTTCCAGATGATCGTCGGAGCTGTGGAAGGAATCTGTGCTGGGCCAGAACCTAGCAGGAAACAGAGGCAGGAAGAGCCGCCTGCACCCATCCAGATCCCAACTTTGGGCCACATCCTTGAAAAAGAGACAAGCACAAACGAGGCACCCACTGCCAAGACTGCACACACGGTTCAGGCACAGGCACAACGTTCATAGGGTTCCTCAATTCTGTTGGCCCGATTCGGCCATTCACCACGCTCTTTATCAACCACACCACAGCGCTTACACACACATACACATGCACGCACATTATCCATTGACTCTCCCGTCATCCATACACCAGCCCCCCTGTCGAAACAAGCTCTACCCTAGAAGCGGCTCCTCTTGTCAGTGCCAAAGGGGACGGGGGACCAGAGAGGAAACCAAGTAAGCATGTATAAAACTTAATAGTCTCTTCTTTTCCGCCAAAACCCCAGGCCTCCCTGTGATCTTCCCGTTTGGATCGCTCGCTCATACTTTCCTTCCAGTTCGATTTTCTTGAATCTGTTCCTTTTCCTTAACTCCCAGCCGGTCTGTTTCTTTCTCGAGAAGCCATTCTCATCTGTTTCTTCACTTCCAACGGTGCTGGACACAATTTAAATTTCCCTTTCGCCAGACAAGACTAATCTAAACCAAACGGGGCTCGTCCTTTGGTTTTCGACCAACTTCTCTCTTTTCCAGTATACCAACCATGTCTTCCTCCATGAGAGCCTTGATCACCTCCGCCATGTTGGCGGTGGCTCACGCTCAAGGTGTCATCATCAGTGCACAAGGCCCCAAGGGCCCAGCCAGTCTTAGCCTCCTAGGTAAGTCTCTCATAAGAAGAGAGTCAGAATTGGTGAAAAGAAGAGCATAATCTCACAAGTCTTGCGTAGTCGACCCGAAAAAGGCCGATGCCAACATCATCAACCAGCAGGAGATTGTTCAGAACGTCGTCAATGAGTGCGGCCGTACCATCCTCGCAGGAAACATTGACATTGGCGAGAACACGGAGAACCAGCTCGGCAACAACACCGTCACCAAGGTCACCAAGGGCTCCAACGTCGCCATCACCATCGCCATGGTCAGCGCCGAGGGCGCCGGTCCCTACTCCTGCGACCTCGACCCGACTAGCAACGCCAACGGAGCTACCGGCCAGACCAAGCTCCAGGTCCAGGAGGCCAAGCCGCAGAACGGCAACATCAAGCTCACCGTCACGATGCCCAAGGACCTGGCCTGCGTAGGAGGTAAGTTTGCTCCAGATCTCTGCCACCCGCACGCGCTGCAGAACACGCCGACTAACACAGACCCCCCCTAGCCTCCACCGGAGACGTCTGCACCGTCCGCTGCTTCAACACCAACGCAAAGGGCCCCTTTGGCGGCTGCGTTGCCGTCCAGCAGACCGACACTACGCCTAAGAAAAACACTCCTGACAACATCCCCACTGCCCAGACCCTCGATGGCGTCCTTAGCCAGGTCCAGCAGAACATTGTCGACCTCCCCGCTGCCGTCAAGTCGAACCAGGAGGCCAAGACCCAGGACGAGCAGGGTGTCACCGCCGTCAAGGATATCCTCGGCAACAACGCCACGACCAAGGCCGCCGGGCCCGCCGAGAAAGCCGGCAAGGGCAACGGCGGCGGCGGCGCGGCCACTGGAAATGCCGGTAACGGCAATGCCAAGGCTGGCAAGGGCGCCGGCAAGGGCAATGGCAGGGGCAACGGCGGTGGTCGCCAGAACCAGAACAACAAGCGGGACACGCTCCGCGAGCGCCGCGTCAAGAGGAACGCCGAGCCCGCGGTCTAAGTCGCCGTCCGCTTCAAGTGCGACCCGGTGACCCACCGATGTAGGCGGGCCTTTGAGCTTGGCCTTGTGAAGCGGTTGAACGCGAGAGGATGAGACGATATCTAGTTTGTTAGTTTAGCGAAATATTACGTTGAGCCGCGTAAATCTTTAGGGAACCGAAAAAAGGGAGAGGAAAGAATATTGCCAGGCGGGAGAGCCATGCCAGCCTCTTTCTCCCATCATGTCATACTATTTCACAGTTAATGTTCAATGCCGTACCCAAAACAAAGAAGAAAAACCGCCCGGGAGCAGCACCGAAGGAAACGCGAGCCGACGGCTCAATGGCCATCTGAAACTCGTGCTCGTCTCGTTGAGCATACCCACTTTGTCGCGGTCGTCTCCCGACCCAGTCGAGCAAGGGGGCGCCATCTTTCTGCCCTACAGGCTTGGGACTCCCGTATGACGCCAGTGGCTTGCGGTCCGCTCAAGCGTAAGGGATTCTCACCCCTCGCCGAAAGGACCTCGGCTGCGTGCTCCGGGTAAATCTGGCGACATGTTTCCGAGCCTTGATCCGCCGGGATCCCTCGCATCTCTCGTGTTTAGCTTAGTCACACGCGCACCAGTCACTGCTTTCGGGCTCCCTGCCAACGGTCCCATTTGTTGGGTTTCCGTTCACCTCGGACACCGAAACACGCACCACGCAACGCGGGTTGAGGAACAGAGAGTGTGGTGTGCGTGTCTCGTGAGTTTTGAGTATCAAGAGTAACACGAGTGACCGAAGCTTGCTTCTGCGGCCTTGGCACTGGATGGGCTGATCCAAACGGCTCGATCAGCATCGTCTCCGTTGTTTACTGTTGGCTCAGCCATGACGCTTGACGACTGCAGTATCGGGGGTTCAACCTCCCGGCGAGTTGTGTAGCACGTCGTTCCTATTAGTGATCCCAGCCTCAAGTATCAGGCCATTTGGATCTTATAAAGCCAGTTCGGACATCGAGGTGTTCACTCCCGGACGGGAGGCCGTCTTGCAGCGACACTCGGCTGACACAGATGTTTAGAGACAAGGATAGATGACGAGAGTTTTTGTTGGATTTAGCACGTACATTCTAACGCCTAAATGCGGTATCTGGTGGTTACCAACACGAGTAACCACGCTTGGTTCTCAACCCCGCTGAGCAAGAATTGTAGCTGCGGTATATCATACAGCAAATGCAACAACCAAGAGGCGCATGGGTCAAGGGACAATCGCCCGTGAAGCCGCCAGGAAGTCCACTTCAACCAGGGGCGATCGCATATCTCAGTCATTCCCTCAAAGCTTCGCCTTCCCCCCATCCTGCGCCCGACTCCTCCCCACGAGCTCCCACGCAAACTCGGCCAACGGGCCCCGCGTCACCGCGAATCTCTTGGCCTGCTCGCTGCTCGCCTGGCCCTGCGCCGCCCGCGCCGCGATTCCCTGGCACACGCCCGCCAGCCGGAACAGGCTGAACGCCATGCCCCAGTCGAGCTCGGCCGCCGGCTGCCACCCGGCCTCGGCCGCGTACCACCCGACAATCTCCTCCGTCGTCGGAAGGCCGGGAGTTGAGCCGGGGAGGAACCCCTCGTGCGCGTAGATGCCGTTGCCGGCGCGCGAGGCGGTGAAGTACGGGTGCAGGAAGTTGCACAGGTCCGAGAGGGGGTGTCCTACGGTGGACATTTCCCAGCTACGTGCGGTCAGTCAGCAAACACTCTGGTCTCTGGCAGATTCACTTGGGGGAGGGGGACATACTCCAATATGCCAATAACCCTCGGCTCCGTCTTGTGGAAGACAATGTTGTCAATCTTGTAATCCCCGTGGATCAACGTGCCCCGATCCCTCGGCTGCCGCCCCTTGTCCGCAAAGAACCGCACCATCTCCCCAAAGTGCGGCAGGTCGCCGACCTTCTCCCCCGTCTCGCGGTCTACGGCCGCGGCCTGGCTCTCGCAGATGGTCGTCCACGTCTGGATCTGCCGGTCGTAGAACCCGCTCTTCTTGCCGAACGTCTCGAGCCCGACGTCCCGGGGGTCGACGCGGTGCAGCTTCGCCAACGTCAGCGTCGCGGCCTTCCACAGCGCCTTGCGCTCGTCGGGCGACGACACCTCGGGCATGGCCGCGTCCTCAAAGATGCGCCCGTCCAGGAACTCCATGATGTAGAAGGGCGTGCCGACGACCGAGTCGTCCTCACAGAGGCAGTAGGCCCGGGGGACGGGCACGTCGGTGGGGCCCAGGGCGTCGATGATGCGGTGCTCACGCTCGACCTTGTGCGCGGCCTTGGAGAGGAGCTTTCCGGGGGGCTTCTTGCGCAGCACGAAGCGGGCTTTCGTCGCATCGGTGAGCTGGTACGTCGGGTTCGACTGGCCGAAGCCGAACTGGCCGTTGGGGTCATGTCAGAGCTGGCACGTCCGCGGCAATGGGCGCGTGACGGGACGGGGCGATGCAGAACGGCGTCCGGAAGCCGCGAGCAGGAACTACATACCTGTTTTATGTCCAACGGGGTCTTGATCTGCGGCACATGCTCATTGATGTACCGCTCCAGCGCCTTCTGGTCGATTGGGTGCCGCACGCGTCCCGCCATTGCTGTCCTACGATGCCCACTGTCCCAACCTGCTTTGAGGAGGCTCACTGCTGTCGTCGTCGTAGTCGTGGCCGCTCGTCAAATTTCCAATTGGGCTCCGTTACTCCAAGATCTCGATTGCTCAAAGACTCAACGGCGACTGTCTGTGATTTTCGGAGCGGTTGGTTGGTCAAGTACTGGCCGCTGAAGTCCCGGACGGGAGAGTGAGTTCCGCAGACAGCGTGCCGGGCCGATCTCTCGCTCCTCGCATACGAATGTCCAGCCTCGGTTCGTCCCCTAGTGACGTTTAAGCGTGAACGCGGGGGTGGAAAAGGGCCTGGAAAGCGTTGTCATGCAAGGTGGCTGCTAGGTTGGGCTTCCCACAGAGATGCCGAGGTCCACCGGCCAAAGGACATGGTGGTGCACCGCAAGCTGTCTTAGTGGACGGACCGCTGAAGCGGGGAACGCAAGCTGCGTCAGGGACTTCCCCTCCAGGCCCCAGGTTAGTTGCAGCGAAAGTGCGGAGGAGGTGGAGGCGGGCCCTGGCAGCCGCACCCGGCCGAGCCAGTGTACTCGGTCCATTGTCTACCTGGACAAGCGTTGTGGTCTTTCTTTGGTTTGCTGTTCTGAAGCCTCGTTCCGTGGCTGCTGGGAGTAGACTCGGCTTTGACAGGCCACTGCCGCACTGCATGTCGAGTACCCGTTGCGCATCGTTCCATTGGCCCCGGTCGAGTGCCTGGTCCATTGAACGACACCGCGTCCGGCTCGCGTCAAGAGCTCTTGGATTTACGCAGCTGCAATTCACAATTACATTCACTGACAAGGGCGAGATCAAGAAACGGATAAACAAAAGTGGTATAGATTACTCGAGAAAAAAAAAGGGGTCGTTAAATCCGTGTTTCTCTCCCCAGGCACAAATCCGGCGACGGATGGCCAGGAGTTGTGGTCTATCTCCATACAACCCAGCAATGAAGAAGTGGTGAGGTAGATAAATAAAAGCGTAAACATCATCTTCAATCATTCTCTTGTCCCATAACGTCGACTCTCAATACGCCGATTGCTGGCGGCTTTTCATTTTGGGGTTTTCTTTTCTCTTCGTTTCAACTCCCTGCTGAGGCAAGAAATGTAAAAAAAAAAAAAAAGCCGCTGGTAGCCAGACCATTTGCCCATTTCCGCAACTACCGTCTCCTTCGAGCGCAAAAAAAGAAAGAAAAAAAAAGTGCCCCAACCAGATAAATAATTGTAACACGAAGTGAAGGGAAAATTCAAAAACAACAAGGAGAAGGGGCTAATCGAGTAAACACAAGAGGGGTATCCGTCGTTTCGAGTCGTCCATGCATTCTTCCCTCCCAATTCCCTTGCGGCCACCCGTCTAGACGGATGCCATGCTGTTGCCAGTCGATAATGTGTATTAACCGTGAAAACGAAAAGAAAGCAAATAAGAAAGAGTCCAATGCCTCCCAGCGATACGGCATGGCTGGGCCTGGCAGCCCGAGAGCAACGAGAGTCCTGTGTACCGGTCCGCATGCTGCGTATAGACGTCCGTTCGGAATGATCCGGCCCCTATAAACACACCCTCACAAGCCCCCTTCATCATGACTCCCGCCCTCGTTATAAATCAATTTCGAAAAGAGTAGGGATGGCTGGTAGTCGTCTCTGCAGGCCGTCATGACTTCGTGATCGGAATGCGCGACAATAGAAGAAGGAATGGCGGCAGGCAGATCAAGACTCGTCCTCCTCCTCATCTTCCTCTTCGGGGCTCTCGGAGGCCTTCTTGGCCTTCTTGCTGGCGTTCGAGTCGTCGGCCTCCGACTTCCTCTTTGTGCCGGCTTTGGCATCGGGGGCATCGTCATTGGATGGCTCGCCAGAGCCGCCGCCCTTCTCGCGCTCGATAGCGGCGACCTCCTCGGCAGTAAGGAAGCGGCCACCAGGTCCACGGGGTCGGCGCATGGCATGGTTGTGTCTCGACTCGTGGAGGTACGGCTTGCGGCCCTTGGAGGTAAGACGGAGCTGTTCCTCAAGCTTTTGACGGGCAACGCGACGCTTCAGGATGCGATGGAACTGCTTTGCGTTGACATAGAGAGGCGATTCCTCGACGCCGCCGGCGGGCATTTCAGGGGATTGTGGGTGAGGCATAGCCTGGGCCTGTGCCATCTGCGGCGGCGCGACGCCGGGCCGGCCAACGTGGTTCATCATGCCCTGGGCGTTGGGAACGCCCGGGCTGGTGACCTGGCTAAGGCGTCTCTGACCAGGAAGCTGCGAAACGTTGTTCATCTGGGTCGGTGATCGAGGGTCACGGTTCTCCTTCTTCGCGCCGCCCATTCGCGGCGAGGTCTGGGGCATGCTGGGATCAGATGCCATGTAGGGGTAGTTGGATCCCGATGCAGCGGCAGTCGCCGCCATGGCGGCAGCTTGGATTTGAGGCATGGCATAGTGCATGCCCTGCTGAGGGACGTTGTACTGTGGCTGGTACATGTTGTGTCCCTGTTGCTGCGAGGGTGATTGTTGCTGGGGCAAGATAGGTGACGTCTGTACGCCGTGGGGAGAGGTGATGTTGTTGCCGTTAGTGGAGTTTGTGTATCCCGAGTGCGCGTTCTGAGGTTGTTGAGGATATTGTGCGTATTCCATCATACTGGGAATAGGCTTGTTCGGGTGTTGGTCGAGCTGTGCAATGAAGGCAGTGTGTTGTCTTCGTCGCGAATAGGCTCAGAACCAATAAGAAGCCGAGCGACGTGTGTAGCTTGGCGACGGGTTTGGCGTGGTTAGGAAAAACGTGACCGTGAAAAAGGGTATCACGGGTATGGGTCGCGAGTGACGAATGAGTTGCGATAAAAGCTGCCTTTCGCGTGAGGATTGAGCTTTAAAATGACTGGGACGGCCCGTCTGTTTGGGTAGAGTTGGGCACACGGATTGGGAGCCGGCGGTGTCCTAGGGTCCTTTGCCAGTGTTTTGGGAGCGGAGGGGCTCAATCTATTGGTGATGCGCGGATGAGCTGGCAGTGGTGTGCGCGACGCAAGTGGCCGACCACGGCATATGCGGGCTGATGTAGTCGCGGGGCGGACGAGGTGGGTGGCTGAGCCTGGGGTGAGAATGATAGCCACGTGAGGGCGGCGAGAGTGTGGGTTGCTACGGGGGAGGGTTGGCGTGTCGAGGCCGCTGGTGCTGGTGCTGCCGTACGAGGCGGAGGCGAGGCGGCGACGGTTGTCTTGTTCTTGGGCCGTTCAACAAGTTCTTTGGTCCGGGGCTGGTCCTGGAATGGTTTACCGGCTGCACTGCGGGAAGCGGGTAGGGTAAATCGACGGTAGTTTGTTTTTTGGACGAAACAGCTTGGTGCCTTGATTCCCCAGAAAACACCGTTTGGTTCTATTCCACTTCGCTTCGTGAGATCTGTCCAACCAAGAATGTCAGTTCTCCTGTATATAAGCCAGAGCTCGGGATGATGCGACAAAGGCAGGCAGTATGAGTGGGGTTCTGGTCCCTCTCCTGGCGTCTCGGGCCACCACTTGATGCGCTGGCAGACCTCGCATGCATGACGGAATATGCAGAGACATGGCCCACCATGCCAAACAGCCCGGCGACACTTCCCCTTATTGCGGTAATGGTGGCGGCGTAGAGCCAGAGAAACGTCCGAGCTGCTGTGACAGAGCCTGTGCTTTGCGCCTTTGGAGGGGAAGGGGTGCCCGTACAGGCGCTGTCTTGTGTCGCTAACACAAGCCAGACTGGGCTCACTAAGCGCTGCGCGAGACCCTACTGCCCACTGAGGCTGCACATGGGGACGCGAGGTGGTTGGTCAAGGAGGCCCTTTCCAACCCGCCGCCGCCTCGATGCCCAGTTGCCGAAGGGGGTTGCTTCGAGAAGGCATCCAAGGCTCGGTACGCTGCGAATGTGTTTCCGCGGGGGAGTGCAATGGCAGCAAAGAAAGCGTCACGTCAGAGGACGGAACAGTGATACAGCAGGGTGACGCTGATGCTCGTAGTCTACAAGAGAGACAGATTGACGTGGACATGGTGAGGGGGGGAGGACCGAGGGATGGATGGTTACACCTCGAGGGGAGCGGGAAGCGTACAGGTACTGTGAAGGTTGGGGACGATCCGACAAGAAAGAAAGTACAACACACGTACCGCCGAGGTTGAGAATGTGTGTAATCGCCGATGAGAGCGAATTGCCGTGAAGGAGGGGATGTTATGCGCCCTACTCTGTCGGTAAGCATGTGTTGTTCGTCTCGGTTTCAGACAACGAAGCGCGCCCACGGTATGTGTGTGGGAGGAAGTGGAAAAAAAGAAAACAGGATCGGGAACACTGAAGGAATCTCCGGTAAGCTCTCCCGGGTGTTGTCAGAGTCCAAAGCCAACTTGGTAGGAACAGATGCCCAGCACCAAAGCAACAGAGAGATATAGAGAGACCAAACCACGAATAGCGTGTAAAGTAGACAGACGACAAGATGCGAAGATGGCGCCCGCGTCCGGGGACAAGGAAGCGCGCGTACAAGGCTGGAGGGGAGGGGCGCCAAAGGAGCCGTGTCGAAAGGGCATGCGAAACGTACCTGGTTGGCTAGATTTTTTTGGCTTTGGAGGGTAGCTCGGTAGACTTTTGGGGATTGGCTCGCGGTCTAAGTCGAGGCGAAGCTTTCTGATAGGCTTTTGACTCGAGTGTCACGATATGAGCTTGAATTCGTCTCCGAGAAAGCTTTGACGCGTGTGCGCGCTGGCTGTTTGGCAGAGAGGCAAAGTGCGACGCGGTTGGACGAAGAGCCCTCGCTGTGGTCGCGCGCGGCGATGCGATGCGGCACGGTACGGTGCGCTGCGGTTGAACAGACACAGAGAGGGGAAATGCTGTTTTCCGCAGGTCGAGTCAATCAGCTGACAAGAGGAATGCGTACTGGTGCCGCGGCTGCTGCTGTTGGCCAATAGATGAATGCTGGGTAGAGGAGAAATCGAGGTCGACGATGATAGGGTAAAGGCTTTAAGCTGTTTCCAGTGTCGCGAACAGTTCACGATTGTTGCTGTCTGGAAGCAGTCGCA